CCTCCACAGAGTCCAGGGAGCAGCCCAGAGTGGAGCTGGCCCTCCTGACCAGCTTGTTCAGTCTGTTTCTGTCCCGCTCTGTGCTGCCCGGGGCCCAGCACACGGCAGCGTAGTAAATGGCAGAAGCTACCACAGAGTCATAAAAAGTCCTGAGCAGAGGCCTGCTCACTCCGAAGGACCTCAGCCTCCTCAGAAGGAAGAGGCGACTTTGGCCCTTCTTGTGCAGGGCGTTTGTATTATGGGACCAGTCCAGTTTATTGTTAATGTGAACACCCAGGTACTTGAAGCTCCCCCTGGATGTTCAGCAGCGTGTGGGAAAGTGGTTTTCTCCTGAAGTCGATGATCATCTCCTTGGTCTTACTGGTGTTCAAGCACAAGTGGTTGCACTCCCAACAGTCGACAAAGTCCTTGATAACCGACTGATATTCCAGTTCGTTCCTCTCAGACACACAGCCCACGATGGCAGAGTCGTCGGAGAACTTCTGCAGGTGACAGCTGTGTGTGTCGTGTGTGAAGTCTGAGGTGTAGATGGTGAAGAGAAACGGTGAGAGGACAGTGCCCTGAGGGGCCCCAGTGCTGCAGACGACCACCTCAGACTCACAGCTGCGCAGCCACACGTACTGTGGTCGGTCTGAGAGATAGTTGATGGTCCATGCAGTGAGGCTACTGTCCACTCCCGCGTCCTCCATCTTCCCCTGCAGCAGTGCCGGCCTGATGGTATTGAAAGCGCTGGAGAAGTCGAAAAACATGACCCTCACAGCGCTCCCGGCGGGCTCCAGGTGGGAGAGCGTCCGCTGCAGGAAGTAGATGACGGCGTCCTCTACTCCGAATTTGATGATCTCATTTAACTTCAATTGGAGTGGATTTGAATTAGAATGTTAAGAATGCGATTAATCGTGAGTTATCTCACCATTACTATGTGATTAATCAACTAAAACATTTTAATCGTTTAACAGCCCTAATAATAATACATTTTATGGCACACACACCCACATCCACAAAGTGTTGCTTGGATATTTCAAAAGGTATTTCAAAAGTTTCAAAAGTACTAAACGTCCAAATTTACAAATTGAAAGTAGAGCCCTTGATAAACTCTGTCAGAAAGAATGGCCAGTATTCATCCATTAGGTGGCGCTATATTTATGTCACAAAATAACAGAGTTGCAACTATATACAATATAAATGACATGCTCACTAGGTTAAATTCTCCAGCTCTGGTAGTCCTGACCAAGCCGAGCATCAACATCTGGAGATGGGTTCCCAGGCGCTGTTACTACGGCGACCACTGCTCCTGACGTAAGCCTTCGCGGCATCAGGATGGGTCAAATGCAGATGATTGAATTGCCCTACGGGGATTAATAAAGTGTACCTTTACCCTTACTTTACCTTTATAGTATAAGTGCAATAGAATACTTTTGTGTGTTTGTGCGTGCATGTATGTGCGTTTATTCGTGTGTGTTTGTGTGGTCACATCTACAGAGTGTCGTTCTTTTTAGTGCAGCGATAACTGCTGTGACGATAACCGGACTTTCCCGCTGGCTCCCGATGCGGGCTTAGTTATAGTATTAGAGATAGTCAGTCCACTTTTCTGTGACCCTCCACATGGTCTCTGTCAGCTCTAGAGACACATTTACGGCTCAATCTGTCTCCAAATGAAACCTGTCCCTGGCTGTATTCCTCCATGCCTCGCTTTGCCTCTGTGTCACCTGCACACAACCTGATTACAATGCTATGTTCGATATCCAGTAAGATAAAAAGTCACATTTTGAGTAATGTCTATTTTTATGGGAATATTTAACTATGTGACCATATGGTAACATTTAAATTAAGTAATTAAAAAACAAATAACGTTTTTTGTTGTTTTTTTTAAAATTGCATTGCATTGTTTAGCTCTACAGTCTGGGGCAGAGTCTGTATACATAGTTCCCACAGACCAATGAATGTCACATGACCTCCTCGGAGACGCCATCTTTGATGGCACGCTATTAACTATAATATTATTAATTATATTAATAATATATTAATTATATTAACAATTAATTTAATTAATGCTAATGCCACACGGACACTCTGGATTGCTGTTATTGTTTATTTCCGCGTTTTTGACCGTATGTTTTGGTGAATGGTGGGCAACTGATTTTTCCAGGCGTAAAGAGCAGTTTATTTTATGACACAGATCTTTTTACAGAAGCAATGCTGTTTGTGAACATTGTTTTAGCCCACCATAGAACTATTATTATCTATTTAATACATTTGCGTTGCCCTCGAGAGCCTCGGACGCGACACCGATCCTCCTCATAATAAAGTAATCTAACGCTAAATATTGAAACTCTCAAGTTACCAGATATCAGCATACACAAGTTAGTACTGAGTAAATTACGTCTGTCAACACATTATAAGATACGATACGCACCTGACACAAAGTGCTCCGAGCATATTCTTGCGTGTTTTGAGGGAGTTTCTTGCCTGTTTATCTTCGCAAGCCATAACCTCCGTGGTTGTTCTGACAAAAGCTTAGTCTTCTCACATTCATGAAGTCTAATGATGGGTATACTATAAAATCCAAGTTTAACGGAACCTCCGGCACGATTTGAACATCCATTGACCCAGCAGGAGATGACCATTTTCAACTTTATCACGACATTAACACGTTTCAGCTTCTTTTTCTATTGTTTTGCCCACAGCATGCCAACACAAATGGCGCCGGGTCGGCAAATCCCCGTATGTAGTGACGTCATGTGGGAACTATGTATTGAGGACTTTGAAATCTCACTTATAGTGTGTCGGACTGATGACCTGCACTGGTGCTTGTTCTTCTGGAAACGTATGATAATCTTCGGGATTTCAATTGCTCCAGAAATTTTCCAGAAAGATCTCAGAGGTGACCGGAGGAAACAGCGGGCTGAGCTGAGTATGAGTCAGAGCCAAGAGACTGAGTATGTGTGGCCCTTCACCTTTTTGGAAACAAAATATACAAATGTCCTAAATGAACATTTTTTTAACTGCCTTGTGTATGAATTGTGCTATATAAATAAACTTGCCTTGCCTTGCCTAAATCTAAAACGTAATATCTTTGTCATGATGGAGTTTTTTAAATCACATACTTGTTCCTCATCATTGCTCCAAGAAAATCAAGAAAATCTGTCACAAACAGGAAACGATGATTGACTGAGTGATTGGTACAACTGAATATCTGAACATAAGAAGCATGGATGAGATGTCCACTGCACGTCTTTAATATTTATCGAACTGAAGTTTACTCACTGTGGGACTAATAAAGGCATTCACTCATTCATACATTTTTCTAAATAGGTATTAATTTAAAAAGTAAAATGCACTGATCCTTACCCTTTCATGCCCATTACACATGTTTAGTCATCACATGCCAAATGTTTATGGACCATACTTTTAATTTGCCCTGTACTTGTTAATGGGACATGAAAGAGGCTGAAGAAATGCTTAGATTTCTCCCACATTCCTCCAGTAGATAAATACCGGGTGATTTGGCGTACAGTAAAGCACACGGACACCTCTTTGAGCAGTATAAACACACAGACACCTCTTTGCTTCATGCCTGTGGTGATGGATGGTGAAGCCCACCTGACCATATTGCTGCCTTAATAAAAGATCCCCCCCGTCCTCCTCCCTACACCATCATTTTTAAGATGGAAAACCAGTTTATGTGTCAATAAGAGTGATACCCCCGGTCGGACCTGTTTAGGGCACACGAGCTTCAGAGCTGCAGTTTCATCTGAGCCCTGTATGCATGTCATGTGCATTTAAGAACTTCACCCAGAGCTGGTATGTGCCCTGTGTGGGCTCTTCTAACACAACTACTGCTCCAATCACAGTTCTGTACTCTAAATCCTTATCTTCATAAATAAAAACCTTCCTCTAAGTCACTATTTGATGCTTTGGGCTGCGATATGATTGGCTAAGTGAGGGGTCCTGCTCTTTTTCAAATTACTGTAGGAAAAATTGGATTCCAACAGTAGTCACGCCTATCTCTGGCGTTGAAACTAATGTGCCATCACTTTTGGCTTCTGTGGGACTTTTTCAAAATGGTCGTGAGCAGCCCCTCCCGCAGTAAAATGTGGAAAAGCACATTTGCGCATGCGTTAGCCGGAACCAGCCCCATTGATTTAACGAGTGCACTCAAAAGTCCACAGTGGCTAAACTAGACAAAAAATATATTCTCCTCAGCCTCGACAGCATCTGGAACCTAGCTTTGGGCCAAGAGCGACTTTTGGACCATAATGTAAAGAGGTTATCGAGAGGAAAGAAGACACCAAAAGCATTGGATAATTCTCTTTCTGGGTCCACCCCCACAGGCCCGGGCTGGTATTGCAAGTATGTCAGCGCACGTGCTCGTGGATGTTTTTGAGCAGTGACCCGCCCCCACTGATCTGACTTAACATTTGGTGAGGGGGAATCCTGTCTGGGGCTCCTCAATATCTGGAGCGTCTGTTAACCCCTTTTTAAAATATACATGCCCTGATTGTGTGTAATAATGTAGGGGTTATTGAAGTCCCCATATATCACACATAACTTAGATGTCTGCCCATCCAATAGCCTGTGATGCATGCTCGCATCATAGACCTCCCAAACATCAGCAGAAATTATGCATTTTAAACACGATTGTAAACAAAGTTACAAAATATAATGAATGATAATAATGCGCTGTAACATGAATGTTGGAGCAGTTCATATCCCCTTATCCATGTTTGATCTGCTGCTTGTCTTTTCGAACAAGGATCTCCTCTCCATCAGTCAAATGTGCAGAGCTTAAAAAGCACCTGTGTACATGAAAGGAGAGCTACAGGGAAGTTTTATTACAGCCTGAATACAAATACATTTGACAGAGAAACATACAGTAGAAAAAGTTGTGTGTGGCACTATTTTGTGTGTGCAGATTACAAAAGAAATACATTGGAAATATAAAAATAGGGCTTAATTGGAATACAAAAATACATCATTTCAATGGTTTGTTATTTGTGGGGTCAGTAGATGGTGCAGTTGGCGGAGGACCTCTGGGTGCACAGGAAGTCACTGGTCACCTCCCTGTAGCCACGCGCCTCCGTCAGACCACTTCCTGCAACACAACCCCATGTTCAGACTTTTACAGAGTTCTCCAAGTCACATCTGTCTGTTCCCACTGTGTGTGTTTTTATGTTTGTCAGTTATGCACAGATATGGAAAGAGGTCATGTAGTTTTAAAAGCGCTAATAGCAGAATGTCATTGTCCTTTCTCACTCCTACCAGTAGATGGGAGTGTTCCAGAGTCCACAACTTTTCATGAGTGTGGTCTCACCTTCCATCAGGTTGTAGAGGTTGCAGTAGTTGGTGCCGTGGTCTTTGATGGCGTACCAGGTCTGGGAGATGGACATGGCCTAAAACACCACAGCATAGGATTCAGCTCATACAGACACAGAGAGCACTCGTACTCAGCACTAATACTTTAATAAAATGAAAGATTATAAAACCATTCGTATAAACTAAATAACCACTTATAACATTCCATTACATTGAAAGCATGAATGACTGGTCGGGATCAGAAGGGGTGATGGTACAGATTTGTTTTAGAGAATAATAACACCCTTCTAGAAATAGATTCAAAGGTTAAAGGGTGCTGGTGTTATGTTTTGTCATTCTGAGCGATGTTTTCTGAGCCTTGTAAATATTCACATTTTCTGAGCTGCTTTATTTTGGGTTTGAGCAAGCTGTGAGACAATTATCAACATTAGAACAAATAAAGGTTGTCGTCTAAGCGTCCAGAGGAAGCATCTAAAATCTCTGCAGTGGCTATGTTGATTATTCATGAGTCCTATTATATGTTTATTAAGTAATCATTAATATCCATCCATTTTCTACCCTTTAATCCATTTCTGGGTCAGGGGGGTGGCAATCAGAGATGCCACCCAAGTCTCAGGCCCTGTTTATACTGAGACGCTGCGCAGACGTTTCCAGGCTATTAACAGAAACGGCCTGGCTCCTAATGCAAATTTCTCAGCGTTCACATGAGGTTGAAAAACGATGTAGTTCTAGCACCCGGCCAGTAGTGGGCAGAGAAACTTTACAACACGACACACGACCCCCAGCCCCGTGCCCAGCCCCCCCCTCGGCAGTGTACTCACTTCCTGTGCCAGACCCTCAGAACGCACCAACATCATTCTGCATTTTAACAGCAGCTGTGAAAATAGAAACTTAACCTAGAGCTTCGCGTGGTCTTGTTTGGAGGAACGAAGGAGTAGAATTATCCTCTGTGCTGTGCTCGAAGCCCACGAAGCTAGTTAGTGTGCGCGGCGCAATTTTTGTTGATGTTTGTTCTCCGCTACTGCGCATGTCCAAATGTACGTGCGGGAGCAGCGCGGAGGCGGGGGTTCGAGCAGAGGAGGATTTCACACCTTTTTCCCTCGCGGGTGTGAAAGAGCCCCCGCTGTGCAGCGTATCTGAGCTGTCCCACTCTGCAGGCTGGATCTGAACACTTATGTTTTCACCTGGAACACAGTCTTCGTATGAACGGTTGGTAGCAACCGACATCCAACTATACCGTTTTACTGCCACATTGTCTCCGTGTAAACTCAGCCTCATAGCACCAGCCCCTCACTGACCCTCTGCAGGGTCAGTGAGGGGCTGGCTTCATACACGTCCTCGCAGCGAATCCCAAAGTACCTGAATACACACGTACACGCAAACACCTACACACGCACAACGCATGCACACACACACATAAAAAAATCAGTGGTTTGGCACTCTATGTTCTATGTTGCAGGCGATTTAGTAAATCCTTATTTGAGCTGAAAAAACAGACCAATCAGGAGCCGAATTTGGCTTTAGCTATTGAGTAGCAAGAGTGGGGCTGTTGCTACCAGTAACATTTGCAATAAACCATTACATATGACGTCTCCTTTAAGTCATCATTTACTTTGACATTTCATAAACGGAAAGAAGGTAGAACATTACATCCTGTAGAGTTTTGGAAAATGTCAATGAAAACATGTTTTTTAAGAAAATAAAAAAAATCATAAACTGCTCTGTCCATGTGAGGACCATAGACCGTAAATATTAAGGAGGACGTATCACAACCTTTTAAGTTACAATTATTGGTCCAGCGGTTATTTTATTTTATTTTATTCAATTTTACCATCTTCTTACTTATCATTTGACTTGTATTATCTATCATCTTAAATTATAGATCCTGTTTGATGTGTGCAATCTGAGTTCTCTTGTTTCCTTCTTTTTCTCTATACTGTAATTTGTGCAACAATGACATTTCCCAACTGTGGGACGAATAGAAGAATTTCTCATTTTATCTTAAAGCAGATCAGACAGAAGAAGCAGGGGCAAGATATTTGAGCTGGAACAATGTTGTAATATAAAATCAAGAACTGCCCAGTTGCTACGGTTCATTTAGAAGTTCAATTCGTTTATAGGGCTTTGAAGAGGCTTTCTGAGGGACACAAGGCCAAACATTTTGAGACAATAGTGAGATCAAAAGCAGCTTCCTGTCCCATAGTGCTGTGGTCTTGTCTGTGGAAGTAAACCTGATTATGAGCAGGTACAGGGCAAATGAAAAGTATGGTCCATAAACATTTGGCATGTGATGACTAAACATGTGTAATGGGCATGAAAGGGTAAGGATCAGTGCATTTTACTTTTTAAATTAATACCTATTTAGAAAAATGTATGAATGAGTGAACGCCTTTATTAGTCCCACAGTGAGTAAACTTCAGTTCGATAAATATTAAAGACGTGCAGCGGACATCTCATCCATGCTCCTTATGTTCAGATATTCAGTTGTACCAATCACTCAGTCAATCATCGTTTCCTGTTTGTGACAGATTTTCTTGATTTTCTTGGAGCAATGATGAGGAACAAGTATGTGATTTAAAAAACTCCATCATGACAAAGATATTACGTTTTAGATTTAGGCAAGGCAAGGCAAGTTTATTTATATAGCACAATTCATACACAAGGCAGCTAAAAAAATGTTCATTTAGGACATTTGTATGTTTTGTTTCCAAAAAGGTGAAGGGCCACACATACTCAGTCTCTTGGCTCTGACTCAGACTCAGCTCAGGCGCCCGCTGTTTCCTCCGGTCACCTCTGAGATCTTTCTGGAACATTTCTGGAGCAATTGAAATCCCGAAGATTATCATACGTTTCCAGAAGAACAAGCACCAGTGCAGGGCATCAGTCCGACACACTATAAGTGAGATTTCAAAGTCCTCAATACAGACTCTGCCCCAGACTGTAGGGCTAAACAATACAATGCAATTTGGGCGGCACGGTGGCTGAGTGGATAGCACTCTCGCCTCTCAGCAAGAAGGTCCTGGGTTCGAATCCCGGTCGGACCAGGGCCTTTCTGAGTGGAGTTTGCATGTTCTCCCCGTGTCTGCGTAGGTTTCCTCCGGGTACTCCGGTTTCCCCTACCACTAAAAATATGTCCAATAGTTCTGGCATGTGCCTCCTGTACTGGTGACCCCGCTCCCATCTCTGTGTGGAGTGAGAGACAAATGCCCAAAAATTAACAATTGTAAACCGCTTTGAGACTCAGATCTGCAGTAAAAAGGCGGTATATAAATAAAAACTTAGTTACTTACTTACTAATTTAAACGCCTATTTCCGGCGTTGAAACTAATGTGCCATCACTTTTGGCTTCTGTGGGACTTTTTCAAAATGGTCGTGAGCAGCCCCTCCCGCAGTAAAATGTGGAAAAGCACATTTGCGCATGCGTTAGCCGGAACCAGCCCCATTGATTTAACGAGTGCACTCAAAAGTCCACAGTGGCTAAACTAGACAAAAAATATATTCTCCTCAGCCTCGACAGCATCTGGAACCTAGCTTTGGGCCAAGAGCGACTTTTGGACCATAATGTAAAGAGGTTATCGAGAGGAAAGAAGACACCAAAAGCATTGGATAATTCTCTTTCTGGGTCCACCCCCACAGGCCCGGGCTGGTATTGCAAGTATGTCAGCGCACGTGCTCGTGGATGTTTTTGAGCAGTGACCCGCCCCCACTGATCTGACTTAACATTTGGTGAGGGGGAATCCTGTCTGGGGCTCCTCAATATCTGGAGCGTCTGTTAACCCCTTTTTAAAATATACATGCCCTGATTGTGTGTAATAATGTAGGGGTTATTGAAGTCCCCATATATCACACATAACTTAGATGTCTGCCCATCCAATAGCCTGTGATGCATGCTCGCATCATAGACCTCCCAAACATCAGCAGAAATTATGCATTTTAAACACGATTGTAAACAAAGTTACAAAATATAATGAATGATAATAATGCGCTGTAACATGAATGTTGGAGCAGTTCATATCCCCTTATCCATGTTTGATCTGCTGCTTGTCTTTTCGAACAAGGATCTCCTCTCCATCAGTCAAATGTGCAGAGCTTAAAAAGCACCTGTGTACATGAAAGGAGAGCTACAGGGAAGTTTTATTACAGCCTGAATACAAATACATTTGACAGAGAAACATACAGTAGAAAAAGTTGTGTGTGGCACTATTTTGTGTGTGCAGATTACAAAAGAAATACATTGGAAATATAAAAATAGGGCTTAATTGGAATACAAAAATACATCATTTCAATGGTTTGTTATTTGTGGGGTCAGTAGATGGTGCAGTTGGCGGAGGACCTCTGGGTGCACAGGAAGTCACTGGTCACCTCCCTGTAGCCACGCGCCTCCGTCAGACCACTTCCTGCAACACAACCCCATGTTCAGACTTTTACAGAGTTCTCCAAGTCACATCTGTCTGTTCCCACTGTGTGTGTTTTTATGTTTGTCAGTTATGCACAGATATGGAAAGAGGTCATGTAGTTTTAAAAGCGCTAATAGCAGAATGTCATTGTCCTTTCTCACTCCTACCAGTAGATGGGAGTGTTCCAGAGTCCACAACTTTTCATGAGTGTGGTCTCACCTTCCATCAGGTTGTAGAGGTTGCAGTAGTTGGTGCCGTGGTCTTTGATGGCGTACCAGGTCTGGGAGATGGACATGGCCTAAAACACCACAGCATAGGATTCAGCTCATACAGACACAGAGAGCACTCGTACTCAGCACTAATACTTTAATAAAATGAAAGATTATAAAACCATTCGTATAAACTAAATAACCACTTATAACATTCCATTACATTGAAAGCATGAATGACTGGTCGGGATCAGAAGGGGTGATGGCACAGATTTGTTTTAGAGAATAATAACACCCTTCTAGAAATAGATTCAAAGGTTAAAGGGTGCTGGTGTTATGTTTTGTCATTCTGAGCGATGTTTTCTGAGCCTTGTAAATATTCACATTTTCTGAGCTGCTTTACAGTATTTTGTGTTTGAGCAAGCTGTGAGACAATTATCAACATTAGAACAAATAAAGGTTGTCGTCTAAGCGTCCAGAAGAAGCACTATCTAAAATCTCTGCCGTGGCTATGTTGATTATTGAGTCCTCTTATATGTTTATTAAGTAATCATCAATAATTAACATAAAAATATTATGACAATTTTAGTAGTCATGATTACCACCTGGAGGTCTTTAACACTACAGCTCCCAGAGCTTTTAGTTTTGGATTTGTAGTGTTTGCATGAACGTTGCAAATTGCACGTCTGTCCGGCGGCAGATGTGTTTTTGTGGCACAGTTAGAGGCAGTGGGTAGAGCAACTCGATGCATGTTCTGGACTGCATGGCTCTGATCCAGTTTAGAGCCATGCAGTCCAGAACATGCATGGCTCTGATCCAGTTTAGTTTTCCACCAGAGAGGCCCCAGCGCTGGTTACCAATCAGTTTTTTGCAGTATTTGAGTTACATTCACTGGTTTTAGCACTTATCACCTACTGAGACATGGCAGCAGGTGAAGAAGCGGAACGCTGCAAGACGAATGTGGATGTTGTCCACGTGTCTCCTGAAGGGTCTGGTATGTTCGGCCTCGATGAAGTGCACTGAGGCCGACTTCAGCTGCGCAGTAAAACACACACACACATACATGTCAGGAAGCACAAGTAAACACGCGCACGCACACACACACACACGTCAGACACATACAAACGCACACACGCATGTCAGAAAACACGGACAAATACACACACACAAAGAAACAAAACACAGACCTCTCCTTCACACACCTCCACACAAACCTCCTCACACACAGACCTCCTTACAACAATACCTCCACACAGACCTCATCACAGACTTCACACACCTCCTCACAGACCTCACACCTTCGAGAGACCTCCTTATAACAGTACCTCCACACAGACCTCCATACAGACTTCACACACCTCACATACTGTACCTCATCACAGAACACAGACCTTGTAGAGACCTCCTTACAACAGTGCCTCCACACACACCTCCTCACACACCTCCTCACAGAACACAGACCTTGTAGAGACAGCGCTGGCCCCCGGTGGTGCAGCTGCTCATGGTCCTCCAGGCTTTGATCTGGGACACCAGAGCTTCATACACGTCCTCACAGCGAATCCCAAAGTACCTGAATACACACACACACACACACACACACACACACACACATAAAACAAAATCTGTGGTTTGGCACTCTCTATGTCTCTATGCAGGTGTTTTTTCTTTGGATAATGTATTTGTAAATCCTTATATGAACTGAAAAAATGGACCAATGAGGAGCAGAATTTGGCTTTAGCTATTGAGTAGCAAGAGTGGGGCTGTTGCTACCAGTAACATTTGCAATAAACCATTACATATGACGTTTCCTTTAAGTCATCATTTACTTTGACATTTCATAAACAGAAAGAAGGTAGAACATTACATCCTGTAGAGTTTTGGAAAATGTCAATGAAAACATGTAAATAAATTCATAAACTGCTCTGTCCATGTGAGGACCATAGACCGTAATTATTAAGGAGGACATATCACAACCTTTTAAGATACAATTATTGGTCCAACGGTTATTTTATTTTATTTTATTCAATTTTACCATCTTCTTACTTATTATTTGACTTGTATTATCTATCATCTTAAATTATAGATCCTGTTTGATGTGTGCAATCTGAATTATCTTGTTTCCTTCTTTTTCTCTATACTGTAATTTGTGCAACAATGACATTTCCCAACTGTGGGACGGATAGAAGAATTTCTCATTTTATCTTAAAGCAGATCAGACAGAAGAAGCAGGGGCAAGATATTTGAGCTGGAACAATGTTGTAATATTGTTAAAAATCAAGAACTGCCCAGTTGCTACGGTTCATTTAGAAGTTCAATTCGTTTATAGGGCTTTGAAGAGGCTTTCTGAGGGACACAAGGCCAAACATTTTGAGACAATAGTGAGATCAAAAGCAGCTTCCTGTCCCATAGTGCTGTGGTCTTGTCTGTGGAAGTAAACCTGATTATGAGCACATGACGTTTGAACACACCGCTCTGCATCAGCTCTGAGCACGAGGCTGGCTCTTTAATGTTCCCATGTGATCTCCTCAACCACACCCGTGTCAACATGTGCAAAGGATGTTTAAAGGGGATTTATCTTAAAACAATTGACCCTGTCCTGAGAGTTTACACCTTTTCACAGTCGATTGTTTTAGAGCAATTTATATTTGAGTCATTTATGATAGCTGACTCCCTCCCTGTCTCATCTGACCACAGTGATACACACTCTTTTATTTACTTTGTATTCTATGATATGCTAATCTGATCTGCGGTTGGAGCTGAGCCTGCAGGGCCATGGATATGGGCACAGCGATGCAATGAGACAACTATACTTTTAGATTGTTGTCGATATTTCATGTGGACCCGCTCAAAAAAGAGATGATTCTTTTCAAGGGGCAATCCATAGAAAAATAAACAAAATATAAAATGTACTACATAATATTTACTACCATTGTCTACCAAAGCCCATTGAGTTACATCAATTTGTTTGACCTTTTTCTACAAAAATGTAACTCTGCCTCTTCTGTCTAAAAGCCCCTGTCTCAGTCCTGTATTTATATGATGTCATTGGACAACAATGACATCACACTCAGAGCAGTGCTCTACCGTGTTTTAGCTGCATTTTTCAATATTACAACGTGGAACAGCTGCGGCTTATAATCCAGTGTGGCATGTACAGACACAAAATTCCATTTCTTTCTAAAAAAAAATAGGGCCTGCAGCTTATAATCAGGTGTGGCTTTTAGTCCGGAAAATACGGTAGTTTCTATACTGAAGATATAATTTCCTATTCTAAAACATGAAATGGCAAAGTAAATCCTGTCATTATAATTGTTATAGGCAAAAGCATTGTATAATATTTCTTCTTTAAAAATAAAAAAATTTATATGATTTGTATATGTTTTCAAAGTTTTAGATCAGGTTTTAGTTGCAGGAAAGTGAGAAAACAAGTATGAAGTATGTTGTGTGCACTGTGTAGCGTACATAATCCAATTGCTTTTAAAAACATAGTTGTAAAGCATTAATAGATTGGATATAACTGTGTAGAGATAAAGCAAATTAACATACCAGTCCACTTTACACTGGGCGTGCAGGGGCCCCGCAGAAATCAGGTGTGAGCAGAGCAGGAGCAGAGCTGAGGTCCACATGCTGAGCACCCACAGAGCACTTACTCACACGGGACAGTCCTAGAGAGACCCAGTGTTCCCAGCCAACAGGGGCCAGTCCCAGAGCCAGGTCCCATGCAGGGGCCAGGCCTAGCCGCGTCATGTGCAGTCAATCAACAGGCTGCAAGCTAAAAGTTGAGAGGAGACCGTCCTCTGATGGCGGTTTCAGGTAATACATTTTGTTACAATCTACTCGTGTTCATGTTGGCCTGTTAACCTGGGGTAAGAAACTTTCACAGTGATAACAAACATGTAACTAGTACATTGCTCTCAAAACAGCTTGGTTCTTTAAGATTTCATATTTCTTGTCGACTATTACATCTTAAGATACGCTTTTTTAGACAGAAACGTGATATAAGGGAGGACCACCATCGCTCCGGAGCAGCTCTAAACCCAAAGTATCTATTTAATATTTATAATAGGATAGCATATCTAGAATCTCACAAGATATGCATATGTGCGACGTGTTTTCTAGATGAAGACAGAATGTTGTGGTCTAATTTGCTCACAACATTTTGCTTTTACGAGACTTGTTCTATAGAGACAACTATATGTATTATTTATTTGGGGCATTTCATGTTTTAGAATGCGAGAGAAATTACAATATGTGGCTATAATGAGCTCCAAGGGGCCACAGGACCTTTTACTCTGTGGTGGCATCAGCTGCCCATCAGAGAGAGGGAAAGAAAGATGGTCATCAGGAGGTCTAGCTCCGTTTGGCTGTCCCCAGGACACAGTGCAAGAGGTGGGGGACAAGAAGGTCCGTGATGGCAGAGTTACTATTGCATGGTGCGGGTTGATGGGTACTGTGGCGGAAAACTGGGGTAGTGGCGCGTACTTCTGGTGCACCTCTGCTGCTTTAGAGGCTTCTTGACTTTGGACGTGTTTATGGGGCACCATTTTAACTGAAGGGCTCCTCGTAAAGGTCAGTGTTAGTTCCAAGATCTAGCACACAGTGGCAAGACTGAAAATATAGGGGTCCTTCAATGCAGCAACCCACACCCACACTGACATTTCCCCCACTTGTATAATCACTAATCCCCGACCAAGCATACTTTACAACAGTAGGTTCTGGTCATGTCCCAGGCAGCACCACATCAGGTCGCATTAGTGTTGCGGTGGAACCCGTATCAACCAGGGCTGTGCATGAGGCCCTTTTAAAAACAGGAAAATGACAAAAAGCCACCCCACCATCCTTGAAGATTTGATGGCGCTATTATCTGCTTCTGGCAGGTGAAAGCACTTGAACAGCACACATTTGTGATTACCAGGACTGAGGTGTAAGGGATCATCTTTACCAGAGACCATGAAGGAAGCATAACCACAGAACACCCAAAACATCTTTTTATTTCAGTGTTAGAAGTGTAAAGTTCGACTGTTTCACAGTACAACAAATATATGTAGTTATACACATGTTTTACAGCTCGCTTAAATAACAGGGTTTATTTTGTTGATATTAAATTATCTGGATAATATTAACTCATCAAGTGCTCAAATGTGAAATAAGAAAAGCATTGATTAATCTGTATGCTGATTGAAGGCCCACAGTTGTGTCATTTGGCTGGACAAATCTCCAGGGCATGATCAGCGTCTAGGTGAATGGATTGGTTTGTGTTAGCAGTGTGGGGAGCACTGTAAAGGAGTGGACATAGCCACCTGGTCCCGAGTGTCAAACAGCAAGTGCATATGGACAAAAAGCTTAAAAATCTGGACTCGGTGCATCCCTACTGTTTACAAACATCTCCATGTCCATTTTTGATGAGGAACAATATCAAAACAGGGTCAAAACTTAGGAAAACATCATATGCAAAGTATGTATTCTGTATGGGTTTAATAAAACGTTAAATATCTGCTTCTGAGGCATTACGAAACATATAGGGAAAAGTAAATTACAGTATGTACATTTTTTACTATATTGCAACGTAAGCATTGATTGTAAAAAGTAGCATAGGGAAATTGCATACATCTTAAAAGGTTATTTTAATAAAAAGAAAAGGGCAAGAAGGCTCTTGGTCAAATCCTGGTCAGAACATGGCCTTTCTTAGTGGAGTTGTATCCCCTCTGGTCTCTTCTCACTCTGCCCTTACCCCTGGTGCTGTGCCGTTCCCACTGCTCATGACAGAGGCCCAAGTGGCAATGAAGAATGTGTCAAATGTAGAGTACAAATTTCCCTATGGGGACAAGTATAACTTTAATAATACTAAATTTCACCCTCCATTAAAAGAACCTTCTAAGCCTTTAATGTAAAGATTTTTTTTTACATTGAAAATTGCATACATTTGAAAAATAAAGAACACATTTCAGTTTCATAAACCTTTGTGGCACACAAAGGCCTGTGTGTTTCAACCGGTGGTATGGGGGACAATGAATGTGATACAATGCTTAGGGGTGCACAGTGAAAAAAGGTTCACTGCAACAGCAACATGTCGACAGGTTTAATGTTTTGAATCAAATTGATCTTGATTTGAGCAGATATGACTTTTGTTGGAAACCCACGGTACTGCAACCAAAATTCTCACGGGCTGAAGAAGCTGTGTACCCCATACAACTCAGTGTTAACTTAATGCATGCTCAGCTAACGAGTGCCTACAGTTCTTATAAAGATTCACATTTTTTGTCTTAAGGATCATTTTGAAATCCATTAGTTTTAGGGAAATTGACAATTTCGACACAAAGCATCATAGGGAACTTATGGTGCTAACAGAGGCCATTGACTATGGAAATACATCTCATTTCCCAAGGAGCTTAAAACAGCCCTTTGCCACTCACGCTATACCATAATGCACTGTGTCTTGGGTGTAGATACAAGTGGGAGTTAAACTACTGCCAAACAATGGGGAAAAACCGTTTTGCTATACTTCTGATTGCTCCAACAGTCGAAAAACGCAACTTGGAACTACAATTTTACAGAATACAAAAATATCTAAAGACAAAATTAACAAGGAAATAGTAATAGGTTGAACACTTCAACCTGATTGTACTAGCAAAGACAAAGTGGGAAACATAGAAATACAAATTCAGTTTCATGAGGTGACAGTGGCTCAGTTGGAAGAGCATTGGCCTTTGGTCTGAAGGTCGTGGGTTCGAGACCACTACAAGACTTTCTCCACAGACTCCCACTGATGTCTGCTGTCGTTGTGTCCTTGGAAAGACACTTAATCTCTGGGAACAACAGGTGCCACAGTGTGTCCTTAGGCATGTGGGTGAAGTATGAGTCTGATTTGTATGTGAATGGTTGTTGGTGGTCGGAGGGGCCGATGACACAGACTGGTTGCCTTGCTTCTGTCAGTGTGCCCCAGGGTAGCTGTATAAAACCGATGCATTATCATTAGTTGTGGGATGTATCCAAAAGCATGAGGCGACTGTGTATTCACTTTGTTTGAATGCTGAGGGTTAAAACACTTAGATGGTGTGTAGGCCTAAAAGGTAGACATGCACAACAGGGGCATGTTGAAATGAGAGCAGCTGAAGGAGACAGAAGACGTCGAGTCAATGAGTCCAGAGCAATACTGTGATGTCACTTGCGGCGGCGTAGGGAGATCTTCTGCAGTCTGCGGGCCTTCCCTCGGGCGTCAATGGGCTTCATTTCTGTCATCTTGGAGCGCACCACTTGGTAAGCCCGCACACAGTAACTGGGACGCTTGCAGTAGTAAACTATGGGCGGTGGGTGGGACTCTGTTGGAATGACAGACAACAGCAGCTCAGGCACAGATCTGTGAGCTATAGTCAGTTGTTATTGAAGTTGAGAAAAGGTATATCTCAATAGTGTGTATTGTGTATAACATTCAGAAAGTTAAATTGTATTCTTTATAAAGGCTTGCAATATTTCACTCTAGACTGTGATGAATTTATACAATATATGAGTTCCATCCATTAGTCAATTTCTGCTTTATTCATTGCCGGGTTGTGGGGGCAGCAGTCTGAGCAGCCAGACTCCCCTCTTTTCTTTTATTCAACATGTTTTGAAGGCAGACTTTCAGACACCAACATACTTCTGGAAGCATCACAGTGAAATACTGTATTGACAAGGTCTTTCCACCAGTTCTGAGATTGTGAAAAAGCCATCTATCTGCTACCTGCTGGGTATCCAAACTCTTGTTTTCTTCCATTTACATTATAACTTGTTCTATATATATATTGAATAGATATTCACTGTGTTGTATCTGCACTATGTCTTGCTTAAGCTAGTTCAGCACTATTTCTACTAGAGTTTCTTACCATGGTGTGCTGGAGGGGCATGCTCTGGTTGGCTGTTGGAGTCATGTGACCTGCCAGCTGAAAGCTTGTCCCTTTGAGGTGAGGGTGGGGCCGCGTCCTCCTCGGTCTGCATGGGTGTGTCCTCCGCCTTGTGAGGACTGGTCCTCAGAAGTTGTTCTTCCACATTGTCAGAGTCCACTTTGGTGTTCTTCCTTGACTTGTCCTCTCCATCTGAGAACACAGGATTTGGTTTGACATTAGGAGAAGATGAGAGAGCCGTAGAAAATGACAATACGGTAATAATCTAATGTGTGAAATAACCTCACTAATGCCTGTCATACTCCACTGCAACAGCGTCAAGAGCCTCTACTCCCTCTCTGTTCATACAAAATATCTTTTTAAAGACCGACCCCCTCAATGGACTTTACTGATGAATGTGTGTTTCTGGAGAACGCCTTTATCTCTCTTCTACAGCAGTATCACCACCTCCACTGTGTGTGGATTGAGTGAAAAATGCTGTAAATCGCCTGTGAGCGCCATAAAAAGGGCTATTTGTCCTTCAGGGCATTTGTGTTTCAATTTAGCTCCAACAATAACAGTGGCCTGTTGAAAGCGCGACAAGCAAACAAGGTTACTGGCATTATTAAAACACTGTACATCCACTGAGGCAGCCAGTGTATGTACAGCAATGTTCCCACCTGCTGACTCATTGAAATACCATATTGAACAGATGAATGACGTTTATAGTCAGTAGTGTTCATTGTACAGTCTGAGAGGTGAATGGGGCCTTTACCTGTTCCGGCCTGGTTCTTCCAGGTATTGCGGTTTTGCTGTATCTCCTGGTCCCACACCACCTTAAAGCTCTTGAAGTCCATTGTGGAGACGGGAACACAGCCCTCAGAGGCCGTGCTGCGTAGGCTCTTCACATCACTACCACTCACACTGTTCAGACTGGGACACACAACACGCTGGGTCAGACCTCTCTTGTCTCAGTATACATGCAGGGTCATACAGTCAACAACATCATGTTTATTTTGCCATCTGATTTTCTCACATATCAAACCATGTGACCTTAATTGATGTGTCCAGGTTTACAGGTAATTGATTAATGGACTAGGTCAGTTATCTCATTCTCCCTTCTTGATGTATCCCCACTGACTGGTGTATTGTTCACAGATGGTACCTTGAGTGGTGCGGCCCTCTGGCCCCGGAGTGGCTGGTCTCCTCCACCAGAGGACTGACGATCTTCTCGATCATTTCTGTGAGTACTGTGAAGGTGGGCTCCACAATGAAGTCAATAAAACCTGTTCAAATGCAAAGTTTTATGCTATAAAGTAGAGTTTAAAAATAACAATGGATGAGCTTCAGTTACCGATCTGGGACTGGGCCACCATGGTAGACTTGCGGTCACACAGAGGAGAGAATGGCAGCCCCAGCTCTGACTCTTTGTCCCCCTGAAACACAACAACACGTCACTGCACCCATGTCTGAGGTGACTTACTAGCCATTTAACCCATGTTTGAACATGTCTTTTGGTGAGCCCATGATGTTGACCTGTCCTGTACCTGTCTGAAGAACTCTTCCAGCAGGGACGAGGTCCAGCGGTGGTGCAGGCTCCAGCGTTTGGCAGGATGACTGATGTCCGCAGTGTGCAGCAGCAGAGAAAGGGCCTTTGGCTTGTCTATTCTGTAGCGGATAATACATTTCTGGGTTGAATGGAATAATATGCCTGTGCATTCGACCCTCATTCAGAAGGAAAGTGCATAGAGTGACGCAATGCAACTTCAACAACATGGCAGTCCACAAAGAAAAGCATGTTTCAATATAAAGTAGAATTCGGATGATATTTGAAATGTCTGACAAACTGGAATCAAAAATAAAATACAAAAACACTAATCTGGGTTTTTTAAAGAGAAACTAACACAACCCCTTATTTCATGATTGGTCTTCCCATGAATTCCCATAAAATCAATATCAAATTCCAATTGTTCCAAATATCGGGATATTAGCAGTTTGCCATTTCCCAGCTCTAGATCCAGTATTCTGTGGCCATAGAGTTATAGTAGTGTTACTATTTTCATTCGTATGGATCTTCCCAGAGAGAGGTGATACTCACGCATCAGGCTGCTGCAGAAATGTCTTCATGGTCTTGATCTGCTGGAAGTGACATGACATGTCTGTGGCCAGCACCATCTCCACCACCAGGGACCGCAGCTCTCTGTGCACCCACAAGCATCAGGAAAACTTCTAGTACATTCTGGTCCTTCAGGTGCTTTCCTCAACTGGCCAGGTGGTAATCTGAAGTGGTTCCATTGACGCTTCTTATGATACAGATGTCATCGCTTTGCTTGAAATGTCGCTCTTAATTTTGGAAGACATTAGTGCTTAAAAACGTATTTTTCTACAGTGTAAAGACTTGCCTCTCCAAAGATATAACTTTAAACTCAGCCGAGTTCCAGACACAAGAGCACCCTTTAGATCAGGCTCTGCTGGCTCTGATAAAAAACCTGCAGCCACAGCGGCCCTTTCGGGAGTTTGGACATCCTTGATTTAGTGTAATCTAAGAAAAAAACAGCACCTCCACCAGGATAGTTGAGGAATGCACCTTTAAACATGACCTTCAGAATATTTACTTTGGCACTTCCAGTACTATAATTTTAGAAGATATGAAGAATAGAGGTAAGGATTCATTGTATTCACAATACAGTCTTAAATCAAGACTGCTGATAACGTTACGGTTTGAAAATGTCTTTGGAAATATGTGGAGTCACTTAAATATATAAATCTATTCTTGTCATTCTCCACTGTTTTGGATTATTGTGTATACATTTCCCATGGGGGCAATAAAGTCCCAATGCAGGATTTAGAACAGCCCTGAGTCCAGGACAGAGTCATGCATTGTCACATGCATTGTTGTGTCTCAGTAAAACCACAAGAGCTAATCCGCTGAGGCAGTGTATAGCTCTTTAGGTCAAACTCTTTCCACAGCACTTCATCCATAGTAATTACAAAGCATCCTACAGTTTGAGGAAAATTGTGATAGATTAGCTTAGTGTAAAGTGTGCATACCTCCAGTCTTCTTTGGACAGGTTGCACAGGATGTTGTTGTCATCTTCAGCCTGTAGGAGGCGGTAAGCAGCGCTGATGTGGTGGTTCTCCTGCACTGCACGGTCGTTGTAGAGCAGAGCAGTATCTGACCTGAAAGTAGTATGCATTTAACCAGGAGAAGTGTCTGACCTATGACAAAACCAACCTGTCCTGGATCTCCTCTGGCTCCAGTTCAGGCCTAAATGCTGGTTCATAAAGCCCTCCACAGTCTGGAACTTTCATACACCCGTCTCAGATACTTGGACCCCAACCGTCTTGCTGTTCTCTGTGTGAGGGCTATCCTCTCCACCTTCCTACTTTTTCTGTCGGCATGATTAGAATTTTGTAGTCTGTTCATTGCTATTCACTCGTTGTCCCGTTGTTTGTTTCATGGTGTGACGATGGGACCCCTGAACCTGCGGACTGCCTCTCTCAATGTGGATCTCCCCAAGGTTTCTCACTTTTCTCCCACTGGGTTTTTGAGTTGTTCCTTGCCGATGCAGGAGGGTCTGTTAGACTGTTTGTGGTCTAACAAGAAGGACTGTGGTGGTGTTCCAGGACACTCCCAAAATAAATCACTAGTAAACTAAAGTTCCTGGTCTGAGCCTTTAGCGCAAGGTAGCCCCTCCTTCCATGTGTGTCTTCCTGTTTCTGTGTGTGTCTTTGTTCGGGCTTGAACTTCGGCTCTCCTCCCAGACACTGCCATTCATGTGAAGCCATTTTGTATGGTCAATGGCATCCCGGAAAACGATCAATGCCACCAGTTGAGGAGTCCGCTGGCTATAAAACAGCGGTGTAACTTTTGGACGAGGTGGCATGTAAGCACTCACCTGGTCTGCACATGGAAGTTGTTGGTGGTGCCTGTGTGCTCGTAGTCGTGGATCGCTGCAGCAAAGATGATAGCAAGAATCTCCAACTCGCTCAGCCAGTGCTGCGAGGGACACAAAATTCAAAATTCAAAAATTCTTTGTTACTTACACACATACATTTTTGTTACATTCTCATCAAAAGTAGCTTACAGTCAATGTTAAACAAATTCAATGGTAATCACATGGAAACTAGTACAGCCCTCGACAAAATACCAATATCCCAATGTGGCCCCAAGGAGAAAATAATTGCCCTTCTCTTTCCTGGATTTACAGTATATCAAACACATAATATCAGAAGCCTTTGCATCAAAATTGTTGCAATGTTGTGAGAAAGTATGATAAATAAACTCCCCACAGTCATATTTCTTCTCAAGCTCATCTCCTCCTTCAGCAAGTGCCACCATGAGTTTGAAGACCATGGAGATCAGAGATATTCTCATGCCATCAACGATCTTCCCTAATGACTAGTGTCCCTGTCAGGATCTAACATGAGTCTAACATGAGTCTAACATGTGTCTAACATGTGTCTAACATGTCTCTAACATGTGTCTAACATGTGTCTAACATGTGTCTAACATGTGTTTAACATGTGTTTAACATGTCTCTAACATGTGTCTAACATGTGTCTAACATGTGTCTAACATGTGTTTAACATGTGTTTAACATGTCTCTAACATGTGTCTAACATCTAGAGCTGTGGTTCTTAACCTTGTTGAAGACACCGAACCCCACCAGTTTCACATGCGCATTCACCTTGTTCAAAGAACAAAACCAACACAATGCATGAACTCACAACAAAGAACAAACCTGCAAATAAGTGTGACTCCTGCTATTGCTTTTGACAGACCAGTTCAGATACATTATGCATGCAGGTCAGAAATCTAGGGGTAATACTGGACTCAGACTTAAATTTTAATCAGCAGCTTTTTACCATCTAAAAAACATTGCCAGGATCAAAAACATAATGTCTAAAGCAGACTTGGAGATTCTTATCCATGCATTTGTCTCCAGTAGGTTAGACTACTGCAATGGCCTGCTCACAGGTCTGTCCAAACAGGCTGTAAAACAGCTGCAGTACATTCAAAATGCAGCAGCTCGAGTCCTGACTAGAACCAGGAAGTACGACCACATTAGTCCAGTCCTCAGGTCTCTGCACTGGCTTCCTGTGGCTCAGAGAATAGAATTTAAAACAGCTCTGCTTGTGTACAAGTCTCTCAATGGCCTCGCACCAAAATATATTAGTGACATGTTAGTCCCATATGAACCAGCCCGGACTCTGAGGAGCACAGGGACTGGACTCCTGTTAGTGCCCAGAGTCAGAACTAAACATGGGGAGGCTGCTTTTCAGATTCATGCTGCTAAAATCTGGAACAGTCTTCCTGAAGATGTGAGACAGGCCTCCACTCTGACAATGTTTAAAACCAGGTTAAAGACAGTTCTGTTTAGCTGTGCATACAACTGAGGGATTTTATGTTTTTATCTTTCTTTTTAATGTTTCGTGATTATTTATGATTTTAATGCTATCTTGTTCAGCACTTTCAGCAATTGTGCTATACAAATAAACTTGCCTTGCAGGGTTAATAAAGGAAGCCTGGAGGTTCCTTTCCTTACTGTTCCAGATCAAGTTTACACCTTTTTAGAATTGCTACTGTTATTTTGGAAACCCCTGTATGTATATATATATATATATATATATATATATATATATATATATATACACACACATATATATATATATATATATACACACACACATATATATATATATATATTTTTTTTTTTGTCCACTCACCTTTGGCCCTCCGCGGGCGGTTATCCCTCTCTAAGCTTGGGTCCTCTACCAGAGGCCTGGGAGCTTGAGGGTTCTGCGCAGTATCTTTGCTGTTCCTAGCACTGCACATTTCTGGACCGAGATGTCCGAGGTTGTTCCGGGGATCCGCTGTAACCACTCATCTAGCTTCGGGGTCACTGCCCCGAGTGCACCGATCACCACGGGCACTACTGTCACCTTTACCCTCCAGGCCCTCTCCAGCTCCTCTCTGAGACCTTGGTATTTCTCAAGCTTTTCATGTTCTTTTTTCCGGATGTTACCATCGCTTGGAATTGCCACGTCCACCACCACGGCTGTCCTCTGCCCTTTGTCTACCACCACGATGTCAGGTTGGTTTGCCATTACCATTCGGTCGGTCTGTATCTGGAAGTCCCACAGGATCTTCGCACGCTCATTTTCCACCACCTTTGGAGGAGTTTCCCACTTAGACCTTGGGGTTTCCAGCCCATACTCTGCACAGATGTTTCTGTACACTATGCCAGCCACTTGGTTATGGCGTTCCATGTAGGCCTTCCCTGCCAGCATCTTGCACCCTGCAGTTATGTGTTGGATCGTCTCAGGTGCCTCTTTGCACAACCGACACCTTGGGTCTTGTCTGGTGTGGTATATCTGGGCCTCTATCGCTCTGGTGCTCAGTGCCTGTTCCTGTGCAGCCATGATGAGTGCCTCTGTGCTGTCCTGTAGGCCAGCCCTTTCTAGCCATTGGTAGGACTTCTTGAGATCAGCCACTTCTGTTATGCTCCGGTGGTACATGCCGTGTAGGGGCTTGTTCTCCCATGATGGGCTCTCCTCCAGCACCTCCTCATCTCGCCACTGCCTGAGACATTCACTGAGTACGTCATCCGTTTTGGCCTTCTCCATGATGTAGTTATGGAGTTTGGATGTTTCGTCCTGGACAGTGGCTCTCACACTCACTAGTCCTCGGCCTCCTTCTTTACGGCTTACGTACAGTCTCAGGGTGCTGGATTTGGGATGGAACCCGCCATGCATGGTAAGGAGCTTTCGAGTTTTAACATCCGTGGTCTGAATCTCTTCCTTTGGCCACCTGATTATTCCTGCAGGGTATCTGATCACTGGCAGGGCGTAGCTGTTAATTGCCCGGGCCTTGTTCTTGCCATTGAGCCGGCTTCTTAGGACCTGCCTTACTCGCTGGAGGTATTTGGCAGTTGCCGCTTTCCTCGTCACCTGTTCGAGGTTGCCATTTGCCTGTGGTATACCGAGATACTTGTAACTGTCCTCAACGTCTGCTATTGTTCCCTCTGGGAGTGAGATCCCTTCTGTGTGGACTACCTTGCCTCTCCGAGTCACCATCCTGCTACATTTCTCGAGCCCGAATGACATCCCGATGTCATGGCTGTAGATCCTGGTTGTTTGGATCAGAGAGTCGATGTCTCTCTCGCTCTTGGCGTACAGCTTGATGTCATCCATGTAGAGGAGGTGACTGATCTTTGCTCCGTTCCTGAGGCGGTATCCATAGCCAGTCTGGTCAATTACTTGGCTTAGAGGGTTGAGGCCTATGCAGAACAGTAGTGGGGACAGAGCATCTCCTTGGTAGATACCACATTTGATGGTCACTTGTGCGAGCGGCTTGCCATTTGCCTCAAGGGTAGTCTTCCACATTCCCATCGAGTTTGCAACGAAGTCCCTTAGAGCCCTGTTGATATTGTACAACTTCAAGCATTCCATGATCCATGTGTGTGGCATTGAGTCGTAGGCTTTCTGGTAATCAATCCAGGCTGTGCACAGGTTGGTGTGTCGTGACCGGCAGTCTTGGGCGACTGTTCTGTCAACCAGGAGCTGGTGTTTGGCTCCTCTGGTGTCCCTACCAATGCCCTTCTGTGCTGTGCTCATGAATTGTTCCATATGCCCACTTATCTTAGCCGCAATGATGCCTGACATGAGCTTCCATGTTGTGGAGAGACAGGTTATTGTCTCTCCACAACATATATATATATATATATATATATATATATATATATATATATATATATTATATATATATATATATATATAGGGGTTTCCAAAATCCAAATCCAAAAATTTTAAATGTAAGGAGGGGAAGGAAACTCAATTGTGCTGGACTTTCCTGATATTAGCATGGATGGAACGCAAATGAGAGACAACATGGATAAGAACTCAAAAAGTCAAATGAGGGATAAAGTATGCGAGGTTGCAGCAGTGTAAGTGTTGTGAGCTGGCATATGTTTGCGTTTGTGTCCTTGGGCCGCACCATCATGCCGGTCTGCAGCAGCAGGTAGTGGATGGTCTGGGTGACGTCGGCCGCATGCATGAGGTTGTGGTACGGGTTCTTGTGCTTGCTGTAGCCCTCCTCCAGAAGCTCCAGGAAGGATAGCAGGGACGCGATGGGAATCTGCAAAAAATAAAACGTAGTGATTTATCAACAATATCAGAAAAATCCACCTTCAGTTGTGAATTAAACCAGCCAGAGATATTGTGTTGTCTATATTTCTGGAGAATATGATTACAAAAACATTTATTCTGCCCATTGAAAGTAGTTTTGAAGTTGTAACTCAGTAAAACAGTTACATGTTGGTATATAGCCCTCCTCTGGCTGCAAGGTGCTAATTTGTGTGGTCTTGTTCAAATGTAAAACATGCAAACGGTGAATGTTTGGGGTGTATTAGCATGTCATTATCCTGTAGTAACGGAGAGCGGATGTTTATGCAGTAGCTAACGCGAAAAAATATATATATATTACGGTTAGTCAAAAGAGGACAATGATTGTAGCCTTTCTTTGATAAATCAGCGAAAAGGAACAAAGTCTGTTTTTTGGAGCACCTCAGCTGCATCTGAGGCTCTTGAAACCTGTGGAGTGCAGAGTGGATCCAGCACGATTGGCAGCTGCCACACACCTGCCTCCGCTCAGTGAACCGGTAGAGGACACGGGCAGAGAGACACCAGCCTCCAGCAAGAGTGGGGCTGCTCCTGAGGTATTCCTCCAATGCGTCTTGGGTCTTCCCCTGGTGGGACATGCTCAGAACACCTCCCACGGAGGCGTGCAGGAATCCGAAACAAATGTCTCATGTGGCTCTTCTCCACAAAAAGAAGTGCGGCTCTACTCTGAGCTCCTTCCATGTGACCGGGCTCTAAAGCTGTGTTTAAACCACAACAAACAGTAAAGCAGGTTTACATGCAAAGTTGATGGAGCCATTTGTCAGTGTGAATATCCAAATGTGCGTTGTAGCATGTACGTTTGTTTGGCACTGCAGCAGCGCTTTTACATGTGCGTTGAGTGCAGCAACTCATTACAGGTGATGAACATTGCTCAACTTGGCCGGACAGACATTCAGCAATCATTCAGAGGCCCAAGCCGCTCAGTGCAGGAGGAAGACACTTGAAAACAGCCAAAACAAGAGCCAAACTAGGATTATACCAGGACTCTCCTGCATCCTCTTAGGGGAAACTGTGCAGACACAGGGAAAACATGCAAACTCCACACAGAAAGGCCTTGAGGTGGAATCGAACCAAGAACCATATTGCTGTTGAGCACAAGCACTAACCACTGTGCCATCGTGCCGCCAACATGAGGCTTTTGTTTACATTCGGTCATAAATGAAGCATTTTAGGCAAGGCAAGGCAAGGCAAGGCAAGTTTATTTATATAGCACAATTCATACAAAAGGCAATTCAAAGTGCTGAACAAAACAAGAGAGCATTACAATCATAAATAATCATAAATAATCACAGAACATTAAAAAGAAAGATAACAATATAAAATCCCCCAGTTGTATGCTTAGCTAAACAGAACTGTCTCTAACCTGGTTTCAAACATTGTCAGAGAGGAGGCCTGTCTCACATCTTCAGGAAGATTGTTCCACTATCTTTCCCCCAGTGGGAACACAAGGGAATCCATTCTTTGAAAGACATCACAGGGCCAGATGGACTAAGGGAATTTCAAGATCTTAGAACTTCTTACAATTTACCAAGCTCGTCATTCTTTTTTTATCTTCAGCTACGGACTGCTATGCAGGCTCAGGGGGTCCCATGGGGGTGCTACCTCCCAGACCACCCATTCCATTCTATCCTGGGCCAAGGGAAACTCAATGGTATTGTCTCCAAACTATATAAATGTATCTTAAAATCACAATGTAATCGTCTGCCAATTGAATCACTTTGGAAATCAGATTTAAATGACTATACCGTTTGGGACTGGTCTAAAATTTGGTCCAACTTATCACTATCATCGAGAAATCCAAACCACCAAATGATTCATTATAAATGTATCCACAGGTCCTACTTATTTCCAAGGCAATTACATAAGATGAAGCTAAAAGAGAACCCTTACTGTGATTACTGTGCAGACAATACCATTGGAACGTACCTTCATATGATCTGGGAATGTCCTGAAGTCCATCAGTTCTGGAACACAATCTCATCGTGCCTCTCTGACATCACAGGTCAGAATATTCCCCACACCCCGAGGCTTTTGATATTGAATGACACATCAGACCTGAATTTAACTGTTAATGAGCATTGCACACTGTTTGCTGGTCTCACCGCTGCAAAAAAAATTATAGTGTGCCGTTGGAAAACTAAACAGCCTCTGAGTGTGAGGGAATGGCTCTCCTCGTACAGAGAGATCGCTCAATTAGAACTGTCAGCAGCCCGGGTTCATAAGGCCAAAGCGGTAAATGTAATCTGCTGGTCTAATTTATTGACCAAACTTGTATAGACTATACACCAGTGTATTATACATAGATCTATGTAAAACCCATAACTATTGTTCTTTATTTTCATTTACCCTTTCTGTAAGGCTTTGTATTTTATTTTTATTATTTTTATTATTATTATTTTTTTTTGTTTTTTTTGTTTTTTTTGTTTGTTTGTTTGTTTGTTTATTATTGTTTACATAAGACTATGTAAACACTGCGGCTTCTGTGGATGTTCATAACGGAGGAAGTTCGCCATATTATGTGTCTGTAAATAATGAAATGTTATTGATGCCTGGAGAATGGGGTGGGGGGGGTGTTAGCGGGGCTGGGTGTGTGCATGTGTGTGTGTGTGTGTGTGTGTTTGTGTATTTATGTTGGGATGGGTGGACCCATGGGAGGGAGGGGACAAAAATGTAAAATGTTTGCGCATTTGTTTTCTGTTCCGTGACCATTGTCATCTCTGTATGCAGCGCAACACAATAAATACTTGATCAAAAAAAAAAAAAAAGGAAGATTGTTCCAGATTTTAGCAGCATGAATCTGAAAAGCAGCCTCCCCATGTTTAGTTCTGACTCTGGGCACTAACAGGAGTCCAGTCCCTGTGCTCCTCAGAGTCCGGGCTGGTTCATATGGGACTAACATGTCACTAATATATTTTGGTGCGAGGCCATGGAGAGACTTGTACACAAGCAGAGCTGTTTTAAAGTCTATTCTCTGAGCCACAGGAAGCCAGTGCAGAGACCTGAGGACTGGACTAATGTGGTCGTACTTCCTGGTTCTAGTCAGGACTCGAGCTGCTGCATTTTGAATGTACTGCAGCTGTTTTACAGCCTGTTTGGACAGACCTGTGAGCAGGCCATTGCAGTAGTCTAACCTACTGGAGACAAATGCATGGATAAGAATCTCCAGGTCTGCTTTAGACACTATGTTTTTGATCCTGGCAATGTTTTTTAGATGGTAAAAAGTTGCTGATGTTACTGATTTGATGTGGCTATTAACATTTAAGTCTGAGTCCAGTATTACCCCTAGATTTCTGACCTTGTTTGAAGGTTTTAGGGAGAGAGACTGTAGGTGACAGATGACGCTCTCTCTTTGTTTCTGGGGACCAAAGACAATCATTTCAGTTTTGTCTGCGTTTAGCTGAAGGAAGAAGTTGTTTTTCATCCACCCACTGCATAGTTGTGATGGGACACTTTGTTTCTGCGTATTAACTGACCTAACGGCAGCATGTATAGATTGAACAGAAGAGGTCCCAGGATCGACCCCTGTGGTACTCCACAGGTCAGGGCCATATGATCTGAGACACAGTTTCCAATCTCCACAAAGTACTTCCTGTCCTCAAGGTAAGACACAAACCAACTTAGGGCGGTGCCAGCGACTCCAACCCAGTCCTCTAATCTCTGTAAGAGGATCTCATGGTCGACAGTGTCGAAGGCAGGACTTAGATCTAACAAGATTAAGATTGAGACTTTGCCTGCGTCAGTGTTCAGCCGGATATCGTTTGTAACCTTGACGAGAGCAGTCTCAGTGCTGTGGTGGGGTCTAAAGCCGGACTGAAACATATCAAATGAGTTGTTGATTATAAGAAATCTAATAAGCTGTAGGTAGACAACTTTCTCAAGGACTTTCCCCATAAATGGCAGATTTGAGATTGGACGATAGTTGTTAAGTACCGTAGCATCGAGACTGCTCTTTTTTTTAGCAGGGGCCTGATTACTGCAGTTTTCCGGGCCTTTGGGAATATTCCAGAATGAAGGGACATGTTTACTATCTGTGTGAGTGAAGGTAACAGACTGCTCAGAACAGACTTCAGAAATCTAGTGGGTAGTACATCCAAGCTACATTTGGAGGAGCTCAAACTGGAGATTATCTCTTGGACAGTTTTATCATTTACAGGTGCAAAGTGAGTTAGCTCAAAGAGCCTTTCTGGCTGTTGGAGGGTTATCTGTGGATTGGAGACAATGGCGTTTTTGATGCCTTGAACCTTGTCATTAAAAAAATTAGCAAACTCATTGCATTTACGTTTGGAAGTAAGCTCTAATGGCATTTGAACAGGGGGTTTGTTAATCTATTAACTGTTGAGAACAGAACACGCAGATTGTTGCTGCAGCCTTCAATCATTTCAGAAAAATACCTTTCTCTCGTACTACGTAGCACCCGGTTAAACTCGCACAACTTATCTTTGAAGATCTCGTAATCAACCTGGAGGTTGGACTTGCGCCACTTCCGCTCGGCCCTCCGGCATTTTCTCTTTTGTGCCCTGACCGAGTCTGCTTTAGCCCACGGCGCCTTCTGCTTATTTTTCACTATTTTAACCTTCACAGGGGCAACGGTATCCAGAACATTCAAAACACTAGAGGTGACAGAGTTAAACAGTTCATCTACAGTAGAATACGATGCATTCTCAAAGTTTATCATTCCCATAAATAGTTCACTCGTATTTTCATTTATGTTTCTTCTTCGAACGGTTGCAGAGTCCACTGGTGGTTTGTTAGTGAAACACATGTCAAAAAAACCACAGAAATGATCCGAAAGAGCAACATCGACCACGTTTACATTTGAAATATTCACCCCCTTAGTAACTAACAGGTCTAGAGTGTGCCCTCTGCTGTGGGTGGGGTCACTTACGTGCTGAGTAAGATCAAAGGATTCAAGTACAGAACTCAGCTCATTTGCATTTCTGTCATCAACATTATCCACATGAATATTAAAATCACCTGTAATAACCAAACTATCAAAATCTGTGCATACAACTGAAAGCAACTCGGTAGAATTATCAATAAAACTGTGACATGACTGCGGTGGCTTGTATAGGACAATGAAGAGTATTGGAGGAGATTGTTTTTGTTGTATTTTAAAAGACACATATTTATATGATGAAAACTTCTCAAGAGACATTCTATGGGAGACAAAGTGGTCTCTAAAAATGGCAGCTAAGCCTCCTCCTTTTTTTTTTCCCGTATTTCAGATTCAAACTTGAAATTTGGTGGTGATGCTTCTATTAAAACTGCATTTCCTGAATTTTGGTCAAGCCAAGTTTCAGCCATGAACATAAGATCAAGATTATGAGAACAAATAAAATTATTGATTAAAAAAGACTTGTTACAAAGAGATCTGACATTAAGCGTAGCAAGTTTCAAAGTTTCAGTATCAGCGGTTGTGGTCGGCTGATTCTTACACGGAACAAGAATTAGATTTTCCAGATTAGACTGATTAACTCCAGATGTTTTTCTGTAATGTATTCTTTGTGTTATCACTAAGGGAATGGCACAGGTGGCTTCATGACAGGGCCCCAGCCAGGTCTCTCCTCTAACTAGACTGCCAGTGGCTGCGAAGCAGAGACCCTGTGCATCCTAGCGTTTAGAGAAAAGAGGGGAAGGGGAAGGCGGGGGAGGAGGATGGAGAGGTGGGTGGCTTTTGGGTGTTGAACGAGGGGGGCAGGGAGGTGGAGGGGTTTTTGGTGATGGGTTAGGGCCGGGGTGGGCTGAGGCAGAGGTTTTGGGTGTTGAACGAGGGGGAAGTGGGGGTGGAATGGTCATGAGGTTAGGGGAGGGACTGGCTGAGGTGGTTTTTGTAGGTGAATTGGAAACCCTAGGTGGTTTTGGAGGTACATATGGGGAGTGGTTTAGAATGTTGGACAGGACTCTAGATCGAGCTAATATGGGTGTGAGAGGAATAGTCTTCATCGCCGATTTTATTAGCCCTGCAGAGTGTACAGGTAGGTCTAACAGTGAAGGCGGGGATGAAAAACAAAGGGAGGTGTCCCCATTCTCTCTTGATGGAGTGGACGTGGCAGGGGGGACCTAAGACAGGTCTATGGGAGGTGGCGAGGGAGTCTTTGATGGAGGGGCAGGTGGTTGAGAAAACCCCAGCACAGGCCTGTCTGCTGTAGGCTGGGGTGAGGATGGGGGCTTCAGAGGCGCTGTAGATGAAGAAGGCGTGGCTGCTTTGGAGCAGGCTGGGGATGAGGATGTTGGTGGTGGTGGTCGTGCTACTGGTGCTGCTGCTGGTGATGATGCAGCTGCTTCTGATGACAGTGGTGGTGTTGAGATCCTTTGAGGCGGTGATGGTGTTGAGATCCTTTGAGGTGGTGGTGGTGTTGAGATCCTTCGAGGTGGTGGTGGTGTTGAGATCCTTCGAGGTGGTGGTGGTGGTGTTGAGATCCTTCGAGGTGGTGGAGGTGCAGAGACTTTTAGAGTTGGCTTCCTCCCTTTCGATGGCTGCACGCGCTGCACAGGCTGAGGTCTCAGGGCAAAAGAAAGGTTATCCATCAACATTCGGTTGGCATCAAGTGTTCAGATGTGGCCCTTTCCCTTCAAAAAGCTCATGCCTATTCCAGAACAGATTAAAATTCTCAATGAAGGCAAGTCCTCTGCGTGAACATTCGTTGAGTAGGAAAGTATTTAGCTGATACAGACGACTGAATTTCATTTGCTTCCCGTCCACATTTGGTAGTGGGCCACTGATAACGATTGTTGCGTCCATTTTAGCAAGGTCGTCCAATAAGAGAGAATAATCTCGTTTCAACTTTTCACTTGTGTTGTCATAGACGTCTACTGCCCCCACGTGGATCAACAATCTTTTTACCCCGCCGGTCTCAGACAGAAGCCTCGGAGCCAACCGCCTTAACTCATCCACTTTGGCAGAGTGTACTGAGTGAACCTTGAGATTACGCATGTTCCATCCATCCATCCAATTTCTTCCGCTTCATCCGTTGCCGGGTCGCGGGGGCAGCAGTCTAAGCAGAGACGTCCAGACTTCCCTATCCACACACACTTCCTCCAGCTCGTCCGGGGGGACCCCAAGGCGTTCCCAGGCCAGCTGAGAGACATAGTCCCTCCAGCGTGTCCTGGGTCTTCCGCGGGGCCTCCTCCCGGTGGGACGTGCCCGGAACACCTCCCCAGGGAGGCGTCCAGGGATTACGCATGTTTACATTCCTAATCGCAGAATCCCCGATAAAGAGCGACTCAGCTGCATTTGACCTTGACTGAGACTGAGACTGGGACTGAGAGGCTACTGCTGATTCATCTTCCAAAAGTGTTTTTTATATTTTATAATGAAATCAAATGATTGCACTTTTCTAGGCCTGAAATAATTAACTGCTATGGATCCAAGTCTTTCGGCTCTCTAATCGTGAGAATGTTAGCTTCTTCTGGCGTACCATTGAGCCTAATCTTCACTAGTCCCAGGCCGCTTTGTTTTCATTATATTTTCTGCACTTGCATGTCTGGCAATATCTTGTGATCTGTTTTGGTTGGTGTTCATACGGTTAAACACCGGTGTCTTATAGCATCTAACAGCTAGATGCTAAATGATTCTAGTTTATTAACAAAGCTTATGTAGTGAACCGACAATAACACAAGACATATTCTTCAGACGTTCACACACTTGTGTCTTTGGCCTGTCACATCAGCTTTTTCAGACAGAAATGTTAGAAAGCGACGACCACCCTCACTCAGTCAATCAGATTTCAGCACAAATGAAGATGCCATGTTGTGGTCCAAAGTGTTCACAAAATGTTTCTTATGCAGGACTCTTTATGTTAAGACAAACATAATGTACAAGTAAAAGTTACACTACTAAAGATGATAAATTACGAGGTAATAATTGCTTAAATTGTGTGTTTTTGTCTTAAAACAAGATTTGCCAATGGGACAAGCATTTAGTCCTATTTCATCTCATTCATCTTTTTAAAACAAGATACTTTTGCTTTGTCCCATTGTCAAATCTTGTTTTAAGGCATCCAAAATGTGCTCAAATTAAGATACATTTGCCAAATATACACTTCTTTTTTCAGTGTAAGTATCCTAGCTTGTAAACTTTTAAAGGAGACATATTTGCTTTTGGAGTATAGAAGTGTTGTGGAATGATCAGACAGTTCATTCATACTGACCTTGAAGCGGTTGATGAGGTCGTATCGAGACAGCAGCTCGTAGAAGACAAACTTGAGTGCGTGGTCTCCACTGGCATCGTTCAGGGCGAACACATCAAACGACCACATATCTATGTGCTGCAGGGAAGGATGTTTTATTTATATAGCACTTTTCTCAGTGCCACACAGACTGCAATGACAAGCTCCAACAAGTGCAAATGATGAGTAAAAACATTCTGTAGAGTTTGGAATATTAATTTTGCATCAGTTTTTATTTTTTTTAACATTCTTTTTTGAGTTTTTTGCATTTTTAACTGCTTTTCGATGTTTTTCTGCAATAAGATAACAAAAACTGCAGGAACTGGGCATAGTGTTTCAATCTGTTTTTCTATTCATGTTCACACTGCAAAAAAATGATAAAACATGAGTGGACTCTATTTTAATGTGAGTACATTCTGACTGTCTTAAAACAAGATTTGCCAATGGGGCAAAGCTATTTAAAACAAGATTGTCCCATCAGCAATTTTTCACTTCTTTTTCATCACATTTTGCAGTGCAGAACTTTTATATTCAGCTGTTTTAAATGGATTCTATAAATACATTTGGTGGAATGTTTCTCACTTTGTCCCCCAGCACTAACACTGAAGTGGATCACCCCTGCAGCAGCTCTCATCTCAAAGAGCCATATGGCTGTTCCTTACAAGTATGTGATACTGTAGTTCATAGTGCCCTAATTACATGAACACATTTCTGTTTACAGTATAATATATGGAGGAAAAAATAGAATGAGTAATTTTAACACTATGTAGGCGATGTATTTTGAACTTCATAACCCGCAAGCTATATATCATTTTAAAGCTTTTTTTCTCATCTACATATATATATATATATAAGTGTAAACAATATCAGACTTTGCATTACAAAGATATAACGCATAATATGGGCACAAAATAAATCGTGTTTGTATAAGTTTCTTACCTTTCGTCTTCTGCTGTTGAACAAATTAGACTTTCCCCATCCTTGCTCAGTCTCTTTCTCTCCGTAACTGTTCATTGAAAAAGAACGTCCACTTGTATTTCCCAAAGTATAATCCATTCTTCAGAAATAATCCAAAAGTGTGCGTTTATCTTTTGCACACAAAAAACGTTCCGAAAGAGGTTCAGACTGCTCTTTTACATTTCACCAAGTTTGAGCTTTGTTTACCCACGAACATCATATCCACGGGTTCCTTGAGTCCTTAGCTTCAAAAAGAGAAGTTCCATGAAAAGATAGGAGCAGTTTTCAGTCCGCAGGACCCTTGTGAAAAAGACAAGCCGCATCTATTTGAGCAGGGTCCGTTTGGTTTTGTTGGCCTGGCGGCTAGCGCAATGTGCTATTGCTGAATGATTGACATGTCTAAGTAGCCAATAAAAAAAGCTTTCTATTGATGGGTGGGGCATTGTGGAACTCATTTTTTTTCTCAGAGTACAACCATGCGTAAAGACGCTCTTTCATTGCTGCGCATATTTATTATGCATTTACACTACTAAAACATTTACTTTGAAAAAATTTATAAAGTAACTTATAAGTACCAAAACTAAAAAATATGCTTTTTATGATGGTAAAATGTTAGTAAAGCTATCTGGCACAATTTGGCACACTTGGCAAAAAAGAGAAGCTGGATAAAAACTATTACACTTAGAAGACTGAAACTTTAGACAGTTATTTATAACAACACAATGACCATAGGGTTTGAATATTGTCTTCTTCCAATGAAGTATGCCTTTTATAGGGCATTTATACATTGAATATTTCAGGCGAGGCTAAAAAGAACAGGTTTTTTTTCCAAAACTTCAAAGGATGCAGAGTGAAATAGGAATGACAAACATTATTTTAGTGTATATTTACATAAACTAGAAGGCTCTAGCTTTAATATGATGCACCACACAGGCATGTGAGATGTAAGATATGTTTTTAAATAAGCAAAGACATTTTGGTATGCCCAACTTTTGTGCACAAGCCAAAATGATATAGGAGTTTAAGAGGGTAATTAAGATCCTTTATTTGTCCCACAGTGGGGAAATTTCGGACCTGTACCTCTTTACCTGTGCACATGCATATGATGTGTAGGAGGGGGAGAATACCTTGAGCACAGAGATGACTTTGGAGGGGTAGCAGAGGCCGGCCTGGTTGGAGGTGCGGCGGTACATTCTACAAACAAAGCATATGTTTTTCCATTTTTCTTCATTCAAAGTGGAAAACTACATTCTACAAAAGCTTAGGCGCTGAGGTTCGAGGGCCAGCTCCAGCTTAGTGCCTATGACTTGCCTATGACGTGCCTATGAACCCAGGGGACATGGAAGGCCCATGTCCCCTGGGTTTTAAGTCATAGGCTCTGTGGTCTCAGGGCAGCAAGGTGGCTGAGTGGATCGCACTCTTGCTTCTCAACAAGAAAGTACCCGGTTCAAATCCCGGTCGGGACATGGTCTTTCTGAGTGGAGTTTACATGTTCTCCCCGTTACTCTACTGTTTGTTTCCTCCGGGTGCTCCGGTTTCCCTTACCACTAACAATTTCAATAACTAACATGCGCCTCCTGTTTGGCGACCTTGCTCCCATGTTTGTGTGGAGTGAGATGTCCACAATTGTAACGCACTATAGAAATCTTTATTTACTCACTCTTAAACCCGGTGGACAGGGGTCCAGCGCTCTTCCCCATGTCAAAACTGCTCCCTTGTTGGAAGGTTTTAAGTCTCGTCTTAAGATACACTTTTACTCTCTGGATTTCAACACCACAGGAGTTGTGTGGTCCTTTGTGTTTTATACATTTTATTGTTTTATTTATACTTTCAATGTAAATTTAATTGGGATTTTATCATTTTTATTTTAATGTAATTGCTTTTATTTCACACATTGTTGATAAATCACAATGTTTTATTTTTTCTGAGTTTTTATATAAAGCTGGCAGGCTTGTATGTTTAAATGTGTTACCATTTATCTCTGTGCAGAACTATTCTGGTGAATGTGCCAGTTTTGATCACTACAACCCCAAAATGTCATACCTCTCCACAAAGATGCCGGCTTGTACTGCGTGAACAATGGCTCTGAAACGGGGCTTGTCCTCAGAGCGCCTCAGCAGGATCCTCTGCCTGGTGAAGGTGGAGGCCAGCCAGTCCCGCACCTCCGAGGGGACCGAGTCTGATTGGATGTCATTGAACTCATCCTCCAGGTCCGTGAGACGCCTGCATATACACAGACACACACACACACACACACACACACACACACACACACACACACACACACACACACACACACACACACATACACGTTTTTGTTACCTGGTGGGTCCCTTTGACAGGGCCGTTCAGAATGGGACCCATAGACATAATCTTTTTTTACTGGGACTACTTTAAGTAATACAAAACAGTCAATAGAAACCAAACAACTATTTTAAAGGAATTTTATTTTAGATTTTGTTTTCGAATTGCAGTGATTCTATTTTTGACATAGAATTTAATGCCACTCCATGTCCGATGTCTAAGGTCATCTGGTGAGGCATTAAGGCAGGCCAGGCAGTGAGACTTCCCAGGGACCTTTCCAGTCTGTATGAAAGGTGTCATGGTCTTCTCCACAGCCTTCACCTCAGATGCAGACCATGGCTTTCTTACACGTTCTAGGGAGAGAAATAAAAATATATTAGCAATATACACTCCCAGGGTTAGGACCAAGCAGCCTGGCTGTAATCCCCCACCTGGTACACTTACCAGAAGGGGCACTGCCACTACCATGGGGTGCATCTGGATGAATGGTTGAAGGTTCTCCGCTTGAAGTTTCTTTTAGCCCGTCCGTTTGTGAGAGGATCTCTACTGCTCTCCCTGTCGCACAGAAAATAAAAATACAAGTGGCCTTTAGGGGAAAAAAATCATACATATTTTAATAATATCAAGAATTACCTTCAGGCTCAATTTGTATCTGGTCGAGGCTCTTTCCTTCGAATTCCGTCACTCTTCCCTGCTCCATGGCCATCAACACTTTGCTGATTTTGGCCAGCTCCAGTGTCCCCTCTGGTAGTCTGTAATATTGCCTGTGGATGCGAATGTCATGGCCGAGGAAGTTGGCAAGTATGTCCATCTCATTCTCTTTCATATTGAGAACTGTAGACATAGTAGCTATGTGCTTTCTAAGTTTGGTTGAGGATAGCATCTCTGGATGCACCGCACCACATTCTTTGGCTACCTGGCGTAGGGAGTCTGATCCCCTGATGTGGGTGTCTGCGCCCGGGCGGAAAAGAAGTATGGGTTATGGTCAGAGATGGAACAGGCCCTTCTGTTCTCCACCAGCACCTCCATCGAAGCAATCATTTCAGGAGTCAAAAGAACCGGCACTTTCCGACTTCTTTTCCCTTTAATTTCAATGCGTTGAAAATGCTGACACAGCTTTTTCTCAAGTTGGGACAGTCCCAGAGCAATGTCAGAATGGATCCCAGTCTTACTTCTTAAGGTAAAGGCTGTCAGTGGCATCTTTGAAACCTCACCTTCCCTTCTTCGATTGAAAATGATGACCTCACAAAGAGTCAAAACTGCCAGTTTAGACCAATGCTTAGACGTTGGCTCACTTATTAGGGTTTGCACATATTCAGGTCGACATACCTCAATATGTGCATGCATGGCTCTAACGTCCTCAGTCAGAGGGAGCAGGTCCGGAGTGTTCCACTTGGCTTGCCGGAGGGTCTGTAGGGCAGCAGAAGAAACACAGACGTCCCACCTCTTCTCAAAAAGCAGCCGGCTTCGTTGGAGGTTTTTAATAAATAGTTCATCAACACAATGCTCCATTTTTGAGTCACATTCAAGAATATCTGCTAGCTTTCTGAGGCTATGGCCGAGTTTGAGGGCCAAGGATGGAGTCTTGTATTGATTTGTTTCCTCATCATATCCAGCCACAGACCTGACTGCATCAATCACATGGTTAAAGTTGGAAGGAATAAAGAAATTCTTAATTGTTTTCAGTTTCCCTGCGGTTTTTGCTTCGTTAATTAACCTACCGACTTCTCTCATTTTCTGCCTAATGTAATCATGCTTAGTCTTATCATGCCCGTGTTTTAAGTACAGGTGCTCTCCGAGTCTCAGAATCCCCTTTTCTGCTTTGACAACACCCGTGACCTCATCCTGATGCATTGCCGAAATTAAAGACCACAGCTTTTTGCTGATGCCCTCCGGTACAGGCTGGGCTAGGGAGCAGAGGGACTGGACCCTACTTCTACCTGGTTTAGCCTGGTTTAGCCTGGGCATCTTTCTGTGAAAGCCGGCACCTGGCCACATGCCTCCACAGCGACTTTCGCTTAAGCAATGCCCCACAGTCTATACAGTGCAAAAACTCACTGGATTTAACTGGGGAATTTGGCTGTTTAGCTGGGACTAAAGTTCCAATGCCGGCCTTTAAAACCTCAAAAGGAAGACCACACTCTTCCTGCCTTCCTGTATCCAACAGCCTGGCCTAGGCATCTTTGTAAGCAAGACAGTACAATAAAAAAATGATCCATCTGAAAAAGTCCTCCTCCTCCCTCCCATCAATCAGTTGGACTCTGCCCCATGTCGTTAGGTGTTTGCATTGATCAAAACAAGTGTGTGCATTGTGTGCGCATGTGTGCCCTACTCTGTGACTCTGGCTGTGACTGTTGTGGATGCACTGTCAGGCCGCGCCCCCAGTTTCACACATGTTCAGTGTATGGCCATAAACGCAGTTATAAGAGAAATTCCTTTTGTTAATTTAGTGTTTGTGTATCTGTGTGTGTATGGGGGGGGGTCTCCTTGCCTGGACTCCTCCACATACAGAGACTCCAGCACAGTGGCAGCAAACAGCAGGTTCTTCTTCAGCTCCACCACAGAGGCTTCTCCTCTCTCCAGCTGCTTTACCAGACAGCGCAACCTGGAACCAGCAACACACGCGCACACACAAAAATTACAAAGTTGTCCTTCGCATCAGATCAGAGAAAAAAGCAGTTCTAAAATGGACAATACAATAATAATAAACACATGGGAGCCATTGGTCCATAAGCTCCATTGGCTCATTTTATGACATCCCAGGGGCCATCCCTTAAGTAGAGTCAGTATTGTTCTGAGACTTACAAACTCATTTAATTACTGTATAGTGCGCTTGTAAAACTGAAACTGTTCAATATTTTTGGGGAAATGTAAAAAGTGATAAAACATTGTACTTGGTTAGACATTTTGATATAATGAGTACTTTTTAGGACTGTTAGGTTTGATGGTTTCAATGTATCTGAAATCTGTGAGTAGTAATGTAGAGTTGAGGAGGTTGTGGGCTCTCTTCACTCTGCACCACTTGTGCACTAAGCGTGTCATTAAACCGTGTACTGTATGAGTACGACTAAACAAGTCGGTACCAGCACCCAATCCAGTATTGTTATTGGTGCATTTCTATTGGAAAGGCAAGCCGTGCTGAGTGGGGCCAATTTTTGTAGATGTGCGTATAGTGGAGTCAAGAAAAGTTCCGTAAGAAAAGGTTTCTACCTCTCTAGGAGCTATCCATGAATGATTCTTGATTTACATACATAAATATACATTATATAACAAAAAAATAGGAAAAAAGGGACCCTGCTGTGTTGACTACCTGGTGATGTCAAACAATTGATCCACATTAATATTCTCAACTCTCAGCATGATATTGTATTTAAATATGTTTCCCCCAGATCTTACTGTACAATGACCCAATAGAATGATTGTGAGTCTGGTCCAACCTGACTGCGGTCCTCTCCATAGCGTCTCCGGCTTCAGGCGAGGGCAGCTCCTCCTCCAGGATCTCTGTGGCACTGCGCTGGTCAAGCACCTGTGATCGCGGCTCGGAGGCCCCTGCAGAGACCTCAGCAGTGGCCCTGGAGAAGAGGGCATTCTGGGAGCGCGAGCCTGCAGGACAACACCGTGCTGACACTGAGCTTCATTACACACATATTGGCATTTCAACATTTTTATGACCTGGAGGTGTTTTTGCTTAATCTTCTACACCAATACACAACCCCCTCACAGAACACTCTGTTGAAGCCATCTGTTCTGTTACTCAATGTTTTATAACAAATGAAGACAAAATTAATACATGAAAGGACAAAAATATTTTACCGCTCTTGTTATGCAATATTGAAAAGTAAAAGTTTAATGTTTCGTCTTATTAGATAATATCTGTCTGTCTTTCAAAATACCTTTCTTTTATGCTATTACCTAATATTATGCATTCCGCTTGGTGCATTCCTCTCTTTTTTATTTGTCCTAAAAAGGTACATTGTGTCCACAAAGAAATCATAAGATCAATCTCTATTGAGAAATGACTCACGTGCCAGTCGGGCCAGAGGGCAGGGTTTTCCTGTCCCGGTCTCATTAGCCACTGCAAAACAAAACATCAGCCCATGATTATTATTGTTCTTACATTTTTAATCTGCTGTCTGCTTCTCTTCCTCTGAGATGCCAAGTCTTTACTCTCTCATCCTTCACACAGTACTTGAGTCAATAAGACACTGGACTTAATCTTTGCCAGCCTAAAAGATTCCTTCACTTCATCTGCTCATATAGTGGGTAGACGTGGATGTGGAAATGGCCCTTTGTCGTTACCCAGAGTTCAATCTGGCTGACACTTGCATGAACGCTTTTAAATGTTTATCACACAACACTTTCCACCACGACGCAGAGTCAAAGAACATCACAAAGTACAAGCTCAAGGCCGCCACATGACTGAGCCGAGCAGTCGCATGGCAACCTCCCATCATCTGCGTGCAGGTTTAAAGCAGACAGGAAAATAAAGGGCTAACCTCGTCCATAATGACTTATACAAACACACATCCAGTTTCATGTTGTTATTGTTATATTCTACAGAAGAACATGGAATTTCTACAACAAATTCCCTATTTCTATATTTCTCTATTCTCTATTTCTACAACACAAAACCCAGTACTTTAAACCAAATGACCAGTTGCCTACTGTATACACATTTGATAAAACTACCCCCCACTTTCCACAAATATAAACACAATTCACCGGTAGACACTGTTCACAAAACTCATCCCCTTTCACATTTTGCCTTTGCTAAAACACATTTTTTCTTTGCTAAAACACATTTTGCATGTATCTCTGCTCCAATATGCATTGTGAAACTCAAAATGCAAAATGCCTCCCACAGTCAGTAAAACCTGAACACAATGAACAGACCTGGTGTCATTCAGTAAAACACAACCACTCAGAGCTGAAAACTCCTGTTGCAAATGATGTGACCACAACTTTATAAGTCAGTTCAGTTTGATGAAGGTTCCAAACAAAATGGATGATTAAGAAAGAAGAAGAGGAGTTTGTGCCAGAAGAGGGAGAGGAGCAGGTCAAAGAGGGAGAGGAGCAGGTCAAAGAGGGAGAGGAGCAGGTCAAAGAGGGCGATGGGTCGGTTTGTTTTGAAAAGAGACTGTGTGTACGTAGTGTGTACGTTGTGTGTACGTAGCATTAGAAAAGTGGTTTGTGTTTAGAGTTTTGTGAAAAGTGAGGGCAGTATCATGAAATGTGTTTAAGCAATAGAGAAAAACTTTACTACGCTTAAAATACTTTATAATATTGATGAATTTATGAATTTAACTATTTAGGGAGTCTGAGCAGAGACAGACGCCCAGACTTCCTTCTCCTCCAGCTCATCTGAGAGAAGCCTGAGGCATTTCCTGGCCAGCTGAGGAACACAGTGCCTCCAGTCTGTCTTGGGTCCTCCCTGGTGGGACATGTGTGGTGGTCTTCACCAGGAAGTGTCCATGGGAAACTGATCTGTACTGCTTGTGTCCCCCATCCTGTCCTTGGTCCTTCCCTAAAGCTCACCATAACCAAACTTGCACATCTGTCATTCAAGCTGTACTACAACATAGAACATGTGTGAAAATAATTCAAATTGTGTGCCAAGAGATGTCTTGAAATGACAAATACACCACGATAACACAACAAGGAGTGTGATGCCACCTGCATGTGAAAGCCTGAGGGGAAGAAGACCTTGGAAGCTAAGCAGGACAGGGCCTGGTTAGTGCTTTAATGGGAGATCTCTGGGAACACCAAGTTCCACCAAGTGTGTGAGTGATTTGTTGGTGCTGATCAGAGGGGCCGATGGCACATACTAGTTGCATTACTTCTGTCAGTCTGCCTCAGGGCAGCTGTGGCCACAATAATAGAATATGACCACTGTGTATGGAGTGAAACCATAATTCCATCGGGAGTGTTTTTGAGTCTCCAAAAAGCACCATTCAAACCTGATGCGTTATCATCAGGAGTTTGTGGATCTGCTCAATGAGAACTCAGCTCTTCTTGAACATGAGAAATAATAACCACAGCAACAGAAGTCCACTCCAGGGCCTTTATATTCCGTGGCAGATGTTTGAGTGGTGACAGGCTGCGCTCCTGTTGAAATGTGCAGAACATGTAGTACTTTGGCCGCTGCAGAACTGTTGTAATAATAATGAGAGTTATGTAAGTGCCGCGTGGGGCTCTTCACTGTGGCCTTAACACTCAATCGCCACAGGAATGTTTTACAAATCACACAGCATTCATCTCTGTTTGCCTTTTGATATATTTATTATCTGGACAGGACACATTGCCTCTTGCTTGATATGAAAAGCACTGGTTGCCAAACTGTGGTACAACTGCATCTGGGCCATGCTTGCATCTGTGTTTCCCGTAGACACAGGATGTAGCAGCTGTGTGCAGCCGTCAGCACCCACAGATTTCACAAACTGCAGTTCAATTCTGGTTATTCAAACTAGAATCATTTTATTAAAAGCATGTACCATCTATAAAACGCCTAAATTCAGTTAACTAACACAATGCTCCTCATGCACACACCTCTCCACAGACTTGACTTGTACTTGTCCTGTCTGGCTGTAATTTGGCTTTAAATAGTGCGATCTCCAAGGATAACATTCAGCAGTTTGGCTTGAGTACCATTTACACTGTTGATATTAGTCCTACGTTATTAGATAATATTAGACTCATCTTTCATGAGTGTGCTTTCTGTATCTCTTTACTTCTTCCACACAAGATCATGTTTAAGGATAAATGAAGACAAATAATCATATTCTAAACTAAAAAAATAAAACAAGCATGACATCGTACAATATTATATACATTTAAGACGTTTAAAAATGAATTACCATTAATTGTAATTATTTATTTTGATAACAGAAAAAAAAAACAAAAAAAACAAGAGGATCTTATAACTGTCTCCGTCTCAGCCCAAATGTTACAGAAATCAATAAGAGGTTTCCATGTCGTATGAAATATTTCCAATTTTCCCTTAAGCAGACACCTTCACTTTTCCATAGCGAATGTCTCATTACATCACTCATTAAGCCAGAGAAGACAGGGGGTGTAGCCTGTTTCCGGGTTAACAAGATTAATCTGGCCCTAAACCATTTTGTTTTTACATCTGCCACGGAGTATAAAGGCACTGGAGTGGACTTCTGTTGCTGTGGTTATTATTTCTCATGTTCAAGAAGAGCTGAGTTCTTATCGAGCAGATCCACAACCTCCTGATGATAACGCATCAGGTTTGAATGGTGCTTTTTGCAGACTCTCCAACTGGAATTATGGTTTCACTCCATACAGTGCATTTTTCAAGCATTAACAACAAATTATGCAAACTTTATTAAACCTTTTTTTTTCTTTTATGTTTTAGAATGTGAAATAATATCTTAGAAAATATATATTGAACCAAGTGTGAAGGGTGCTTTTGGCCCGCCCTATCCCTGTGCTACCACTAGAGGGAGAAGTTGAGTTTGTTTTGTTGTTGTTTATTTTATTTTATTTTTTGCAAATTTGAAAATCACTGACTGCAAACACAGACAACAATTACTCGTTATGTCACTTGATGCATTTAAAAAAAGAATCATGTACGGACAGAACTGCAACGAGCGTGATGTCATCTTGTTACCATGACATCATACTGTTGCAGGGCTGAAAGAGCATGCTACACGTAAGTAAGTAATCTTCATTTATATACCGCCTTTTCACTGCAGATCTGAGTCTCAAAGCGGTTTACAATTGTTAATTTTTGGGCATTTGTCTCTCACTCCACACAGAGATGGGAGCGGGGCCAGTACAGGAGGCACATGCCAGAACTATTGGACATATTTTTAGTGGTAGGAGTGCCCAGAGGAAACCTACGCAGACACAGGGAGAACATGCAAACTCCACTCAGAAAGGCCCTGGTCCGACCAGGATTTGAACCCAGTACCTTCTTGCTGAGAGGCGAGAGTGCTATCCACTCAGCCACCGTGCCACACGTTTGTGCCAGAAGTATCGGGTATCAGCATGGATGGATCTAAAATCACCTCCAGTTCATTTTTTGATCGGGGAACAATGTTGGACATGCTTAATCCTTTAATGTCCATTCCTTGTTTTGATTTTCGAAGACATAAGAGCAGTAATAACAAAAACGTTTTTTTTGAACTCCCTTGTTTTTCAATTATCTGCCTCTACAGAATGAAAGAGATTCTTTATTTGTCTCACAATGGGCAAATGTCAATGTTGCATCACAAGTTAAAGACAAAAGGAATGGGGAGCACACAGCACAAGATAAATTAATAATTAATTAATTATACTAAAATAAGATGAAATAAAATCTATAGCAAAAAAAGAAGCAATATCAAATCTTTATCATTAGCATAATACGGAAAGAAATCTGAAATCTCCAACTTAAGCATGAAGAAGAAGCAAGACTGCCCCTGACTGAAGCAAAATAGAGTTGAGATGCAGCTTGATGGTAAAAGTGCCTGAATCCAAGTGATGGAGACGCCCCAACGAGGTAGATTTCAGTTAGATATAGGGACTCAAAAAGTGATCCACCAAATGGTTGAGCAAATCCTTTAAGGGCTAAGAGCTCAACCAACATTAATTTGGAGAAATTTGTCTACATTAATAATTTCCCATCTTTGAAATTCCTAAATCACAACAACTCCAGAAGTCTCTACGTCTAAGTGGATGGATTCTTCTGTGTGAATCGTGATCCAAACAGATGAGAAAGTGACTTACCGATGGTGAAGCTGAAGCCGTCGATGCTGAACGTGGCGCTGCGGCACTTCTTGATGCCATGTTTCTTGTTGGTGCCCTCTGCCATTGTTTTGGGGCAGTCCGGTGTCCTCCAGCCTGTGCCCTGGTCCCTCACATGTCTCTGCCAGCCTGATGAATGGATGCCTGGGTGCTCAGTCCTTCTCCTCTTCCCCCTCCTTCTCCTCTTCCTCCTCCTCCTACTCCTCCTCCTCCTCATGCGTGATTTAGCACTTGTCCAATATGATTATGCACTCTGCGCGTCGTTAGCCTGCTGAGCGGTTGCCTGGATGCGCGGGACAAGGGCTCTCCCCAAAGAGCTGCATGTACGTAAGTGGGGTCTAGACTAGAGAGAGCATCGCCACGGTAACCCTGGTAACAGGCATGTAGTTCTGTCTGTTTTCACAAAGAGCAAGGAGTGTAGTATTTTATTGAATCACTCATCCAAACTGATAAAGGTTCACCTTTGATTTTGTTTGTTTTGGACAAGCAAAAAATTCATATTAGGGAGAGAGACTTTTGTGATTTTGAGCGAGACAAATATTAGTAGATTTGAAGTTTCACAAATGTAAAACAATATTGCAAGAACAAATAATGAAGACAATGTACTGAAATATGTAGGTTTTTATGTTAAATTAATAACAACAAGCAACAAGTGCATGAATGATGACAAATACATGTTTCCATCAGCTCATTTTGTAGTGTGTAGTAGTTGTTGGTGTATTCAAATACAAACCACCATTTACAGTGTTGAGAAAGTTACTTTTTTAAAGTAATATGTTACCAATAGTAATTTAGTTACATGGCTTCAGCTGTAATGTAATATAAATTTAATTTACATGTTTGTTTGTTTTTGAGTAACTAACATTTCCACATATGGGAGTGTATAAACTGTGTTGTATGGTTTTGCAGCACACTACTATCAAATATAAAACGACTGTTAAAAGTTCAAGTGTGTGTATATTATTTTGAGTATATCAACAATTTCAAAGAAATGCATTGCACATCAGTTATCGAATTACCCTCAATAATTATTACTTACACCAACACTGCTATCTATGTAGTTGTCATGAAATATTATTGACCAGTTTCAAAATAGTTACAAATAAATATTCTTAACGTTCAGACACAAATGTTCTTATGGAGACAGTTCACTGCAGTTTGATCATTGCATTGTTTAAATGATTTTCATGTGACATCATCTCTCCTGGAAGCACTGAAGGGGGGGGGGGCTCTCTCCAGGGCTTTACCCAGCCCTGCCCTCTGGAGACGGCCTCTTATCCAGCGCTGTGGCCCCGCCCCCTGGAGTGTGACTCTGTAAGTCACACTCGTGACTTACAGAGAAGGCACAGTTTATCCACTGGTCTTTCAAGTATGCTGGTTTTCATCTTGACCAGCGCTCGTCTCACTGGTCCTTTATGGTTGGCAATAGCTTGTTGTACTCTTCCAACTAACCAGGAATTTCTGGGTGCATTTTCATCCAAAATGAGCACAATGTCAATTTGTATGAAGTTTTGTTTGTCGCTTGGTTCCATTTCTGCCTAAGTTGAAGTGTAGGCAGATACTCTTTAACCCCTCTCGTCCAGAGAGGTCAGCCATGTTCTGGGCCTGTCTCCATCCGTCCACTGTCAGTGAACAGTTCAGTTACTATCGCAAAAGTCCTGTTGATGTTATTAATAGTGTCTAAAGCAGACTTGGAGATTCTTATCCAGCATTTGTCTCCAGTAGGTTAGACTACTGCAATGGCCTGCTCACAGGTCTCTCCACATGAGCTGTAAAACAGCTGCAGTATATTCAGAATGTTGCATCTCAAGTAAGGGGTGACAGTAGCTCAGTTGGTAGAGCATTGGCCTTGAGGCCTGAAGGTTTTGGGTTCAATTCCCACCTCGACACCTTCTCCACCGACTCCCACTGATGTCTGCTGTCGTTGTGTCCTTGGGCAAGACACTTAACCCCACTTTGCCTAAAGCCCCCACTGAAAGATCAAGGCTATTTTAATTGTTTTGATTTGTGTCTGATGTGATATGTGTTTGAGGCTCATTGTGTTGCCTTGTGTGGGACAGGTGCTCTACAATCAAAAGTTGATTGATTGATGGAACCATCATTGATATGCAGCCAGCGAAAATTCAATTTGGTAGACGTTAACCAAATTTACCCCCTCCAGCCCGGCTCGCATCCCCAGCCTATCGCTCAGCAGACGCCCCCTTCCAATCATCCGTACCGACAACCCCAGCCGCATAAAAAACGGAGAAACTCTCACTTCTCGACCTCTGAAGCCTTGCAACCATTTCTTTTACTGAAACACTGAACAGCTACCTCTGAAGCCTTGCAAGGAATCGTTTTCGTCTACTCACGCTACTCGTGCGCGTGGCCCGGCTGTTCTCAGTCTGGCTGCTTGTGGTCTGCTCCTCCTCCGCGTCCCGGTGTTACGTCGAGCCGCGTTTCCCCGGCAGATACTGTTTCCCCTGCGTCCAGTGTTGCCAACTCCTCAGTAAGGAAAGTAGCTATTGGCTGTCCCAAAAGTCGCTAGAAGTCGCTAAATGACGTCATCGCCTAATTTGCATAATTGTCCATTTGCAAATAACTGTAACGGACGCTGTAGGAGAGAGGAATAAGGTCGTGGGAGAGACAAAAGTGAGTAAAAACACCCTAAATATGTTTAGAACTACAAATGTACAAAAATAATTTCAACATTAACAACATTTAATGATTTTAATGCTTTGTCTAGATCCACATTACACACATCAGTTTTGTCCTGTATTGTTAAATGTTATAACAGCAAATGTAATCAAAAGATTGTTATGTAGGGTGAAATTGCTAGCTCTACAACCAACCCTCCTCCTTTATCCGGGCTTGGGACCGGCAAAGTGACCCAAAAGACCCACTCTGGCAGAGTTACTTAGGTTTATTTTTGTAAGTTTTTTTTTTTTTTCATAGTTTGGCATAACAAATGATTTAATGTGACCCACTACTGAGAGAAAACAGAGTCACGGACAGAGCTGCCGCGGATGGAGTGGGGGGTAGTGGGGGGTGGCGGTGGTAGGAGTGGCCGGGGAGCTTTGGATGTGTGGTGGTGGTGGAGCTGAAGTTCAGTCTGCAGCAGCCTGAAAACTTCCTGTGCTTTTGAGTCTCCTCTCTCTCTCTCTGCTCCGCCCATAGACTGTAGCTGGGACTGCTGCGCAAGGCTACTGTGAGACTGGCCGCCTGTAAGTGCTTTGGGACGGGGGAGGGGCTCACGTTGAGGACAGCAGAACAATACGTGCTTCACGAGTCTCCAAAACACCGGATAAGTCGCCAAAACACCAGATAAGTCGCCAATAACACCAGAAAAAGTCGCTAGATTTGTCGCTAGTCGCTTTTTTGAAAAAAAGTCGCTATAGGGGTCTGAAAAGTCGCTAAATCTAGCGACAAAGTCGCTAAGTTGGCAACACAGCCTGCGTCTACTCGCCGCTCCGCGCCGCTCCACCCCGCTCCGCGCCGCTCCACCCCGCTCCGCACCTCGCACGCGGCAAATAGTGCGCGTGCTTGTTCAGCACTCGTAACCAGCGAGCCGTGCTTGCGCGGCGAGGCAACTACAGACACAGTGAAAGCACCTAAGTGAAGTTGGCCCCTACCCCACGCAAAACTCAGTGAAAAATAGCCACACTCGTTAGTGCTGGTTTGTGCAGAAAAAATATCGTTTGTGCTGTTTTGGTTTTTCAGGTATGACAACTTTATATTAATATAGCCTATATATATATATAATATGATATGACAAATAAATAAATAAATATGTATGTATGTATATATATATATATATAAATATGTATGTATGTATATATATAAATATGTATGTATGTATATATATATATATATATATATATATATATATATAGACTATATATATATATATAGCCTATATATATATATATATATATGTATATATATATTCACAAATATATATATATAAATACATTTATCTATCATGTGTATATATACATGTATTCCCTCAGTGTTAAACAGGGGAAACGCGTCCTTATGGCCAAATTACCCCCGTCAGATACCGTTCCCTCAGTTTTAAACGGGGGAAACGGTATCTGATGGCCAAATAACCCCCGTCAGATACCGTTCCCCCTCTGTTAAACGGGGGAAACGCATCCTGATGGCCAAATAACCCCCGTCAGATACCGTTCCCCCTCTGTTAAACGGGGGAAACGCATCCTGATGGCCAAATAACCCCCGTCAGATACCGTTCCCTCAGTGTTTAACAGGGGAAACGCATACTGATGGCCAAATAACACCCGTCAGATACCGTTCCCCTTGTGTTAAACAGGTGTATATGAATGGTGCCATCACTTTAAAGTAGTAGCACCATCACTTGGACCTGAATATTTTTTCATAGAAACATTGCAGTTTTTTTTACCTTTAATGTCCCCTAATTTAACATTATGTTTATTCTCCCAGGTCTATTAGAAATGAATGATCACACCTTTTACCAGAACTGTAACATTTTTTAATAAGAAATAACACTGAACAAATGCTCAAGTTGTGGCAAAGTTTCCACATCTCCTCTTCCCTCAACAGGCTTCACAAATGAAAGCTGCTGATGTGTCTGAACATCCAGAGCACACATGGTGAAACCACCTCCCACAAACATCACAGGATATCTGCAGAACAAAAAGAGTTAGATTTAATGTACTATATCATTTTAATTTCTTTTAATGTTTCATCTAATATTAAAAAATATTATTGCCTAAGAGTGTAAAGCATTGATCTTAGGATCTATATGCAAGATGAACAGTGTTTAACAATGTTTACTGCCAGTGTGTCAATAGTATTAAGGGAGACAGATTCATAATGCACCCAAAATTCTTTTAAAAAGATTATTAAGTATCATTCTTAAATTGTTATTTTGCCCCTACCTTGTAGGATACTTTTTTCTGCACTTTCGTCAGGATTGCTATTATCATTCCTAAATATGAAAATTATGATAATGGTCATGTAATAAAAGGTACTGTAAAGTCAGTTAATCATCAGTTTACTTCCTTTAGTAAGTTGACTGATGCAAGGCCTCATCCAGAAAGATGTGTAGCTTGTAAGAGCTCCTTTGTGGCTCTTTGTGAGAAAGTCCCAGTCACAGCAATTTACTTGTGTGTTTACTGTTTTCTTCAAGCCATATCGGGAGATTATGTACCCTGACAACATCAGGTGGAGGGATGAATGTTGTCTCTTCAACAGGTGGAGGGATGGATGCAGGTTTTCCAGTTTTTAGAATGTTCTGAGGGATAATGTTTTGTTGTTCAATGAAAATCTTAAGCTGATCTGTGTTGACTTTTGGGAAAAAAGCGGTTTCGGATTGCAAATCTGCACTTTTATTTACAAGTTTGACTATGGTGTATGGTCCGGTCCAGTTTCTTTCCAATTTTCCACCCTTCCTCTGTTGGCTTCTGATGTTGAGCCGTAGAACTTTGTCCCCAACCTTGAAAGTTTGGGGTTTTTGATTTGGGGTCTTGTATTTTTTGTGAGTTTTTTCCATATTTTCCTGAACTAATTTATAAATTGCATCCCTTTTTTTTATTGACTCCACCACCGACTCCTCCCCCAGAGTGTCCTCAATTTTGCTGTCAATCTGGGGTAAAAGAAAATAAATATGCAGATTTCAGATACCTTAAGAAGGTGTCCACTCTCAAATATTAGTCTTTTCTGAAGTGAAAACATAACTACCACACAAATATTTTCAGAAACTTTATTATAAACAGGTGGATGAACTTGGAACATAAGTGTGAATTATCAGAAATTTGGTTTACCAAAATTTTAATTATAATAGCAGTTTTCTTGTCCATTAGTAATGTAATGTTTTACATTATGATGAAATACCACCAGAGATACTGCAGTGTTAATTTTAAATTTCTAAAAATTTTGATGAAGAGTCAAGAATAAACGTGACCTAAAATAATGTCTTAACATCTACAGGGCTCTTTATGTAGAATGTAATCAAGACAGATGAAATCATGTCTCACCAGGATGTTCTCTGGAACCTCACATGGCAGACGAGCCTCTCTTCCAAAGAGGAGGAAGTATGGTGAGAACTTGGTAGTTGACTGTTTTTTGGTTCTGATCCCAAACATCACAGGATCCAAGTACGTGTCCCAAGTTTCTGGTCGCTCACTCACAAGTTTGCACAGTGCTCTGAAAAGCAAGATTTTATCACGTTCTTGCTAAATTTACTGAAAGAAGCTACCAGCCACTATACCAATGTGGACAAATTTACTAAGCCAGTGCTCGGAGTATTCAACCTAAAGAAATTGATAACAAATTCCGTAATCATCACAAAAAGGGGAGGGGGCACACAAAAGGGATTCCACTACAGCTGGCCATTAACTTCAGGGGTGCACAAGATCACACCATGATAAGATGAAAATTTGCAACAGCACAGCAAATAATGGCATCAACACTTGCTGGAGAGGAACCTATGGGAAGCCAATCTATGTTTCTGTACATGATCGATGACATCTTTAGGTCACTCCCAGCACACAGGCTGATTATTACCACATTGTCAAAGAGGACAAAGTTTGTACTGGCATAATGTTCAGACAGAATGTTGAAATGCCTGCACTGAACTTAAAAAAACGCAAACCTTTGAATAATTACATATAATTCTGAAATTGTAATTACCTTTGAAAAGTCCCATTGTGCTTTTCTACCAGCCCATTGGTCTGCGGATGATAGGGAGCACAAAGGCTGCGCTCAATGTTCAGCATTTTGCACAGCTCCTTGTTCAACTGTTGGTCAAAAACGAATCATTGCTTTAACAGATAAACATCAACAAGAAAAAAATGTGATCACTAAATGACAAACCAAACTGTTTTATACAGCATCACACTCCAGTCCATAACACTCAAAAGTATTTAAAAACACACCTCATTCACAAATTCTTTGCCCTGGTCAGTCAGGATTCGCTTTGGGGCTCCAAAGCGATAAAAAAACTTTAAAATACACTGGGCAACATCTGCTGCTGTTTTGGACGGCAGAGGATAGGCTTCGGACCATTTAGTAAAATAGTCAATCATGACTGCAATATACTCATTCCCAGCCTCTGTTTTCACAACCTTGCCTATAAGGTCCATCCCAACCAATTCAAATGGTTGACTCAACTGAAAAAGGAAAAGAAAATAGAGAAAAGCACTTTTGACCAGGAATAATAAAATATCCTTCATGTGGTGTTTTGAAATGTGTGTCACTTACTTCAATTGGGATGGGTTTTGTCTCCTGCTTAATTGTCAGTGCACTTTTCTGGCATTCCACACATTGACTGACCTAAAGAACCACATTTTTTTCAATAAAATGTCACAAAGCTGTTGTAGATGTATGACTGGAAAGCGCTATATAAGTGCAAGCCATTCATCATTTACCCTGTCAAATATTATACTATAAATAATGTACAAGATACCATGGTTTCTGTTTGTGAGCTTTGATTTATAAGAAATACCTACCCACTTGTCGATGTCTTTGGACATGCCTGGCCAGTAAAACCGTCTGCTTATAGCATCTCTGGTTTTAACTATGCCACAGTGGGCACCATAAGCACTGGCATGAAACTCTCTGAAGATTTGTTGTGCTTCCTCTTTTGCAGTCACAACCTTTCTCTTTGATTGACTGCTTCCCTTGCAGTAATACAATACTTCATCTGTCAAAATATCACAAGTTGATGATAAAAATGAAAACAAAGCATAGGCTACACATTGCTTCATCAACTTAAAAAAAAAAAAAAAAAGAACTTTAATATTCCAGTATGAATGTATGTGAATGGGACTCGTCCTGAAGTGGTTAGTGTTGTGCCGAGAAGTAGCCAGAGTAATTATTCTAAACATCCTCAAATATGCTAATAATATTTACTTTGGATGCAGTTGCTATATACAGAAAGACAGAACTGATATAAATGTCGTGTTGGGTCATAATTTTCTAACCCACATTGGGCCGACAGATTTTTAAAGTCATTAATTTCTTTACTGTTCAGTGCGACAGGTTTAATTACCTTTAAGTAGCCTAATTATTCAATTGGGTATATCATCGGGGCTAAGTAAGGTTGCTGATAATTCCAGTGTAGTCCAAATTAAAAAAAAAAAGTAAATACGGCTATGCAATAGGTACGACACAATTCTACATACCCGAAATAACTTATCGCTATATAAATTAGGTAAGGGAAAGACTAGAGGCCTTTGACCAACGGTAAATTTTAAGAAAAAAATATACTCACCATCAACTGCAAAGTCCGCTGCCCGCCGCCTTATAGAATATTTTTGACTCTTAGTAGAGCCTTCGGGGTAGCTTCCAATGGATAGATACTGGACAATATTGTTATATGTTGACGGGTCCATCCACGAGTGCTGAACAAGCACGCGCACTATTTGCCGCGTGCGAGGTGCGGAGCGGGGTGGAGCGGCGCGGAGCGGGGCGGAGCGGGGCGGAGCGGCGAGTAGACGCTGGTTACGAGTGCTGAACAAGCACGCGCACTATTTGCCGCGTTGCGGCGCGGAGCGGGGCGGAGCGGGGCGGAGCGGGGCGGAGCGGCGAGTAGACGCAGGGGAAACAGTATCTGACGGGGAAACGCGGCTCGACGTAACACGGGCACCTGCTGTGGTTCGCGTGTCTCCACTGCTCTCCTCCTCTGCGGGCTGCTCCGCGGGGCCCTCCGCGGGTTCTGTGCTGCTCGTTCCTCGTGGTCTGCTGCCGCGCGCAGACGGTCTGGCGGTGCCACGTTGTCCCGTTGCTTTCCCCAAGTCTCCTGGCATGTGAGTGTGCTGACCGCGGACGGATTAATCCCTGAGTCTGGGCTGCAAGGTTGGTTTTTCGCCCCGTGCTTGGTCTGCAGGCTTCGTTTCCACATGTGTCTGAGCTAACTGAGGGGCAATGCATGTTAAATGGCGTCAATCTCTATTGTCTGAGGGATATAAGAGGAGCAATGTGATTAATTCAGATTCATGTTCTGCCACTGCAGTAAACCACGTGGAAAATAATTTGCAAGACTACCCCATTGTGCTCCAGACTGTACACACAGAGCTCTTGCCACGGCGCCATCTTTACAGCATCAATCTCATTACTCGCAGGTCACTATGGTAAATGATCGTATTAAATTCATCTATCTGCGGGAGGAAGGAGGGGCCATGCATTTAAATAGCTAGGTCACTAGTATTAAATTGGGTAACTAAACTGCAGTGTTGCATTTTGAAAGTGCAGCAGAAAGAAAAGGGGCCCAATGTGAATCTGCAATGGGTTTGAAGTGGAGCTGTAGCTATGAACGCATGGAAAAGTGATCGTTCATGCGTTCTACCATAACCAAAGCAGCAAGATGGCTCCAGGGGACGTCTGTTATTCGCATGGGAATGTTTCGGATTCGGGTTGATTTATTTCCTCAGGCTGTTAAACAACCGTGGGCATGGTTCTCTGACCGCCGCTGCTGCGGTCCCTGCTGCCGTTCCTACTGATGCCTGATCCCGCTGATGCCTGTTCCTGCTGCCTGTTCCTGCTGCCTGCTCCTGCTGCTCCTACTACTACATGTGCCGCTGCTGCTGTTCCTGCCGCTGCCGCTCCGCAGGCTCCCAGGCTGCACCTGTCTCTACGGCTCGGCTCTTTCAGACACGTATGTAACCTGGCTCACGGAGACAAGCGGCGCACGCTGGCGTGACACGTCTGTTGTTTGTATGAATCGCATCGTGGTGCTGCTGCTCCTGCTAATGCTGCTTCTGCTGCTTCATACTGCTACTGCTGCTGCTCCTGCTGCCTCATACTGCTACTGCTGCCGTGCTGCTGCTGCTTCAGGTACTTTGACATCTCTCTTCACTTCGCATCTTTTACTGAACACTAAACAGCTACAACAATATTCTACTGCTGTGGCTTTGATACAGGATTATTGCTGTTATTGTCTACGGCTACTGCTGCTGCTGCTGCTTCATTTACTTTGACATCTCTCTTCACTTGCATCTCTTTTACTGAAACAGTGAACAGCTACAACAACATTCTACTGCCGTGGCTTTGATACAGGATCATTGCTGTTATTATCTACGGATGCTGCAGCTGCTGCTGCTGCTACTGCTGCTGCTTCATACGGCTACTGCTGCTGCTGCGGCTGCTCCATACTGCTACTGCGCTGCTGCTACTGCTGCTGCTTCATACCGCTACTGCTGCTACTACTGCTGCTGCTGCTTCATTTACTTGCATCTCTTTTCACTTGCATCTCTTTTACTGAAACACTGGTCAGCTACGACAACATTCTACTGCTGTGGCTTGATACAGGATTATTACTGTTAATCTCTAAGGATGCTGCTACTGCTGCTGCTGCTGCTGCTGCTGCTGCTGCTGCCGCGGCTTGATACAGGTTATCGCTGTTATTATCTGAGGTTACTGCTGCTGCTGCTACTGCTACTGCTGCAACCCACTCTCTCAGAAGCTTATCCTGCTTCTAATGGATGCTGCCCGGCTGAGTACGCCGCGCTGCGCTGGCCTCGTACCTATGCTCCCAGGGTCGCTTCGGCGGTCATGCTTAATCTCTCTACCTAATCTTCTGATTCTATCAGATGCAGCTGGCCGAGTAGCTGCGCTGAGCCGTCAATCGGACTCCTAATCAAAGGCATCCATACCTGTATTCTTCACTTTTCTGATCGCAGGCTCCCCATCATGCTGCCCATCCTGCAGCGGCACTGAACTCCGGCTCATCTTCCAAGTACATGTCTGCCCTCCTCGCAGCATCTTCCTGCTCGCCTTCTGTGGCTTCTCTGCATAAGCGTTTCACTACTGCTCACTCAACCTTCATGCGGTCCGAGACGCGGCTTCCCGACCATCCTACTATCCTGATTATCTACTCTCCAACCCAAGATTCTAAGCGTAAGGGCGCCTGCAACATCAATGGCCCTCTCCGATATGTCTCTCTGCCCCTACAGGTATCCGCCTCTACACGGACGTGCCCCTTCCGTGGGTTTTGGGGGGTTCTTCCAGGACCATCGGGTTGCCGGGCCATGGCCGCTACTTTCCACCGGAGCATCTCCTCTGCCCTACACAAGATATTCCCAGTGGTCGTGGCCTGCGCGCTGCGGAATCACACGTGGCAGAGAAAGAGGATCTCTGTCATGCGTGATAATCTCGACGTAGTGGAAGCATTACACAAAGGTCGCTCTTCTCACCCAACATAATGTCCCCTGACCCTTTCAACCTTCATCTCAAACATTCAAAGACCAAGGCGCCTGCAACATAATAATAGCTCGCCCCTACAGGTCCATGAGGCGTACACTCGCCCCCGCTGCAAAAAGGAGATTTTAACGGACCTCTATTTCTTACTCCAGACATTCTTCCCATGACAGCAACCTGGTTCAGAGCTCAACTAAGATCCCTACTGCTCCTCTGTAAATTGTCTCCCCAGCTCTACACAGCCCACTCCTTCAGGATAGGCGCTGCCACGCGCGCGGCCTCGCTGGGGCTCCCCCACACCTCTCTGCAACAGCTGGGGCGCTGGTCCTCTTCGGCTTTCTCCACCTACATCAGGCCAGACGCGTCCGCCATCCTGGCTGCACAACGTCTACTGACTTCCTCGTAAGCTCCCAGCAAAGCAATACGAAGCAAAGTAAGTGAAGCAATAAGATTCTGGTGGCGGCACGCACTTTCTCAAACACTCTCCGCTGCCGCAGCGTCCGACGGAACGTGATGCGAGCGCTCACGTTCCCAGCGCGCAAAGATAACTCTGCCGTAGCGGCTGGTTGATCGTGATGCGAGCGCTCACGTCCCAGCGCGCAAAAATAACTCCGCTGCAATGTCCGGCTGATCACAGAATATAGCGATAGCGGTCACAGCATATAGCGATAGCGGTCACAGCATAGCAAAAAATGGTTAGCGGTCACAGCATATAGCGATAGCGGTCACAGCATAGCAAAAAATGGTTAGCGGTCACAGCATATAGCGATAGCGGTCACAGCATATAGCAAAAAATGGTTAGCGGTCACAGCATATAGAAAAAAATGGTTAGCAGCATTGCGCTGGCGGTCACAGCATATAGCGATAGCGGTCACAGCATATAGCGATAGCGGTCACAGCATATAGCGATAGCGGTCACAGCATAGCGATAGCGGTCACAGCATATAGCGATAGCGGTCACAGCATATAGCGATAGCGGTCACAGAATAGAGCAGTCACGACGTCTGTCCACTCCAAACCAGGCTTCAAAAACTCCATCAACACGCAGCCTTTTTGGGGATTGTGCGCGCTCATCGCAGGAGCCTTTCCGATCCGAAGGCCGCACCGGGACCTAGGGCGCCAAACCTCCCTTCAATAAAATACTCAACTTCCTGTTTCTCGTCTCTCCAAATTGAATTATTGTCTCAAACCATAAAACTAAACCAGAAAATAATGTCATAATCTCATTTTGGATTATTATAATCATATTAAATAATCCAAAAACATAAACTAAAATCTTCAAATGTTTATTTATTTTGGTCAAGTGTATCTTGAGTGTATTTTTTCACAAATTCCCTGTCCTGTCAGACAATTATATTAGTCATTGGGAGTTTCCTTCGCACCCTCACACTGAATGGAACCCTCAGAGCCAATGACTGCTTTGTCCCAATACTTTTTATTAGGCTAAATATAGATAGCTATGTGCTTCTCATTCTTGTTCTGTCCCTTGTGATGCAACACTGACATTTTCTCACTGTGGGACGAATAAAGTTTCTCTTCGGTTGTGATTGTATTTTTGCCCTGCCTCCCGCCTCCTTTCTGTCCTGCAGGGCACGTGTGTGACCGGGGCGTGGCTGGCTCTGCTTCTGTTTGACTCCCACATGTTCCTCATCAGCTCTGGTTAAGACTGGTCCAGACCTTACTTCTCTGCCAGATTATTCAATGTCACGAGTCAGTGTACAGCAGCAGTTTGTGCTCTTGTGTTTTTTACTTATGGTTGTTTGTGTCCTGTGTTCAGGTCTCCCTTTTCCTGACCAGCCAGCCAGCTCCCTGTCTCTGTTGCCTGCCTTCTGTTTTTGTGTTTTTTTTTTTTTAGTAAATCCTTTCCTTGAATCGGGCTCAGTCTCTGTCTCTGCTTTGGGGTCCAACACACAATCCTTAACATCTTCTTCATCTTAATTTTACAAGGATTTCCGGTCGCACAGTGCCATTTGGGTAAGGCATTTTTTCCCCCCGCAACCAAACTAAAGCCAACGAAGCAATGAGGAGAAAGCTGCTCACAAAACTCCCAGAAACCCAGAGGAGGTGCCCTATAACCCTATAAAGAGGAATACAAGATGTCGAGGTGAGTGCGTCAGTGCTCTTCAATCACCAGCAACAGTTGTGTCTGCTTGAATGCTATCAAATTAGGTACCACGTGTTTTCATGGGTGGCACGGTGGCACTGTCGCTTCTCAGAAATAAGGTCCTGGGTTTGAATCGCGGTCGGAACTGGGCCTTTCTGAGTGGAGTTTGCATGTTCTCCCCGTGTCTGCATAGGTTTTCTCCAGGTGCTCCGGTTTCAACTACCACTAAAAAAATGTACAATAGGTCTGGCATGTGACTCCTTGACTGTTGACCTCGCTCCAATGTCTGTGTGGAGTGAGAGACAAATGCCCACATTTATAAACCGCTTTGTGACTCTGGTCTGTGAAAGGCGCTACATAAATAAAGATTACTTACTTATGCCATGAAAACCTATTGTTCCTGCCTAAGTATTTTTGGAACGCTTTCCCAATGAGGAATGCAAGCTGCTTGAGTGTTTTTGGAAAATAATTTTATTTTATTTTTGTTCTTTTCCCAGATCCTTCATTTGACCCCTGAACATGCACCAAAATGCACCAATCTTTCCAAATGTATGTGTACAAAAGGCTCCTTCGTTTGAGTGTTCTATAATTTAGTTTGGTGCGTGCGGTTCCTGGAGTGTCCACTTGAGGGCGCACCTACCCTTTACCTGGTACAGACGATGCCGACATTCCTAGTAACCGCTTCAACACAAAACTAGCACCTTTATACAGTCCTTGTAGTCCACCACATGAGTTATCTACCCTACATTGATGGTCCTTCGAGCCGGATGAAGCAGTTTCTGTTCGTGTAAGATGGATGATATTCAGAGTTTCACTCCACTTGGTGCACGCCCCAAGCGCACGGCACGTCGACCCCTCCGTTATGAAGATTATGAAACCGATTTTCCTGATACTGAAGTGCACAACCCACATGGAGGGACACTGTCACCACTAGGTCACCACTAGGCAACGCTGCCTACTCTCCCCTACCCCATATGCATTATGAGGAGTTCCCACAAGATGATATGTACCCTACAAGAGCAGATATGGAGGAGCTGCAACGGGAGAGATATTTTGCCCAGCAGGCACATGAGAGGATGAGAGCGGGACTGGCTGACGTCCAGGCCATTCATACGAGTATGCAGCAACTGCTAAACCGGGCTGAGAATCTGCAGCTCACCACCCCACCTCACCAACCACCCTTTACTGTTATTGATGAAGAGGAGGACTGGCCTCCACCCCCCCCCCCCCCCCCCCCCCCTGGTTGGCTGAGTTTAAAGAAGAACCTGTCTCTAACCCGAATCCCCTCATAAACCGACTCGACATAATGACGAACGAGCTTCAGAGCCTGAAGAGGGAATCATTGGCGGCCCAGGAGAGTCAAACATTCCCCCCCTATAATCCCCAGCCAGTGCATACTACCATGGCCCAGCCAAAGATCACGCCTCCTCCCATGCCACCTCTTAGAGTACATGCCCGGCCAGAGCAACGTCCTCCACCACCTTCTGATCCCTCATGGTGGACACCACCGGCCCAAAGACCTTTAAGACAGGTAGCAGCGCCTGAGATGACCTACAGGGGTCCTCGCCCAAGCATTCCCAAGCTCATAAACCGGGATCCTGGGGAATTCACTCGCCTGAAGATGGCGCTGGAGAACCTACTGCCCATGGACAGTACAGAGCTATTTAAATACCAAGTCTTGTTAGATCACTTATACCTAGAGGAGGCTAAGTTAATCGCTGACGCTTACCTGCATTCCACCACACCTTTCAGTGACACCATGGCTGCTCTCAATGATAAGCTTGGCCAACCACACCAGCTTGCCCTGAGAAGGATCGCAGCTGTGATGGACTCACCTGACATTCGCAGAGGAGACGTGGTTGCGTTTGAGAGATTTTCCCTCCAAATCCAGTCACTCGTGGGCATGTTGAAGACCTTAGGTCCGGACGGTGAAGTTGAACTCCAGTGTGGCTCCCATGTGGCACGGCTCCTGAGCAAGCTCCCTCCAGAGCAGAGAGCTGACTTTCGCCGGTGCATGTACAATCGCTCCGGTCAGACTTACACCCTCAATGACCTGGCTATGTGGTTGAAATACGAGTCATGGTGTCGGGATTTTGATGGCCTACCCACTCCCAAGAATACTACAGAGAGGCCTGACACAAAACCAAGTAAGCGCCCTACCACAGTATTTCACACCACAGACAATGCACCCCATTCCACTGACAACAACCTTAACCAACCCAAGCAGCAACCGTACTGCGCCTTCTGCAAGAATCGTGCTCACCACCTGAGTCAATTCCCTGAAATCATCAAGCTAAGCCAAGAGCAACTGACTGACTGGATAAAGACCAACAGGAGATGCTGGCGCTGCGCCCGAGCACATCAGGCCGCTCAGTGTACCCTCAAGAAACCCTGTAACCTCTGCCAGAGCCGACATCTACAGGTCCTTCATCAAGTAAACACTGCCCCAAAGACGCCTGCCCCTGATAACGTCCCTGCTCTAGAGGCTGGGAATACAACTGGTGTCCTGTACCTCGACCGTGCTACAGAGAGCGGCCGCGTCTTGTTGAAGGTAGTTCCCGTCACCCTCCACCATAATGGTAAGACTCTGAGTACTCATGCAGTTTTGGACGATGGCTCGGAGAGAACCATGCTGCTTCCCGCTGCTGCCCATAGGTTAGACATTCCTGGCACCCCAGAGACACTCTCCCTACGCACAATAAGACAAGATGTGCAGACGCTACATGGCTCGGGTGTTTCCTTTTACATCTCTCCTGAGGGCAAACCCAAGCTGAAGTACCGGGTCAACAATGCCTTTACAGCAAACCGTATCGACCTAGCCGAACACAGTTACCCAATAGAGTCTCTCCAGCGGAAGTACAAACACCTCCGAGGGCTGCCCCTCCGGTCCTTCAGGAAGGTCAAACCACTCCTACTCATTGGTAGTGACCACCCACAGCTCATCACGCCTACCAAAGCAGTGCGTCTCGGCAGGTACGCTACTCCTCTACTACGTCGTCAGAGCATGCCCCTTCTTAAGGCAATCCCTAATGCTGTCATACCTAGTTTGAGAAGCATCGAGAGGAGGCTCCAGAAAAACCCAGAGCAAGCTCGGGTCTACTCTGCAGAGATAGATAAGTTGGTACAAGTCGGGTCTGTAGTTAAGTTGTCCCCTTCTGAAGTCGCCCAAGCAGATGAGTCGTGGTATATCCCGCAACACCTTGTTAGCCACAATGGCAAGCATCGCCTCGTGTTTAACTGTTCGTTCCAGTTTCAGGGCCGAACTCTCAATGAACATCTCTTACCTGGCCCAACCTTAGGAGCGTCCTTACTAGGTGTCCTCCATCTTAGGCTACAAACACCGGCCTGTGAGTTACGGTAGCCCAACCATGCGGAGCATTTACAAAGTTCTCGCCAGCCAGTATGACCCACTAGGCTTCATCTTACCCTACACCACCCGGGCCAAAATGCTGGTGAGGCGCCTCTGGGAACAACAGAGAGGCTGGGATGACCCTCAGCTACCACCAGATCTCTTACAAGTGTGGAGAACGTGGGAAGATGAGCTGCAGTTCCTTCCGCAAATTCAGCTCCCCCGGCCTTACCTACCAAAGCACATCAATATGCCTGTACGAGAGAGAGAGATTCACATCTTTTGTGATGCATCCGAACAGGCCTATGGAGCTGTAGCCTACATACGAACTGTAACCAGTGATGGCACCATTCATCTAGCATTCTTAATGGCTCGTTCAAGAGTTGCCCCTAAACGTTTCCTCTCCATGCCTAGACTCGAGCTGTGCGGTGCCTTTGTGGGAGCCCATCTTTCTAGTCTCATTGCGAATGAGCTCATGCTAGACATCAAGACAACAGTGTTGTGGTCAGACTCCACTACAGTACTTGCCTGGCTGAGATCTGAGTCTTGCCGCTTCAAGATTTTCGTCGGGACCCGCATAGCTGAGATTCAGGAGCTGACCACATCCCACACCTGGCGTTATGTTGAGTCATCTCAGAATCCTGCTGATGATTTAACCCGAGGGAAGTCACTTTTGGAACTTACAAAACCCAACAGGTGGAGCCAAGGACCCCCTTTCCTACTCCTACCTCCAGAACAATGGTCCTCAGAGCCAAGTAGCACTGTGGCTGGGCCTCCTGACTCAATCGAGCTCCGCAAAGAGACCTTCTGTGCAGTCTGTCACCACGAATTCTGCCAGCAACAATGAATACAACACCTGGTTGCAGTTATTGGAGTCAACCATCCCACTGTTGCACGGGGCGGCCACTCAAGATGGACTGCCATTAGCTGATGAATACCTGCATGCGGAGATCTTTGTATTGAGACGGGCTCAGAAGGAAAGCTTCCCGGAGGAGTACCGGCTCCTCAAGTCCAGTAAACCCATCAGCCGTAGCAGTCGCCTCATTGCCCTCTCGCCTGAATTTGACCAGGAGAGTCAAGTCATTCGGGTAGGTGGGCGTCTTCGTCGCTCTGAAGATCTTGCCTACTCTAACGTCCATCCTTTAGTCCTGGATCCAGTACACCCTATCACCCGGCTACTTATTCAGGACTTTGACAGACGTCTACGCCACCCAGGGCCAGAGAGGGTTTTCGCTGAGATCCGGCGTGCATATTGGATCCTGAGAGGCCGAGAAGCAATTCGCAACTTCCAAATAACTTGTCCTGAGTGCTGCCGTTGGAGATCCCGACCAACCATTCCCAAGATGGGTGACCTGCCAGCGGCTCGCCTGCGCCTTTACAAACCCGTGTTTTATTCGACAGGAATGGATTGCTTCGGGCCCTTTGAAGTTAAAATAGGGCGGCGAGTAGAAAAGAGGTGGGACATAATCTTTAAATGCCTTACCACCCGAGCAGTTCACCTTGATGTCCTAACTTCCCTTGACACCGACTCGTTCCTCATGGCACTCCGCCGTTTCATTGCCAGGCGAGGAAGTCCTGCTGAGCTGTATTCTGATCAAGGTACTAACTTCCGTGGTGGGGAGGGTGAACTCCGTGCTGCTTTTGAGTCTATGACCTCCGATCTGCAGAAGTTTCTGGCGCCGAGGAAGATACTCTTCCGCTTCAATCCGCTAGCTGCTCCTCACTTCGGCGGAGCGTGGAAGCGGGAGATTCGATCAGTCAAGACTGCGCTCTTCACTACAGTTGGAGCCCAATCCGTGCCTGAAGAAGTTCTGCGCACAGTCTTAGTGGAGGTAGAGGGCATCCTTAACTCCAAACCGTTGGGGTATGTCCCTTCTGATGTCAGCGACCCTGATCCCGTGACCCCGAATTGCCTTTTGATGGGGCGGCCCGACGGATCACTGCCACAAGTGGTGTATCCAAAAGAAGAGCTCCTGAGTTGCCGGAGGTGGAAACACTCCCAGGTGTTGGCAGACCACTTCTGGTCCCGTTTCATCAGATTGTACCTTCCTGGCCTGCAGTCCCGGCAGAAGTGGCAGTCGTCTTCTACAGACATTGCCACGGGCTCTGTGGCGATGATTGTGGATCCTCAGTTGCCACGCGCTTCCTGGCTCATTGGACCAAGGTCCACCCCAGTCCAGATGGGCTCATCAGGTCTGCTGACATTAAGGTAAAAGACAGGACACTTACACGCCCTGTAGCCAGGCTGGTAATCCTGCCAGCCCTTCCAGAAGAAGACCATGGACAGTCGCCATAAGTTCTATTTGTATTAGCTTTTTGTTCATCAAATGTACTTCATACATTTGGGGGCGGCTGTACAAAAGGCTCCTTCGTTTGAGTGTTCTATAATTTAGTTTGTTGCGTGCGGTTCCGGGGGCGACAGTAGCTCAGTTGGTAGAGCATTGGCCTTAAGCCCAGAAGGTCGTGGGTTCAATTCCCACCTCTGCACCTTCTCCACCGACTCCCACTGATGACTGCTGTCGTTGTGTCCTTGGGCAAGACACTTAACCCCACTTTGCCCAAAAGCCCCCACTGAAAGATCAAGGCTATGCTCACACTCAGAGAGCAGCCGTCCTCCTGTGGACTCACCACCTGCAGAGGGTCAGTGAGGGGCTGGTGCTATGAGACTTGGGTGGCATCTCTGACTGCCACCCCCCTGACCCAGAAATGGATTAAAGGGTAGAAAATGGATGGATGGATGGATGGCGTGCGGTTCCTGGAGTGTCCACTTGAGGGCGCACCTACCCTTTACCTGGTACAGACGATGCCGAGAGGGAAAACACCCTTTTTGCTTTCTACATCTCTACGGGTCAGATGTGGTCTGTTGCTGTGCTCCTAAGTGTGCGTTTGTGACTGAAATACCACACTCTCACAGCCAGACAAATGTTCAATACAAAGACCTATCATCAACCCATCTTGTCAATGATCCAAAACATAAAGCCAAATCTACAATGGAATGGTTCACAAATAGACGTATCCAGGTGTTAGAATGGCCAAGTCAAAGTCCAGACCTGAATCCAATCGAGAATCTGTGGAAAGAGCTGAAGACTGCTGCTGGGAGAGGGGAGGAGTAGCGGAACTTTGATGGAGTAACACAACATGGCGGCGCGCATCAAACAGCAGGCATAACATTAAGAGCTAAACACTATTCAAACCCATCGATTAACTACCCGAATCCCTGACTTGGTAACCGGACAATAACCTAAAATCACAAACGCGACAAAGTGGAGGACATAGAGAGCCTGGAGGCCTACATAGACTCCTACTACGACAGACAGCAACAAGACATCAACATGGACACCCCAAAATCAGAGAATCCCACCCCACACCCTGCGAAAAAGAGGAAAACGGACTCCTCCACAGACACAGACGACCTTCTCACGGATGGAGAGGTTAGTTTAATGGCAAGCATTAACAAAAAACTTGATCTGCTCGTTACGCTACATCAGGACGTTAAAGATATCACTCGCAGCCTGGAATTTGCCCACGAACACATATCATCCCTACAAACAGCTAACAAGGACATGCACGCCACGATACAATCCCTGTCAAAGCAAATGGACACGGTTTCAGCAGCAAATAAACAATTAAAAGAAACTGTTTTAGACTTACAAGCACGCTCCATGCGCGACAACCTCATATTTTCCGGTTTGACGGAAATAAGTAATGAAAATACAGAAAACATTGTTAAAGACTTCATGAAAACTCAGTTAAAAATAGCCCCGGAAACACTACGCAACATTACATTTCATCGGGTTCATCGCTTTGGAAAAGGCTCAAGCAATACACGCCCCATCGTAGCAAAATTCGAACACTTTCAGGACAAACTACTCGTGAAAAGTAAAGGAAGAGAGCTAAAAGGAACACACTTTGGACTTAACGATCATTTCCCAAAGGAAATAAACGAACGGAGGAAAGTATTATACCCCATCATGAAAGAGTACAGACTCAAGAACGTGCGAACATCACTGAACATAGACAAACTTTACATAAATAATCAACTCTTCAAGGACAGTAAAATAACCCCATGGCTCTTTTGATCACTACTACCGCAATGCAGTATGTTAGCTAAAATCTGAAACTCCTCTATCTCTGTTGCGCTATACCCCACTCATGTACCTGCTTGCGTTTATGTGTACTTGTAGCAAATCGCTAAAAGTAATGGCACTCTGTATGTTATGTCTTGTATCATGTCTTGTATTATGTCTTGTACTGCGTCTTGTATTGTGTGTCTGCATCCCTCCTTCCCCACCCACATCCCCTATCTGGATATACTACAGAGTCAGATATGTAAACTACCCTCAAAAATCACATGCAATCGCTTAAAATAATTTCTTGGAATGTACGTGGCTTTTGTACTCTATCTAAAAGAACAAAAATACTCTCTCATCTTTCCAAATGCTGATATATGCTTCTTACAAGAAACTCACATAACCCAACAAGAATCAGAGCAAATACAACTTGGACAATATGAGATAATACATTCAGCAACCTACAATAGCAAACAGCGAGGAGTTACGACTATCATTAAAAGAAATATCCCATTAATTAAAAATACAGTGAATAGTGACCCTGAAGGACGATATCTAATTCTAGACATAACAATCCATAATATAACATACACATTAGCTAATATATACGGCCCTAACAATGACGACCCAACTTTCTTCCATAATATTTTTGCAGCACTTCAAGATCAAACAAATATCATCCTTGCTGGGGACTTCAACACGGTACTTAACTCAACACTGGATCGCTCAAGCTCACCTGGTAACTCAAAACACACACACTCATCCGAAATAATTAAACAGTATATCAATCAATCAATCTTTATTTATAGGGCGCTTTTCCTGCACAGGGCAACACAAAGCGCCTCACAGTCCACACCACACAATGCACAAATCATCACCATTAAAATACAATTAAAAACACATATGTAATTAAAAAGCATTAAAATCACATAAGTAATTTAAAAACATAAGAATCACACAAGTAATTAAAAACAATAAAATAGTTAAAAACACAAAAAGTTACAACAATAAATAACAAGGTGTGTTAAAAAGATAAAATTCTCTAGTTGTATGCACAGGAAAAAAGAAAAGTCTTTAACATGGATTTGAACATTGACAGAGAGGCAGCCAGTCTCACATCCTCAGAAAGACTGTTCCAGACTTTAGCTGCATAAATCTGAAAAGCAGCCTCCCCCTGTCTAGTCCTGACTCTGGGCACTAACAGGAGTCCCGTCCCTGCGCTCCTCAGAGTCCGGGCTGGTTCATATGGGACTAGCATATCATGGATGTACTTTGGTGCAAGGCCATGGAGAGACTTGTACACCAGGAGAGCTGCTTTAAAGTCTATCCTCTGGGCCACGGGAAGCCAGTGCAGAGACCTGAGGACCGGACTAATGTGGTCGTACTTCCTGGTTCTAGTCAGGACTCGGGCTGCAGCATTTTGAATATACTGCAGCTGTTTTACTGCATGTTTGGAGATACCTGTGAGCAGGCCATTGCAGTAATCCAGCCTACTGGAAACAAAAGAATGGATAAGAATCTCCAAGTCTGCCCTGGACACAATATTTTTAATTTTGGCAATATTTTTCAGATGATAAAAAGCTGCTGATGTTACCGATCCAATGTGGCTATTGAAGTTTAAGTCAGAGTCCATTATTACTCCCAGATTTCTGACCTTATTTAAAGGCCTTAGGGAGAGAGACTGAAGGTGACAAATGACGGTCTCTCTTTGTTTCTCGGGACCAAAGACAATCATTTCGGTTTTGTCCGCATTTAGCTGGAGAAAATTGCATTGCATCCACTCACTGATCCGCTGGATACAGCGAAGGAGTGAGTCCACCGGTCCATGCTCTCCTGCAGTCAGTGAGACATAGATCTGAGTGTCATCAGCGTAATTGTGGTAGGACACTTTCATACTTTGAATTAACTGACCTAATGGCAGCATGTAAATATTGAACAGGAGAGGTCCCAGAATCGACCCCTGTGGCACTCCGCAGGTCAGGGCCATATTATCTGAGACATAGTCTCCAATCTCCACACAATACTTCCTTTCTTCTAGATAGGACCTAAACCAGCTTAGGGCAGTACCAGCAACACCAACCCAGTCCTCCAGTCTCTGCATGAGAATCTCATGGTCAACGGTGTCGAAAGCGGCACTCAGATCTAACATGACTAAAACAGAGACTTTTCCTGCATCAGTGTTAAGCCGAATATCATTTGTTACCTTGACTAGAGCGGTCTCAGTACTGTGGTGTGGTCTAAAGCCAGACTGAAACATGTCAAATGAGTCATTAGATATTAAAAATTCAGTAAGTTGTTGGTAGGCAACTTTTTCAAGAATTTTTCCCATGAATGGCAGATTTGAGATGGGACGGTAATTTTCAAGTACCGCAGCATCCAAACTGCTCTTTTTTAGGAGGGGCCTGATGACTGCCTTTTTCAGGGCCATTGGAAATGTTCCAGATAAAAAAGACATGTTTACTATTTGTGTCAATGAGGGTAATAGACTACACATAACAGACTTCAGAAATCTAGGAGGTAGTACATCCAGACTGCAGGTAGAGGAACTAAGACCTGTGATTATCTTTTTAACAGTTTCATCATTGACAGGTGCAAATTGAGCTAGCTCACAAAGCCTCACTGGATGTTGCATTGTTACTTGTGTTGTAGAGGTGATGGTATTTCTGATACCCTGAACCTTGTCTCTGAAGAACTGTGCAAACTCATTACACCTGGATTTGGAGTAGTGTTCTAATGGCAACTCAACAGGGGGGTTCGTTAATCTATTGATTGTTGAAAATAGAACACGCAGATTATTGCTGCAGCCTTCAATAGTTTCAGAAAAGTATAATTCTCTTGTTCTACGTAGTACTCTGTTAAACTCACACAACTTCTCTTTTAAGAGTTTATAATCACCCTGGAGGTTGGACTTTCTCCACTTTCTCTCTGCTCTCCGGCACTCTTGCTTCTGTGCCCTGACCGGGCCTGCTTTTATCCATGGGGCTTTTTGCTTATTTGTGACCATTTTTACCTTCACAGGGGCAATGGCGTCCAGAACATTCAACACACTAGAGGTGACAGAGTTAAACAGTTCATCTACAGTAGAACATGATGTGTTCTCAAAATGGATCATTCCCATAAATAGTTCACCCGTGTTTTCATTTAAGTGTCTACTTCTAACAATTTCATATTTAGCGGGTGGTCTGGTAGCAAAATACATGTTAAAAAATACACAGAAATGATCCGACAGAGCAACATCAACTACATTAACTTTTGAAATATTCACCCCTTTCGTGATAAGCAGGTCCAGGGTGTGTCCTCTGCTATGGGTGGGGCCACTCACATGCTGAGTGAGGCCAAAGGATTCAAGTATGGAACTCAGCTCTTTTGCGTATCTGTCATTAACATTATCCACATGAATATTAAAATCGCCTATAATGACTAAACCATCAAAATCTGTGCACACAACTGAAAGCAACTCAGTGAAATGATCAGTGAAACTATGGCATGACTGTGGCGGCTTGTACACAACAATAATAAGAATGGAAGAAGATTTCTTTTGTTCTATTTTAAAAGAAACATACTCAAATGATGAAAATTTCCCAAGAGACACTCTATGGGAGACAATACGATCTTTAAAAACTGCTGCTATGCCCCCCCCCCCTTTTATTTTATCGTGTTTCATATTCAAATTTGAAATTTGGTGGTGAGGCTTCTATTAAAACTGCATCTCCTGTATTATGGTCAAGCCATGTTTCAGTCATAAACATAAAATCAAGATCATACGAACAGATAAAATTATTAATTAAAAAAAAAAAAATGATTTGTTGCATAGTGATCTGACATTAAGTAGAGCAAGGTTAAAATTAATATCAGTGGATATATGGAGCAGTACGGTATTTGTGACAGCTGGAGAATGAGGAACCCGACAAACTCATGTTATACCTACTATTCTGCTCATCATAAATCATCTTCAAGACTGGACTTCTTCCTCATTAGCAACTCGCTCACTCAACACACCACAGAAAGCTCAATACATCCTATTGTAATCAGTGACCACTCCCCTGTCTCACTAACAATCTCTACACAGACAAAAACTAACAAATACTCAAGATGGCGTCTTAATACATCTCTCCTGGAGGACACAGAGTTCACAGCACTCATACGGAGAGAGTGGGCATACTTTCTTGGGACGAACGACTCTCCAGAAATCTCACCATCACTGCTTTGGGAGACCGGAAAAACAGTCCTTCGAGGAATAATCATCTCATACTCATCATATAAAAAAAGAAAACTCATTGGAACTTAAACTCAAGCAACTAACTGAAAAATGCAATAAAAACCCAAGTGAGGAACTACAGCATGAACTAAAACAAGTCAAAAATCAAATCGAAAACATCCTCAATAAAAAAAATGAATTCATCATAAACCAACTGAAATATGAGCAATTCCATTATAGTACTACATCTGGTAAATTATTAGCTAACCTTCTACAACACAAAAAAGAAAAAGCAATAATTCCCTCAATTCAGAACAGATCTGGAATCATAACTCATGACCCTAAAGAAATAAATAAAACCTTCCAACAATACTTCACTGATATATATTCATCAGATTGCACACCTAACAGTACAGCAACCAAACACTTCCTCAGTAAACTTAACCTTCCAACCCTATCAGACGATCAAATCCAAATGTTAGACGCACCACTTACAATTAATGAAATATATAAATCTCTAACAAAAATGCCAAATAACAAATCACCGGGACCAGATGGACTACCAGCAGAATTTTATAAGCACTTTTGGGATATACTTTCACCACTTCTAATCAGAGTAATAACCGAGATAAAAACAACTTCGTCAATACCACCATATATGAACACAGCAATCATTACACTCACACCCAAACCTAACAAAGACTTATCTCAACCCTCAAACTATCGCCCTCTCTCATTAATCAACACTGACTTAAAAATTATAACTAAAACACTTGCAATGCGGCTCGAAACAGTTACTCATTCACTCATCCATCCAGACCAAACAGGCTTCATAAAAAATAGACACTCATCAGACAATCTTCGTAAACTATTCAACTTAATCACAATAGCTCAAGGTAATAAGGCAAAATCAATCATTCTATCATTAGACGCAGAGAAAGCATTTGACAAAGTAAACTGGCAATTCCTCTTCCACACACTACACAGGTTTGGCTTTGGAGAGTCGTTCGTCCACTGGATACAAACGCTATATAACTCACCGAGGGCTACAATAATCACAAACGGGATCACATCACCCAGCTTCACTCTTCACCAGGGAACAAGACAGGGATGCCCACTCTCTCCGTTACTATTTGCATTATTTATTGAACCACTGGCAGCTGCTATAAGAACAAACAACAACATCATAGGAATTCAAAGCGGAACTGAAGAAAACAAACTTAGCTTATATGCTGATGACCTACTATTACATTTACAAAATCCTCAAATCTCTCTGCAAGAAACATTCTCCATTATAAATGAATTTTCCCTCCATTCCAATTATACAATCAACTGGTCAAAATCCACACTACTTCCACTAACTAAAGACTCATGGAACTCTGCAGCCCAAGACCTTTTTCCTTTAATTCACCTGGGCAACATAAAATATCTGGGAATCGATATTTCCGCCAGGCTGTCAGAACTCTTCAATCTTAATTATACCCCATTACTAAAAAATATTAAAGACGATCTCAACCGCTGGAAACATTTGCCCCTATCATTAATAAGTCGAATTGCTGCAGTCAAAATGAAGATATTACCTAAAATCACATACCTATATTCAATGATCCCCACCACCCCAACAGACAACTGGTTTAAATCGCTCAACACTTCAATCACGCAGTTTTACTGGAAAAACAAACCGCCTCGAATCGCTCTATCCACACTACAAAACAGTAAACAACAAGGTGGCCTTGAAGCCCCAAAATTTTTCTACTACTTTTTAGCCACACAACTCCAGTACATCTACATATGGATTAAAAATCAGCAATACAACAAACCCTGGACAGTCCTTGAACAGAACCAATGTAAAGATACACCAATAGCCGACCTTGCATTCCTACCACAATCTATCAAAAAGCTACAGTATTTCAAGTCAATCACCATCTCCACGACTCTGACAGCCTGGTGGAAAATTCTAAAAATCACAGACTCCTCACTCTCTTCTTGCAGATACCCTCCGTTATGGCACAATCCTGATTTCCAACAATATAATTCACCTATTTATTTACGCCGCTGGCAGCAAAATGGTATCACTCACTTACATCACCTCTTTGAAAACAACACACTCATCTCATTTGACACATTAACCAGAAAGTACGGGGTTGGGAGAGAAGAATTTTTACATTACCAACAAATAAAGAATTTAATAAAATCCAAAACTAACATACTTATTAACCATTTAACCGTCCCGCCTCTGGTAGAAAGCATTGTTAAAATCTCGAAATTACAAAAATTAACCTCCAAACTGTACAAAATAATAATATCCTCCAAACAACAGCTCACACTCCCATCCGTCAAATGGGAAACTGAACTGGATATCTCTCCCAACCCCGACTTTTGGACCAGCGTATGTAATAATATATTTACCATGACAACCAGCACCAATCTTCAACTAATACAGTACAAAACCATTCACAGAACCCACCTAACACAAAACAGATTACATAAAATGAACCTAGCAGACACTGACATATGCACACAATGCACTTTAGGTAGCACAGACACATACTTACACGCCACATGGGACTGCACACCGGTGCACTCTTTTTGGGTATCTGTTACTAACAAACTCTCCGTCATCCTGGGCTGCAGAGTTCCATTAAATCCATCTCTGTGCCTTCTGGGAGATACGTCAAATATGAACCTATGTCATAAATATCAAAATCCACTTCTCACTTCTCTGGCTGTCGCAAAGAAAGTTATACTTCAAAACTGGAAAAACAAAAAAGCATGTAGCATAAAACACTGGCTGAATGCCATCTCGGATCACATGCGACACGAACAACAAACTGCTATAAAACAGAATAATATATCAGCCTTTCAGGACACTTGGAAACACTTCATCAATCACTTATAATAATCAATACAATTATAATCTCCACTGATATAAAAACCCTACATGTACATCCCAAAAAGATTATGTAGGGGGAAAGAAGAGAAGGAATGGAAAAAAATAAAAATAAAAACACAATATAACTAATTATTAGTGTGTATGTTTGAGTGTGCGTGTGTGTGCGTGTGTGTGCGTGTGTGTGTGTAGGTGTGTAGGTTATCTATGTATTTTAGAACTATGTATTTTATCACACTAGCAGTGATGATAATAATAATAATGATATTAATGATATTACTATATTAATTTTCCTTATCATTGTTTATATAATATCAGAATTAACTATTTGAATTAATGAAATCCTACAGTGGGAGTAGTTGGGTGTGCGGTCTGGGCCGGCTCTACTCCCTCTCATCTCAGTCTCGTCCCTCCAGTACCCATCACACTGGCCATGATTGCTCTGTTTTTAACGCAACACACTAGTCAGGGCCCAACACAGCATACACTGAGAATAGGGTAAGCTCTAAGCTTATTTTAATGCACTTCATTAAACCAGGGGAAAAGATAAAAGAAAACCTTTTCACAAATCCACAAAAATGGGCAGCGAGCGCACACGGAATTGGTGTCCTGGGGCGTGCTGGAAGAGATGCACTCTGGAGGTCGGGGGGGGGGTCACGCCTGGCTTAGTACTCAACTACACCCACGAGTAAATATTAATTCATTAAAAAATAAATAAATAAATAAATGTAATATAAAGATCTATAAATAATGATCCACACACCCTTCTTGTTACAGTCCCCCTGCCCTTTTCTCCTTACTGATTGTTATTATTGTTATCACCACCCCAACCTTGTTATTTTATGTCTCTCTTGTATAGGTGAATAGAGGTGTATAGATGTGTATATGCACGGGCGTATAGTTATATATGTATGCATATGTAGTTAAATATGTATGTATATGTTAGTATATGTGTGATATATACACGTTATGTGGGTGTGTATGTATGGGTATGGGTATATGTGTGTACGTATATGTATATGTGTATATATGGATGTATGTGTGTGTATTGTGTGTATGTGTGTATATGTGCACATATGTAGGCACATATATATACATAGTGTGTTTGTGGGTGTATAGATGTGCAAATATTGTCACTCTTCTATTTACGCTTCCTTCTCTCCAACTAAAGAATCCTATGTTACCGCCGATGTTGACTAACTAACTTTTTCCTTCCCCCCTCAACCCTTTTTACCGCCAATACCTGTTTCCCTACCTGTATATCTACCCGTACGTCTACCTGTACGTCTACCTGTATGTTCACCTTTATGTATACCTGAATGTCTATGTATGTTTTTGTATCACTGTTGTTTTGTATGTCTTCTTTTTTTTCTGAAAAATAAACTTAAAAAAAAGACTGCTGTTCACAAACGCTCTCCATTCAACCTCACTGAGCTCGAGCTGTTTTGCAAGGAAGAATGGGAAAGAATTCTAGTCTCTCGATGTGCAAAACTGATAGAGACATACCCCAAGCGACTGTTAGCTGTAATTGCAGCAAAAGGTGGCGCTACAAAGTATTAGCGCAAGGGGGCCGTATAATATTGCACGCCCCACTTTTCTGTTTTTTATTTGTTAAAAAAGTTTAAATTCCGTCCGTCCGTCCGTTTTCTTCCGCTTCATCCGTTGCCGGGTCGTGGGGGCAGCAGTCTAAGCAGAGACGCCCAGACGCCCAGACTTCCCTATCGACACACACTTCCTCCAGCTCGTCCGGGGGGACCCCAAGGCGTTCCCAGGCCAGCTGAGAGACATAGTCACTCCAGCGTGTCCTGGGTCTTCCCCAGGGCCTCCTCCCGGTGGGACGTGCCCGGAACACCTCCCCAGGGAGGCGTCCAGGAGGCATCCGGAACAGATGCCCGAGCCACCTCAACTGGTTCCTCTCGACGTGGAGTAGCAGCGGCTCTACTCCGAGCTCCTCCCGTGTGACTGAGCTCCTCACCCTATCTCTAAGGGAGCGCCCAGCCACTCTGCGGAGGAAGCTCATTTCGACCGCTTGTATCCGCGATCTCGTTCTTTCGGTCATTACCCAAAGCTCATGACCATAGGTGAGGGAGGGAACGAAGATTGACCGGTAAATCGAGAGCTTTGCCTTTCGGCTCAGCTCCCTCTTTACCACGACGGTCCGATACAGCGACCGCATCACTGCGCACGCTGCACCGATCCGCCTGTCAATCTCACGCTACATTCTTCGCTCACTCGTGAACAAGACCCCGAGATACTTGAACTCTTCCACTTGAGGAAGGACCTCTCCACCCACCTGAAGAGAGCAAGGCACCTTTTTCCGGTCGAGCACCATGGCCTCGGATTTGGAGGTGCTGATTCTCATCCCAGCCGCTTCACACTCGGCTGCAAACCGTCCCAGTGCATGTTTCAGGTCCTGGTTCGTTGGAGCCAACAGGACAACATCGTCCGTAAACAGCAGAGATGAAATCCTGTGGTCCCCGAACCGGACCCCCTCCGGCCCCTGGCTGCGCCTAGAAATTCTGTCCATGAATACAATGAACAGAACCAAAAAGTTTAAATTATCCAATAAATTCCGTTCCACTTCACGATTGTGTCCCACTTGTTGTTGATTCTCGACAAAAAAAATAATTTTTTATAGCCTGAAATGTGGCGAAATGTTGAAAGGTTCAAGGGGGCCGAATACTTTCGCAATGTATATTTATACTGTATAAAGTGTGTTGTGAGGGGTTTTCAGCCTTAAATCTTGTGGCTGCTTCCTCTTGAATTTCACTTATTGCAGGTTATTTTTAGAACATAACCCCTGCGATAAACGAGGGACCTCTGTATTGCTGTTATCTCTCTTCCGCTCCACAAGCTTGTTACTCTTGTGCCCACTTAGAGTTTACTCCATAGACAATGCCTCCTCTTCCAAATCAATAAGTTCTCCCTAAATGCCCGCCTCTCAACCACCAGTTTTTCAACAAGATTTGCATGTGCCACATTTCTCTGAGGAGTCTTGCCATCACCGTCCTTCACTCGGATTTCAATAAGACAGAACTGCATGTGCCACTGAAGAAACGCACTGTGCACACTCAAAGATTTGCATACATCGTACTCACAAGTGCAGTGGGGAAGTGGGTTTAATCAAAACCCAATGAATTCATTTGAAATAGCGATATCAGATATGATTCACAATGATGAACACAACTTAAATCCAATGAAGTGTTATTAAATACATTAACAACATTATTGAATTAACAATTGTAAAAACATTGCAACATAATCAACTATAATTAAAGCCCTACATTTAATATCTTACAGCGCATACGACACTTAAATTTCTGCGAAGTGAAGATAGAGATCTCACTAGAGTCAGTGTAAAGGTTCCTTTAAAACCTGGTGACTGATCAACAAAAACAGTCTGATGCTCCACATAGGAATAAAAAATGTCCACCAAAATTATTCTTGAATCATAAAAATCAGATTTATTTTACAGACAAAATAACAGTCAATTGGAAAACTCAGGATGGGGCAGATACATGAAGATGAACAAAGGCAGCAAGGCTAAGATGAGGGAAATAAAGAGGTCAGAGGGGTCAAAGACGGTCTTTTTCTGCTGCAGGTGAAACATGATATAATCCTTTCTCAGTGTGTCCACTAGATGGAGACAAAGTGTCTATGGATGCTATAGAACAACTAAAAATGTTTGCACATGCATATCATTCAAAATGTGTAACACTAAATCAAATCAATTGATACATTATTAATACACTGCAAAATAAACAATTGCAAAAACATTGTACTTCTTCGTACATTCTGAGGTGTTTATTCAATGTGTGTCCTTCTAACCAGAGGCATCCAGGGGAAACAGCTCTACTGATGGTGATATGGGTCTAACTGTGTACTGTTTGTGCTTTAATGTCCAATATGTGCAGCGTGATGAGCTTTATCCACTCAGCCTGAGCCCATTGGAAATGGGTCCTTCCTTATTTTGATGTCCATGAAATTGACCTTTCCCCAACCCTTTGTGCCCTGTGCACCCCCTGGCCAGTGCACCAGGGTCATGGGTGAAATATGTACTTCGACTCATTTTATGAGGGCTGGTCAGGTCTTTTTTAGCATTTATTTGAGGTCTCCTCAGTTTAATTTGTGGGAAGTATATTTGTAGCTAATAAATTGAAACAGCTTATATTTCATCTTCATCTATTTTTATTTAAACAATGTATTGGTATTTTGACTGGCATTTGTTTTTATTTAAATTGAGTTTCAGAAATTTCTGAACCAAAATGTGGACCAAAGGTAAGGAAAGTTTGTTTTTGCAGAGTGACAGACCTATTAATCTCTCATCATTAATCACAATTAGAGTTCAATATTTATTATATAATAAATCATGTTTTTTGCTTCAGAAATGTGTATTCCATACCATGGTAGCACATAAAGCACATGAGTGTTAACCTCTATCCATCTATCAATGCTTGCAATAATAGAAAATAATGTAGGGGTCCCTAATACACTCATGTAAGTAAGTAAGTAAGTAAGTTTTTATTTATATACCGCCTTTTCACTGCAGATCTGAGTCTCAAAGCGGTTTACAATTGTTAATTTTGGGCATTTGTCTCTCACTCCACACAGAGATGGGAGCGGGGTCGCCAGTACAGGAAGCGCATGCCAGAACTATTGGACATATTTTTAGTGGTAGGGGAAACCGGAGTACCCGGAGGAAACCTACGCAGACACGGGGAGAACATGCAAACTCCACTCAGAAAGGCCCTGGTCCGACCGGGATTCGAAACCAGGACCTTCTTGCTGAGAGGCGAGAGTGCTATCCACTCAGCCACCGTGCCGCCCACGGTGGAGGTCTGTTGACCACAGGTTGGGAAGCTTTAACGGACGGAGCAGGAGCTTTGTCAAATGAAATTGAATTAAAGACTTTAAAATGTAGGCAGCATGTAGTGCCACCAAGTAGAACAAAAAGCAGAAGGAAGAAGAGGATCAGAAAGAGGGTGTTTTCTGAACCCGGCTACAGTCTGTGGACTGGGCTGTTGTCAAAAGAACATAAACATATTGTGTGATAAAAGTGAGTGAAGGTGGATAGTGCCCAGAAGGACATGTTCAGTCCCCGACATCCTTCTCCTGGTCCTCTGAGTACACAGTCTTCTCCTGGGCTTTCATCAGCTGCACTCCTGCAAAGAAAGAGTTTTTTTGGTTAATATAAGCAGCCGTGCTGGGGATTATTGGTTACGGCCCAAATCAAGGGACTTTATAATAGATAAAAATGTGCAAGTGACAGCAAATCAACGCATCGGTCCATGTTAAGGGTGCTCTCCTTACACCATTGTTTTACTTTTCAATTTGTTGTTGGAAACAGAAAATAACTTTTACAATAAATTTGAAGTATTCTGGTTTGAGGTAAGGGTTATTGCTGTTGATCCAACCTTCAATGCCAGTGTGACCATCTCCTGATACCAATGCTCTTTGTCAGGACCTCTCTTGAGTTCTACTACATAAACATCTGGACCTGCTCTCATGGAAACCAGGAATAGTTAGGAGCCTTAGTTGAAATCGTTCAAGCTGATTGGGCAAAGCATCAACTACTACCAGCATCTCAGTATGCACATGGAACAAAGATGTACACAGCTGACGAAGGATTATGTGATAGTGCTATGGACTCATTATTTCTTAACTCTTTTAACTGTGATGTTTTGAATAAAGACACAGTTCTTGTTGGAAACATAGTTATTATGAAATTGTATTCAGCACAAACAGCAAAACAATGTGGTAAATATCTGAGGCAAACATGAACAATTTATAAGTGCAGGAGGAATGGAATAGACGTGATAAGCTACGATTCAAACAAAGACAGAAACAGTGCAAAAGAAACGACTGCACAGTTTATAAGTTATATACAGTGCCTTGCGAAAGTATTTGGCCCCCTTGAACCTTTCAACATTTCGCCACATTTCAGGCTTCAAACATAAAGATATAAAACATTATTTTTTTGTCATGAATCAACAACAAGTGGGACACAATCGTGAAGTGGAATGAAATTTATTGCATAATTTAAACCTTTTTAACAAATAAAAAACTGAAAAGTGGGGCGTGCAATATTATTCGGCCCCTTTACTTTCAGTGCAGCAAACTCAGTCCAGAAGTTCAGTGAGGATCTTTGAATGATCCAATGTTGTCCTAAATGACTGATGATGATAAATAGAATGCACTTGTGTGTAATCAAGTCTCTGTATAAATGCACCTGCTCTTTGATAGTCTCAGGGTTCTGTTTAAAGCGCAGAGAGAACCATGAAGACAAAGGAAAACACCAGGCAGGTCCGAGATACTGTTGTGGAGAAGTTTAAAGCCGGATTTGGATACAAAAAGATTTCCCAAGCTTTAAACATCTCAAGAAGCACTGTGCAAGCAATTATATTGAAATGGAAGGAGTATCAGACCACTGCAAATCTACCAAGACCTGGCCGTCCCTCCAAACTTTCATCTCAAACAAGGAGAAGACTGATCAGAGATGCAGCCAAGAGGCCCATGATCACTCTGGATGAACTGCAGATAACTACAGCTGAGGTGGGAGAGTCTGTCCATAGGACAACAATCAGTCGTGCACTGCACAAATCTGGCCTTTATGGAAGAGTGGCAAGAAGAAAGCTATTTCTCAAAGATATCCATAAAAAGTCTTGTTTAAAGTTTGCCACAAGCCACCTGGGAGACACACCAAACATGTGGAAGAAGGTGCTCTGGTCAGATGAAACCAAAATCGAACTTTTTGGCCACAATGCAAAACGATATGTTTGGGTAAAAGCAACACAGCTCATCACCCTGAACACACCATCCCCACTGTCAAACATGGGGGTGGCAGCATCATGCTTTGGGCCTGCTTTTCTTCAGCAGGGACAGGGAAGATGGCTAAAATTGATGGGAAGATGGATGGAGCCAAATACAGGACCATTCTGGAAGAAAACCTGTTGGAGTCTGCAAAAGACCTGAGACTGGGACGGAGATTTATCTTCCAACAGGACAATGATCCAAAATGATTCACAAATAGACGTATCCAGGTGTTAGAATGGCCAAGTCAAAGTCCAGACCTGAATCCAATCGAGAATCTGTGGAAAGAGCTGAAGACTGCTGTTCACAAACGCTCTCCATCCAACCTCACTGAGCTCCAGCTGTTTTGCAAGGAAGAATGGGAAAGAATTCTCGATGTGCAAAACTGATAGAGACAAACCCCAAGCGACTTGCAGCTGTAATTGCAGCAAAAGGTGGCGCTACAAAGTATAAGCGCAAGGGGGCCGAATAATATTGCACGCCCCACTTTTCAGTTTTTTATTTGTTAAAAAAGTTTAAATTATCCAATAAATGTCTTTCCACTTCACGATTGTGTCCCACTTGTTGTTGATTGTTGACAAAAAAAATATTTTTTATATCTTTATGTTTGAAGCCTGAAATGTGGCGAAATGTTGAAAGGTTCAAGGGGCTAAATACTGTATATGTTAGATATCCAACAGAACTCTAGTCCACAGTCTCCTGTATATCAGGCTCTGCCATGAGCCCAAACAATTTTTCCTTTGGTTCCTTCGAAGCTTGAAGCTCTCTGCTCCATAGTGCCTCGTCCATGCTCCTGCAGCCGCTCCGTACCTTCCAATACACACACAGGGACCAATCACAGCGGAACTTCCTTTTGGCGACCCTTACGTAGTTAGAAAATTTAAATGCTGCGCGGCAGGCAACGTAAGGGCCTTGCGGTGACCAATGCGTTGTGCAAGTGACGTCACGTCACCTCCGCGCCGCGCAAGTATACACTAGGCTTAAGTGTGCAGCCCCTGTGTATGAGGAGAGCACTCTTTTCTCTACTAACATGAGTTTCTGTGAGTTTTCCCACAGCTTTAGTTTTAACATAGCCTGGTCAACCACACTATCATACAAATTGCATTTCGTACTAAGGTCTGGAGGTGCTCCATTGAGCTCCGTGAACAGGTGGGAGGGGTTAACTCCTTTCTCAGATTGAAACGGTTGGATCTGAGTTTACCGTGATGTATGTAATGCGCCTGAGTGAGTTGTTAGCATTTAGCATTTAGCCCAGCTATCTCCTTTCCCGCTAACGGAGCCCGTGGGGAGTAGCACCACAATCTTTGCCAGCAATTACATTTACTAAACATTCCTCTTGCTCCAGCTTCAATTTCTTGATACAACCAGACTGGATTACTTTACTATCACGGTCTTTGCCATTGCCAAACTACAACCTGCCCATTCAGCGCAAACTCTTGTCGTCACCCACATCTAACTACAACACCCCCATCCCGCAGTCGCTGATGGGTCGGATGGAATTCAACCGATGTAATCCTCAAACACAGGGACCAGACCCAGACGTTACATACAGGGAAATTATTATTGACCGGAGTGTACGGATGGCTAAGGCCAGGCTAGTTTGAACAGCACTGAGCCTGAATAGCAAAGTCAGTGATTATAACTCCTGAAGTAATCTGATCAATATGAAGTCATCAAAGACAAATTGTACTTTATAAATTAGCTTCTTGTTCTATATGTGACAGTTACTGCCTATACGTCTTGGCTAATTCTGGCTTTTCCCCTCATGATTAGTCAGGTCTTATGGAGTTGCACTGCTCAACTTTCAATTATATTAAGCCAAAAAGGAAGTGAAGTATATCCATCTTGTCCAGCTGCTCTCTGACCTGGTATGTGCGGTGGACAGTTTAGCACAGGTGTGTCCTTTCTGCGTGGCTTCTTCAAGAGGTCATCGTGGTGCGGCTCCGTGCTGAGGCCCTCTGTGTGGCCCTCTGTGTGGCCCTCTGTGTCTTCAGTCACATCCTGGCCTGAGAGAGCAAATGGGATGCATTAATTGCCTCCACTCTGACCTGTAAGGATCAATACTTAACATGATTTTCTATATATATAATATATAGTATATTATATGCCTGCCACCTTAACGTGGTGGGGGAGTTTGAGTACTCGGATGATCCTGGGAGCTATGCTGTCTGGGGCTTCATGCCCCTGGTAGGGCCCATGGCAGACAGGTCTCAGGTGACAAGTCAGACGAAGAGCGGTCCAAAAACCACCATGGACAGCACGTTAAATAGACCAGTGACGTCGCCCGGCATGGCGCAGCCGGGGCCCCACCCTGGAGCCAGGCCTGGGGTCGGGGCTCGTATGCAAGCGCCTGGTGGCCGGGCCTTAGCCCACGGGGCCCGGCCGGGCTCAGCCCGAAGGGATGACGTGGGCAGTCCCTCCTGTGGGCCCACCACCTGCAGAGGGGTCCGTGGTGGCGCGGTGCTGAGAGGACTGGGCGGCAGTCGAAGGCGAAGACCTCGGCGACCCAGTCCGCACACACAACATCTGGCTCTTGGGACGTGGAACGTCACCTCACTGGGGAGGAAGGAGCCCGAGCTCGTGGGGGAGGTTGAGCGATACCGACTAGAGATAGTCGGCCTCACCTCCACACACAGCTTGGGCTCTGGAACCCAACTCCTTGAGAGGGGTTGGACGCTCCACTTTTCTGGAGTTTCCCGCGGGGAGAGGCGGCGAGCTGGGGTGGCCATTCTCATTGCCCCCTATCTCAGCCGCCACGTGTTGGAGTTCTCACCGGTGAATGAGAGGGTCGCGTCCCTCCGCCTCCGGGTGGGGGACAAGTCTCTCATTGTTGTGACGGCCTACGGGCCTAACAGCAGTGCAGAGTACCTGGCCTTCTTGGAGTCCTTGGGAGGGGTACTGGACGGTGCACCGCCCGGGGACTCCGTTATTCTCCTGGGGGACTTCAACGCCCATGTGGGAAATGCCAGTGACACTTGGAGAGGGGTGATCGAGAAGAACGGCCCCCCTGATCTGAACCCGAGCGGTGTTCAGTTGTTGGACTTCTGTGCCAGTCACAGTTTGTCCATCACGAACACCATGTTCGAGCACAAAGTCGATCATCGACCTCCGGCCTAGGGTGTCCTGGTGCCACGTGCACTGGTGGACACCCTAGGCCGGAGGTCGATGATCGACTTTGTTGTCGTATCATCTGACCTCCGACCGCATGTCTCGGACACTCGGGTAAAGAGAGGGGCGGAGCTGTCAACCGATCATCACCTGGTCGTGAGTTGGATCCGCTGGCAGGGGAAGAAGCCGGTCAGACCTGGCAGACCCAAGCGTATAGTGAGGGTCTGCTGGGAACGTCTCGCTGAGCCCCCTGTCAGACGGACTTTCAACTCACACAGTTCCTCCCAGGTCCTGGCGGAGGAGGGGGACATGGAGTCCGAGTGGACCATGTTTTCTGCCTCAATCGCCGAAGCGGCGGCTCGTAGCTGTGGTCGCAAGGTCTCTGGTGCTGGTCCCGGCGGCAACCCCCGAACCCGGTGGTGGACACCGGCAGTAAGCTGTCAGGCTGAAGAAGGAGTCCTATCGAGCCATGATGGTTCGGGGGACTCCTGAGGAAGCTGTCCAGTAACGGCAGGCCAAGCGTGTTGCGGCCCGGGCTGTTGCAGAGGCAAAAACCCGGGACTGGGAGGAGTTTGGAGAGTCCATGGAGCATGACTATCGGTCGGCCTCGAAGAGATTCTGGCAAACCGTCCGGCGCCTCAGGAGGGGGAAGCAGTTCTTTGCCAACACCATGTACGGTGCGGGTGGAGAGCTGCTGACCTCGACTGGGGATATTGTCGGGCGGTGGAAGGAATACTTTGAGGTTCTCCTCAATCCCCCCGTCACGTCCTCTGTTACAGAGGCAGAGGCTGAGGATGTTGGGGCGGATACATCCATCTCCCTGGCTGGGGTCACCAAGGTGGTTGGCAGCCTCCATGGTGGCAAGGCTCCGGGTGTGGATGAGATCCGTCCTGACTATCTAAAGTCTCTGGATGTTGTAGGACTGTCTTGGCTGACACGTCTCTGCAGCATCGCGTGGCGATCGGGGGCGGTGCCAATGGAGTGGCAGACTGGGGTGGTGGTCCCTCTCTACAAGAAGGGAGACCGGAGTGTGTGTTCCAATTATCGTGGAATCACACTCCTCAGCCTCCCCGGTAAGGTCTACTCCAAGGTACTGGAGAGGAGGCTACGGCCGATGGTCGAATCTCAGATCCAGGAGGAGCAGTGTGGTTTTCGTCCCGGTCGCGGAACACTGGACCAGCTCTATACTCTCCATCGGATACTCGAGGGTTCATGGGAGTTCGCCTAAACTGTCCACATGTGCTTTGTGGATTTGGAGAAGGCGTTCGACTGTGTTCCCCGGGGTGTCCTTTGGGGGGTTCTCCGGGAGTACGGGGTCGGAGGTCCTCTGCTGAGGACCATCCAATCCCTGTATGACCGGAGCCAGAGCTGTGTTCGCATTGCCGGCAGTAAGTCAGACCTGTTCCCGGTGAATGTTGGCCTCCGACAGGGCAGCCTTTTGTCACCGGTTCTGTTCATTGTATTTATGGACAGAATTTCTAGGCGCAGCCAGGGGTCGGAGGGGGTCCGGTTCGGAGACCACAGTATTTCATCTCTGCTGTTTGCGGACGATGTTGTCCTGTTGGCTCCAACGAACCAGGACCTGCAGCATGCACTGGGGCGGTTTGCAGCCAAGTGCTGGACACCTCCCTGGGGAGGTGTTCCGGGCACGTCCCACCGGGAGGAGGCCCCGCGGAAGACCTAGGACACGCTGGAGGGACTATGTCTCTCAGCTGGCCTGGGAACGCCTTGGGGTCCTCCCGGATGAGCTGGAGGAAGTGTGTGTGGATAGGGAAGTCTGGACGTCTCTGCTTAGACTGCTGCCCCCGCGACCCGGCAACGGATAAAGCGGAAGAAAATGGATGGATGGATGGATGGAGTATATTATATATATTTAATTGAGTTGGTTTTTGTATAAAGAAAATGTATTGTGAATGCTCACATGACCAAGCTCCACATTTTGTTTAACTGTACAGAAAATGTGACCTATTTCAGAAGAGCCACTATTCACTATATGCCTCTTTGGGCTAAGAGCTGCCAGAGCTGGTAATCCAATCTCAGTCAACACATCTTATATTGATCATGATAATCTGCCTTTCATGTTTGAGAGTTTGAAATCCTTGCTTTAAGTAGAGTTTACATGGAAAAACATGTAATGGATAAATAATCTCAAGATCAGTAATCACTGCCGTCTAGTGAGAGAAGTGGGATATTAAATTATGTTTTATCTTGTTACTATGGATACGTTGATTTCTGTCTATGCAATGAACACAACATAGCTCTGCTTTGTATGAGAAGTCCCTGTTATTAGCGTGGATAGTGCTTGAAAATATCTCCAGGTCTGTTTTTGATGAGGTAGAATAAAGTGTTGGTTCAAAGAGCAAAAATAATTTAGCATAATAATGTAAAGGATATAATTCAGAGAGTAATTTGGGTGACGTCAGCGGATAATCGCAGACGAAGAGAGTGCAGAGGTGCTCACCGTGGTGCTCCGGCTCCACACTGGCCCCAACACAGTCTGTCGTCATGTCCCCTTTGGCCCTGCAGGATCACATAACACACACACACGTTAGGTTTCTATGCTTCTTGGGGACATTACAGCTACCACTGCCTTTATATGGGCAAAGGATATGGACTACACAGACCATTCTTATCTGAGTATACATGAAGGGGTGCCCAGAGTCAGAATGAGGCTGCATTCCAGATTCATGCGGCTAAAATCTAAGAACAGTTATGTATAGCTGTGCATACAACTGGATAATTTTATATTTTGAATGTACAGGGATTATTTATGATTTTATTGCCTTGTGTGACTGTTTCTATCTTGTTTTGTTCAGCCCTTTGAGTGGCCTTGTGTATGAATTGTGCTATACAAATGTGCCTTGATTTTTGCTTTAGTGCTTTGTAACTGCCTGAGCACTCAAACTTTTTGACATCTATCTTGCATAGTTAAGCAACATGAAACTGCTGGAGAGAAAAAAAACATTTTATTTCTGCAACACAATTAAAAACAACAACAAAAACTCTGATAAACTAAACATGTGGTGTTAAAGCTACAGTCAAAGGACTGTGCACATCAGCGCTGTTGAACTGGTTTGAGAAAGGACCGGTGTGGTTAGAGCAGGAGCACACCAGACTCCACCCATTTCACTCCCAAGTGAGTCCAGTCTTGACCTGGAGACCTGAGGAAATGTGGAGTGAGTGTGGTGTGCTCCTGCTTGATTGGCATTAAAACCTGCAACCACACTATCTTTCTGGAACAAGCTTGACCCCTGGTGTAAATAATTGCAATAATCAATAATGTCGGGGGTGGGAGGCGTTGTTCCTGATGCTGAGGAGTTTCTTCAGCCTCCTCCTCTCAGCCTCCTCACCAACAGGGCAATTAGGTTAGGGGTTTTGGATCCAGGGATTTAACTTGGAACGTCCAGTTTTAACATTCTCAGTCCTCCCATGTAAACACAGTGACTGATATATTGACTGGCACATACTGGTTGCCTCGCTTCTGTCAGTGTGCCCCAGGGCAGCTGTGGCTACAGTAGTAGTTTATCACCACCGTGTATGGAGTGAAAGAATAATGACATGTGAAGCGTCTTTGAGTGTCCAAAAAAGTGCTATATAAAACCAATTCATTATTATCATTATTATTATATTAGTACCTACAGTACAGACCAATCTTTGAGTATTAGCGCAGACTCTTGCTGTTATCTTATTAAAAAAAGAAATTTCATTGTGACATTAGTCAGTCCAATTTTCAAAACTCAGATATCCCCCATCCTCCCAATTATATATTTCCCTTTTAACTGGTGTGTATTTGCAGTTGTTCTTCAACCATGAGTGCATCTAACACTGATTGTTGTGGCTCATCGCGAGTGGCAGACTGTAGTCCCCACAAGGTTAGAAATACCTGCCGCACACACAGATGCATCTTTCATGAGGACAAAGGGCCACACTCTCCATGCAGCATTTTGATTTCACAGAAAATGGATCAAATAATACACCCTTACTATTACTTTAAGATGTTCAAAACAGATGCATTTAAATTTTTTTTTTGTTGAATCCAGTGAATTCACATATTAGTAACTTCTCTGCTTAAATCACACAACGTGGGAATATCTGTAATATATTTAACAAATATATCATGCCGTTCATGAACAACATATTCCAATAATGAAACATAAGTATCATCATTTTAAAATATTTCAATTTCTTTGAACCTGTTTTCTTTTTAACTGCTTGTTCTACCTAAATTTTGTACTACATTTATAATAAGTTTTCCCATGTTGTATGCCTTGACCAGATGTGGATGTGACTCCCCCTAACCCTAACCCTCTGCCAAGCAAAGCCCCACTCATGCTAAGTCTAAATGTCACAAACGGTCGGTGAGAGATCTCAAAGGAAAATAGTAGATCCTACCTGGAGCTCCGTGGTGTCCCTGTGGTCCAGAGACGTGCTGCGCTGTGGTTATGAAGCCGAGGGGCGGGGCTTATCCTTGACAAAGCAGATCCCTCACACGTCTTCTTTCTCATCCTCTTTCATATTTGAATAATCCGGATTTAATCTAAATTCAAGGCTTCAGTGCTCAGTACATGTCAGTTTTGTCTTCATACTCAGTTACTTTATAAAACTATAACGTTATGATCCTTTTGTGTTTAATACTACATAGAAAAAGGTTGAATATTTGTTTCCGATGGAGTTTCATTTGAAGAACAAATTATCAACGTGTATGGTCGCTCTTAAATGCTTGTCATGTTTTAGAATGATAGAAAATATCTGAATAAACCTGAGAAAGGAAAGAAATCACATCGTAGTATTTGAAAACACAAAAAAAAAAAAAAAAAAAAATATTTAGAGAAAACACCTTGAGGATCAATGTGTAATGGGTTTTACACGCAGAAGCTTGCATCAGCTTGTATAAAAAACAAACTGAACTGAACTGTTACAGGTCAGGTCTGTGGAGAGGAGCCTCTCAGAGTAATAGAGGAGACACATTCTCCAGTTTTACGGTAAAATTAGCAATAAACACGAGCACAGATCGTACTGGTCACTATATGACACCATTTAGATGTGAAATGTCTTGAACAGTTCAGTGAAGTGGGCGGGGATAGGTGGTAGGTGAAACAGATGTTTGAAATGTAGCGGCAGAGGATCACACAGATGAACAACAAAGCTTGTTTTGAAATGTATTTTTATTTTATACAAGTGAATAATTTAATTTAGCAGGAGTTTAAAGGCACTTACAACACATGCCAGTGGTCCAGTGCAATATGTCTGTGTGTAAGAACAAACAAGTACAAAAGAAAATAGATTTTTGAAATCCACATCCAGGTAAAGAGATCAGCCACAGGCCAAACTCTGACCTATAAAAGAACAAACAAACATGTGATTATGCAGAGCGTAGAACTACAGTTGAAGCATGTAGAAAGGACCATTACCATGTTAGTCCTGATCGGCTGGTCTCCTAGTGTCGAATAGAATGTCTTAACTAGAATAAAACACAGGTGTGGTGTGAAGAAAACATTGGCTCCATCTGAGTGTTGCCTGTGACATCACTGACCCTGTGCAGGAGCCCCACCAGGTGCCTCTTGTCTTTAGCTGGAGCACAGCCCAGAGCCTGCTGTGACAAGGCTGCTTGCACTTGGGGGGGCCCAGGAGCTTCATGGGGGCCCTTCTGCAAACTGCACTGTGTGGCGACTGTCCTCTTGTGAGTTGGCCCTGGAACAGGAATGAGGGCCCCTGACACAGGACTTAGGGCCTCCAAAGAAAAGAGATGCAGCTGGGAGCACAGGAGCGACTGCTCCTCCAGGAGCTGGACTATCTTCTTTACAGACACAAGAGCAAAGGTTTACACACAAGAAATATCAATCACTGCAGAAGCTGCACCAGCCTGTCTGTCTATCTCATGCTCCATCCTTCCCTCACTGTTAAACAGTGGAAAGGACCTCCACACCACCAGGAGAAGGCAAGGCACCTTTCTCTGGCCAAGTACCATGGCCTCAGATTTGGAGGCGCTAATAGAAGAACATAGCATTACCGGAATAAGTCTGAAGTCGTGGTGGGGCCCCAGGTCGGACAGGTGTTTGTCGAGCTCCACGGCCTCCTGCCTCACGGCCTGTCTGAGCTGCAGCAGCTCCTCCACACACACCCTGAGGACACAGCAGGCCAAGTCCATTCAGTGACTTCACTTCAGCTCATTTTCCGTTTCAAATGTTATAAACTGAAAATCAATCAAAGTACACCAAGGATATGTATGCGTGTAGAGAAAGACATTCTTAAGATCTTGATCAAATCTGTGGACTTCACACTGATAACAGTGTGAGGAGGAAGACGGATCAAAAGATGCAATGAGATTGATTTGAAGAAAACATTTAAATCATCTCTTGTGTTAATTTGCTCCTTAAACAAAAATGTAACTTATTAAGAGAATGTTAATTAAATAAGAGACAGGGGTGTATCAAACTCTCCCATGTAGTGGTAGAAGTGTGACATTTTTCCTTAGGTTTACCAGAAAAAAAGATGAGCTTTGTATTTGACAACCTAGAAACCTGCACTCATAGATTTGGCCCTGGGAGTTACCAACGACAACAGACTTAAACTTAAAGAGTGTTATTCACAGAACCTGTCGTGGGGGCTGAGGGCGCTGTAGACCCCCGCCTGCTCCTCTGTCACATGTTCCTCCATCAGGCCCAGCACACAACAGAACCTCTGCAGATGATAGAGCAGTGTGTCCAGCTCCCCCTGACCCCGCTGAGAACACACAACACGAGTATCAACATCCCAGTCACATGTGATCATCCTGTCCCATTTCATCAGACTGTACAACGAACAATGAGGACTAAGGAGCACTGTCTCTCCTGTCGTGCTTCTGTGAAACTGCCACCCACACTTCGTCCCATAGCTTCATGTTGTTAATATGTACAGATGTATACATACAACTATATATTCCTTGTACTACATGATAAATTATTATTATACAAGTGCTTCTTTATTACGCTAAAGTAAGATATTTTATTATTGTATTTTAGTATAACGTTTTTTTTTAAACAGGTTTCATATGTATGTGCACTGTTTTTGTGTTATACAAACAATGTGGATTGGAATTATATGTTTTTTGAGTTTTTGAATTGGTTGTGAAGCACTATATTGTGCATTATACATTTTGATTTTATTATATTTTAATGCAAAATAAAATGCCCCCCCCCCCCCCCCCTTTATGTCAGAACTAATATGTTATCAGCACCACAAAAAGATTCTAAAAACATGCTAAATTATGAACATATTTTTTGTCCCATGGTGACATATGATATCGATGACCAATCTAATTAGGTTCGTGTGAAGCAGAGAGGCTATTAGTTACTTTTGAAATGGGTCCTCAGGAGATGGGGAACACAGACATAATCATACGTGTTCGCAAAGAAAAAGGCGAAAATGCAAATGATGTATTCAGATGGAAATAATCTATAACAGTGGCCCTGGAGCCCCTCTGAGCCAGCCTCTGTAACTACGGCAACATCACAACACTAGAGTCTTGCTAATAGAGCAGACTTCAGAATTATTAACGTTTGCATAAATAACACTTACAATAGAATGGCCGGGGCATCAGTTCAGAAGGACTTGTTTGAACCTGATCAGAGATGATACGTAGGCAAATACTAAGGAAAACATTTAATTCACTTTATTTTTAAAGAAGGGCCGTTGTTACTCAATATAACGTGACAAAATACAACTTTCTTTTGATGTAAGCCGTGATAACACTTTCTTCTAAAATGAACAAAAATTACAAGTCAGTATACGATGCGTTGACTGCTGCAGGGGACTGAGACCCCTGCAGCAGCTCTCAGCCCAAAGAGGGCTTCTGCAATAGGTCACATTTTCTACAGTTAAATAAAATTTGGAGCTTGGTCATATCAGCATTCACAATACACTTCCTATAGACAAAAACGAACAAACAAAATTATAGATACCGTAATTTCATGCCGCTTTCCTCCAACCAAATGAGATCTTGTTTCTATTTCTTTCAACCTTGTTGCTTACACTGTATAGCAGCTTAAATAGCTAATATGTGTATTTTTATTGTGGTAGAGTTGTCAGAGCTGAGTTTATGGACTTCTTTTGACTCCATCAAGTTTGACTAGCTATAGGACACTTGTTTATTGTCATAATAGTCTGGCAAAAGAGTATAGGCATGGAAGCTAACGGTTAAGCTGAACACCTCATCATTAGATCATGTTGTGATCTGCTACATTACAACATTAAAGCCTGCGGCTTGTACTCAATTGCGGCCTATATGTAGACAACATAGATTTTCTTTTAAATTGTAGATGGTACGGCTTATGTACAGGTGCGCCTTAAAGTCCAGAAAGTACAGTATATAAAAATCCATTTGAAGTACCGATACTTACCATGTGATGTTGGCCGCTCTGTTTACAGCAGGTATGGTCACATAGAGGTCCGCTCTGGTGTCCTCCACTCCTGTCAACCTCCTCGTCCTGTACTTTCGTCCACAGTCCCGTGTCCATGGAAACCGGTCTAGACTCATGTTCGCGGGATATTCTGTGGAGGCAATCGTCGGACTGCCACTCATGAGCGGGCACATTGCTCGACTTAGTCCCCTTTGGATTGTGCTGAATGTGGAGGTTGGTCCATGACTGCACTGCACGGAAGGGATCGGAGGTGTCCAGTTTGAATCTTCTCGGGAGGGTTACATGTTTGGGGTTGTCAGCGTAAGGAACATCTTTTCTCTGGACGATGTGGGAGGACGACGATGACAGCTGCTGAACAGAAACGGATCGTCTGGATGTTTTGTTACCTTGGCTTGTGAGGGGCTCTAAAGAAGACTTATCGTTAAATTCAGATGTAATAGAATCCGTGATGGTCCAGTCATTTTGCAAGTTATGTCTATGTGTGGAAGAAGCATCAATATCAGACTCCATAACCAATTGGGAATGTTTCTGAAAGTTGTCGTGATCCTCTAAGCTTCCTGAAAGAGGGCTTGTGTCTGTGATCTGGACTGGTTCTGCCCAGTATACTTGTCCAATTGAATTCATCTCCAGCAAGAACATGTCTGCATCCCCCATGTCTATTTCAGAATTGTCCACAGATGTTTCAAAGACATCGTCCAAACTCTCAACTTCAATAAGCTCAAGCTCTTTTAGATTCAACTCCTCTGAAGCGTTGTAAGGCTCATCCGTGTAATGTAACTCTTCAGAATTCTGAAAAAGCTTCTCATCTTGCTTTTGTTTGCTGACTCGGTCTTGTGTTTCTACCTGCTCATCAATATCTGTTTCAAGAAAAACATCTCCATACCTTGGGCCGTCTGAATAACTTACACTTTCATTTATCAGATCTTGCAGAAGCCCATCTTCATGCGAGGATAGACTTTCAATTATATCTGAACTTTTGCCATGTCCAACAACAAGATTTTTCTTTATTGAGTTGTGATGAAAACTCTCTTCATAAAAATTTTCAGACTGTATTCTTGGATCATTTGGATAACTTACAATATTTTCTCCAGAAATAACCTCTCGAACTGGTCCATCCTCATCCATTGTTAGACTTTCAAATGAATCTCGTCGACTTATTGTTCTCATACTTTCTGTACGTAAAGCATTTTGAAACTGACTTTCTTTTAATTCAGATTCAAGACTTTTAATTGAATCTGAACCTTTGCTATGTTTGACATGACCATCAAACATAGCATCATGATGAAAACTGTCATCTTGCCTTTGATCAACAACTCTGCCTGACATTTTCATCTGTTGATCAATGTCTGTTTCATGGTAAGACCGTATTCTTGGACCATCATGGTAACTTACATTTCCATCTACATTGATGAGATCATGGACTTGTCTGTCTTCATACATAGTTAGACTTTCATATGAATCTATCTGTTTGTAAAGTCCATCAACACAATCTCCCTTCACAGGATTCTGATTCTTGCAAAAACTCTCATTTTGCTTTTGTTCGCCAACTCTGCCTTGCCTTTCTATCTGCTGATCAATGTCTGTTTCAAGGTTAACATCTTCAGTTTGACCAATTGGATCATCTGAATAACTTAAAATATGTTTTATATGGACAGGCACTTGAACTGGTCCATCTTTGTTCATGGTTAAACTTTCAAAAGAATTTTGCCAACTTAAGAAATGTGACACAGCAGTTGTTTTGGTCCAAGAATGAAAGGTATTTGTGGAGTCCTTCCAATGCTGAAATGTGTCTAAATAAGCAGAATGAGTAAACTTGCTGATTTCAATTTGTGGAGAATGAACAAAAGATTCATATTTTCCATCAACACCTAATGTGTTATGTCTATTGTCAAAGTCTGAAGACCGTATTTCATCCGCCGGAGTCTCTTCATTGTCACCGATATTTGGTAGAATTATAGAGGAAACATTATTAGAAGGTAATGAGACATCACAGTTTTCAGATATGCGCTCATCAGGAACCTGGTGGCTGCATGGGAGTGGAGAACTGGCAATAGAGTCTGAAATGGCGGTTGGGATTTGGTTTGAGGAAAGTGTAGACCTAATCACTGGATGGTGTTCAGGCGCATGGTCAGAGGTAGTGGAAGTGCAGAGCGTATTCTGCAGAGTCGTGACCCCAGAGTGACTGTCTGTGCTTCCACCAGACAGAGCAGAGAGAGCCTGCAACAACACAAGTCAGTGAGCAGTACATGATTATTCAAAACAAGTTCAGTCTACCACAGTTTCCATTACCTCTGCCAAGCTACTGTTGGCTTTTACCAGGTGTTAAATGGTAGTTGTTTTCAAATGCATGGTGTAAGACATTGTGATTCCTTATTCCTAGGAGTGTTCCCTTACAGAAAAAAGTTAACTTTTCTAAAGTTTTCAGATGTTTTTGCTTCCATTCAAACACTTAAATGGTAAACACTTGCCTTATAAATCCCCTTTCAGATCTAAAAATGACTTCTGTCTGGGAATCAACCCATCACTATTCATTTTGAGACTTTGATTGAGTATAATTTGCAGTAACTTTTGTCCCCCTGGTGTATGAGGATTCATTATGATATGTAAAGTTTGATTGTAATTGACTTTTGGGGGTGGCGGTGCTCATAAGCTTTTTGCTTCAGCCCACTCCTTTTGTGCAGTATTAATACTGTCAAAATAAATACATAAATAAAACAAATATATAAAATACTGGTAGAAGTGGGATTCTCTATTCTACTTATAGAATACACATCTCATCTATTATTGTCCACAACTGCTTTCATTCTTGACTGAAAAAATTCACAATTTTGAAAGGTATTTTTTTCATGAGGACGTTGAACAATGGTTAAAAGATGGATGAGTTTGCAATATATAAGTCCATTAATATATGAGCGACACACATTTGTAATACAATGTGTCTTACCTTAAGCAGATCAGAGGCTGGGGAGGGGTCCTGAGGCAGCGCTGGGATGAGAAAATCTTCCAGAAAACCACTGCTGTCTGACTGGCAGCTGTTGACTCGGATCAACCCACGTGCTGTGTTTCGGAAGCACAAATAGATCTGGTATCAGCCTCAGAGCATGGACTCCTAGTACAACTGTTTAAGACTTGACCCACCAAAGTGTGTCCCTGCAAGGTCCTGTCCAATCGTACTGCTGTCTTCAAAGCTGCCAAGCTACAGTTAGAACACAAAGGCTTAAAAACAGTTTATATCTGCACACTGAAGGATATTCTCCTCATGTGATGGTTAAATTTGCATACAATCATATAATCAAAATATCTTAGACCATAGATTCAAACATTAACAGAGTTGGAAAACGCAATCATTTCTGTAGCCTTTTTTAGCTTTCCTTGCTCTAAATGTTTAAACACATGACTTATCTGACCTCTTCCATTTCAAAGGACTCCCTCATCTGTAGGTTCTTCTTCCTCAGGAGCGCTTTGTCCATGTTTCGCTCCCTGACTGACCCCGTCATGGCCTCTGCTTCAGGGGTGGGAGTCTGCACACCTGCCTCCTCCTCCACGAAGGGACTTATACCCACTGTGTCCTTCCGTTTGACGCGTCTGTACGCCACCTTCCGCTCCTCAGCTCCGTACATGGACTCTGGAGCTTTGGGGACAATGGCAGAGGACACTTCTTGGTTGGCCTGCCTGTGAAGCTGGCTCAGAGACTTCTTGGACGCCCGGCGTAGCAACATGCCCATGCGCTTGCGTCTCTCGCGTGCCTCAAGGGACATGTCTTTGGTGTAGAGGCCCTTTTGATTACCAGCCAGGGACGAGAAGGCTACGGACACCTGCTGCAGAACCTCCAGCTGCCTGAAGCGGTCTGAGAGGACATATAGGAGCAAAGAGGATGAGCAGAGTCAGATTTGGTATGGTACAATTGGACAGAATGGACGTGTGGAGTCACTTATTATTATATCATATAACTTGGAATACAAATTGACTTATATAGGAAAGAAAAGGAAATGTTATTTTTTAAAAGTGGTCTGACTCCAACCACTCTTGTCTCAGTATACATGCAGGCTCAGACCTCTCTTGTCTCAGTATACATGCAGACTCAGACCTCTCTTGTCTCAGTATACATGCAGACTCAGACCTCTCTTGTCTCAGTATACATGCAGGCTCAGACCTCTCTTGTCTCAGTATACATGCAGACTCAGACCTCTCTTGTCTCAGTATACATGCAGGCTCAGACCTCTCTTGTCTCAGTATACATGCAGACTCAGACCTCTCTTGTCTCAGTATACATGCAGGCTCAGACCCCTCTTGTCTTAGTATACATGCAGGCTCAGACCACTTTTGTCTCAGTATACATGCAAGTACTAACCAGGCCCTGCCTTGCTTAGCTTCTGAGTTCTGACAGGATCAGGCTTTCAAATGCAGGTAGCGCTACATCAAACCTACAAGCAAGTTGTTGAGGGGAATAGTAAGCGGTTGTGCAATTGATCTATTAATCTATTTTGGTAAAACGCCAACTCATTGAAATTGTTGATCCATTCGATATCGGCTTCACCAATTAGATAATAGTTTATCCGGCCAATGTCTATTTAGAGTGTGGACTTACTGCTAACGTCTGGGTTCTCCAGGTCGATGCGGCTCTTCATTGCCTCTAAGTACACCTGCAGGTTGATTCCGCGGGCTTGGGACTGATAGTTGATGAAGCGAGCTGGGATAAGCCCGGAGAGGTCAGGCTCGTCACAGCCAAAGCCCAGCTCCAGCAGTAGCTCCTCGGGGTCATCGTTCCATAGTAACTCCATCTCTGCTGGGACACAGCCAATAGTTCTCTTATGACGCTCCTTGTAAATGGAACACTGATACTAAACTGGACAAGACTCACTTGTTTAGCCCTTATTTTCTGTAGACATTAGGTTAGTCTCTGCCTGAAGGACATTCAGTTGCAGTAATACATCAAGCATGCTAAATATTACCCCATTCTTTCCAGTACAGCTGTTCAGTTACTGGCATATAGTAGCATTCTGTATAAAGTCTTCTGCTCATCTGTTTTGTATTACACTTAATACAGTAACTCATTCTTATGTCTTGAATGTGAGTGTCCCATATCTGAGCAATATGGGAGACTCCACTGTAGGGCCTAACCTTTCAAAATATATTTGTATAGTAAACTAAAACAGTTAATACTTTGGTTCAACATTTTTTTTCTGGTATACATACATTTTGTATGGAGGACTCAAAGAAGGTTGGTGCACACTGGACAGTGCAGGACCTGGGAGACTTCTTCAATGCCCATGTGGGAAATGCCAGTGATATTTGGAGAAAGGTGGTCGGGAAGAACGCCCCTTGATATGATCGGTGTTCAGTTGTTGAACTTCTGTGCTAGTCACAGTTTGTCCAGTTTGAGAACCACAGGATTTCATCTCTGCTGTTTTTGCAGACTTTGTTGTCCTCCAATGAGCCCAAACCTGCAACATTGACTTGGACGGTTTGCAGCCGAGTTTGACGCAGCTGAGATGAGAATCAGCAGTTCCAAATCTAAGGCCATGATGCCTTGCCCTCTCCATGTGAGTGAAGAGGTCATTCCTCAAGTGGAGGAGTTCACGAGTGAGGGAAGGATGGAGTGTGAAATCGAGAAGCAGATCGAGATGTATGCATATGTACGTATGTATGTATGTATGTATGCATATATGTATGTACTGTATGTAAGAGTTTTTCTATAATTAGTTTTTTAGTTTAGTTTATTTCTAATAGGTTTCATTTACTTTTCCAAACGCTTTACTCTGAACTGTTGTTTTGGTTTGGCTAGTTAATAGGTGGAAGTCATAACAAACAGTAAACACTTGTCTGATCACTAGGGCTTCATGTAAAACTCTGCTGCTTGATTTGACTGGAAAATATGGGCATCAGAAACACATTCAAGATGAATTTGTTTGTGTAAGCAGGCACGTTTTATCATATTTTTACTGTGGACTTTTATTGTGTGGTTTTATTTGTTGCATGGCTTGTTTTATTGCATGGTTTTATTTGTTTTTATGAGTGTTTTATATACTCTTAATGTGATGCCTTGCTGCCCCCGAGGCAATGCCTCAGCCAATGCCTGCGCTCCAAGCTTAATCAGCGCACCTGCGACTCAGTGAGCAGGGACAGACATAAGGGCGGACTGGGAGCACAACACAGCACCGGAACAACGACCCGGACCACAGTATTAGCCATCGCCTCACGAGTCCGCAGGGAACACCACGAAGCTGAACTACCGCAGGAGGCAGAGGACGCTCTGCCTTCGCGTGTAAGTACCTAAACGCATTGAGTAGTGGTGTTCGTGAAGTAGCCTTTGTCTGTGTGGATGTGCTTTGCCTTCAGGGTCCGCAGCACCAGAGGAGACGCGATCCACCGGGTTGAGCACCGCGAGGCGTTATCCAGACGGCGGCCGAGTGTAAGAACTCGGCCTCACTCGTAAGTGTGGGAAAGTAGCGGTGGTCATGTTTCGTTGGGATGCATGTGTGGTTTTGCCTTTTTGCCTTCAACCCCGCTGCCGCTGCTGTATTTGTGCCTGCAGGATCCGGAACGCTGGAAGAACCTGGGCTGACCAGCGATTCGTTGGGACCATTTTAATCCACACTTTTTAAATGGGACTTTTGTTACCCCTTTTATTTTTGTAAATAAAATATTGTTTTATACATCTCTCTTGTTCCCTTACTACAACTACGTGCTGCTCCCTTATCACATTTGCATAACAAGTTATGTCTGAATGTTTGCAATGGGGTGTGGGCGCTGAAGCGAAGGACAGCACAGGGTTATATCAGGTGTTTCTGTCATAAACATATCACCCCGCACCCTCTGTCTAAATGCTGTTTTCAAACTCATAGAATCCTAAGACTCAAATACCACATTTGTGCGTAAATGTGATAATTGTTCATGTTGTTTTTCCTGTTGCTCGGAGCTGGGGGCTTGAAGCAGACCTGACTTTACGTCTCGTCTTTAGTTTTGGTGGAGCTGTGGTGCAGCTACATGCAGGGCATGATAGTATGTCTTCTTTAACTCTGCTATGATTGGAATATTATACACAGCAGGCCTATTAAAATTATGAATTCAGATGCCCCAGTTCTTATGGAATGTGACTGTGGTGAGTTCTGGTTGTTATGTTTATGAGAACACTGCAACCCGCTGCAGACATGACCTTTTCACAGCCATTTAAGTATGACGCATCGTTTTTAAAAGTATATTATTTTTTCAGACTGTGAATTACAGCTTTTAAACACTGCCTAAATTCCATTGTGATCCACAATATCATTTTTGATTTCACATTCATACATAGGCATAATTATGTACAGGAAGAAACATTATAATTTTAAATTAAAAATACAACCCAAAGAAAATTTCACATCAAATAATAATATGATTCTAGAATTAAAGAAATGGCCATGATCAGTAAAACACTCCCATCTTGTGGTAGAAGTGTGACATAGCATCCTACTTTCATAATAACAGGGACACGATAAGTTGTAAAAACTAAAGATAGAATTGGCACATTCCCAAAAGTTGAAGACAGCATTTCAACAGAAGGGGCAGGGGGATGTGTTTGTGCCAGTAAGTGTCAGATGTTTTTGAGATAAATACAATGATATGTAAAGCATTTAAAGTACTTGCTGGACTTTAAGCCGCTACATTATTAAGCCTGAGACCTATCGAGCCATGTGGCCAATGTACTGTTGTATTATTATTTTGTTACAACTCCCCCCTAGGGAAAGGATCTGGACACAGCTCGATCAGCTGTAGAGCTGGTGACGCAGTGCTGCTGTGGTGTGTTTATGTGAACAGCAGAGAGCAAACACAAAGAAGTGCAGGGAAATAGGATGTGCACATGTGCAGGATGTGTTTTTTATGCTATTAGTGTTGTCAGAACAGAGTTTACAACCTATAGTGAAACCATAAACTCCAACAAGGCATAGGATTGTTATTGTCGCAATGTACTGGATTTACAAGAATGATTTTGATCAAGAGTCGACAGTGCAATAAAACATCTCGGTGTTTCACATTGTGCTGGTTAACAGCTTTGTTTTCATCAGGGTTAGTTAAATGTTACAATACAACATGTAAACCCTTGTATTCAAGTACAGCCTATATGTAGACAGAAATTACTTTTGCTTATAATTTAGCTGGTATGGTTTATTTACAGGCGTGCTTCATAGTCCTGCAAGTGCTGTATGTAAGTGCATGTATAAAACTATTGTCCTGCATAAAGCATTGTGGCCACTACAACGTTGAAGAGACCTACCTCACACGCTCGTCCAGGCCATCGTCACTGCTCCTACGCTCACGTCCACACTCTGCATGTGTCCAGAGCCTACTACAGCGGGAGCATGGTGTGAGCGTGTGCGCCCGTCCCAAACACACAGGCCTATATTAGGAAAAGCAGCTCCCCTCCTCCTGCTGCTGCTGTCCTGGCCTGTGTGGATGTGTACTGCCCTGGACATATGTCAAGAACATTCTCTGCTTCGGCTCTGCTGGATAACTTCTATTATTCATTTTACAAAATACATTTAATATTGTGCTTGGTCTTTAACAAATACTGTGTGTTGTTTGCATTCATTTTGGCCCTTAAACATGATCATAAGAATCTGAAACAATTTCTCATGTGGAATTGTATCTAGTGGGAAAAACAAATTAACTTTTTAGCATTTTCAGAGTAGGAAAGGTTCACTATGGCATCTCAAATCTGTGCCTGCCAAAGCCGCAGCTCACATGGAGCCCTAACATGGAGCCCTGACATGGAGCCCTGACATGCGGCCCTCACACCTCCCTCACACCGGTAGCTCCTGGAGGCCTTTTACAGTATGTTGCATTTGAGAGTGAAGAGCAAATAGGTGTAGCTCACATATTTGCATGCAGTTTGAATGCCTTAGACAGAGTTACATAAGAGACCACAGCTCCTGCACCACAGAAAGAGAGAACTTAGTCAAAAGGCAAAGCTCTCAATTTACTGGTCAATCTACACTCCCTCCCTCACCTATGATCATCAGTTATTATGGATCTATTTTCACTCTTTCACAACTAAATCCATCAAATGGAATGCCCGGATTTCAGAACCCTAAAACAATAGTGAGAATCAGAGCCCCATGTCTGCACTAATATAAATGGAAAACTACCAGACTATTTTATTGTTGACCACCTGATTATAAACAGTGCTTTGACCTGATAGTAAACAGTATTTTAGCAATCAAGCCAGTAATTTATTTGATTAACAAAGATCACCACATTTCAGGAATAAAAGTGACACAATCGCAAATGTAAACAGGGAAAACCTCGGCACACGCAATTTCACAAAAAATACTGTACATATAAATATGCTAAAAATAGATACAGAAAAAGTCACAAAGTTATGAAGACCACTAACGTACACACGCCCAACTCACCTTTTTGAAACTAAAAGCCATCAAATTGACTGCTTTGGGAGTTTTAGTGTTTCAATATTTAATAAGAAAGGATATAAAAATGAAAAGAGTGTATGTGTGCAGGGCAGAGGAGAGTCACTCACCATGCTGTGGCTCAGTCTGAGCCACATTTGCATGCTCCGCGCTGGTGCTGCAGGCGGAGGAAAGGTGTGGCCAGGACACTCCCCTCATCATGTGGCACTGGTCACTTTCGTGGAGTGGAGAGGAGTTCATTTGGCACATCTTTAATTGTCTGTGTCGGCCCTTGCTAAAGCTTAAAAGGCCTCTTCAAGACATGAAAATTGTAGCTAAATTATTCATTCATCCTTCTTTTAAGCTGGATGCCTGATCAGCATTTGACTGCTCGGGATAATCCATGGCTTTAATGCTGGTGCGTCGGAACCAGTGGGGGTGGGTCCCGGCTCAAAAGGGTCCATGAGCACCCGTTCTTACGACACCTTCTTTCCTCTCGAAAACAGCGTTACAGCCTGGTCCAAAAGTCAGCTTTTGGCTCAATGTATTCCAGATGCCTGTTAATACTGAGGGGAGTTTGTTTTTGGACCAGTCTAGTTTAGCCGCTGTGACTTTTGAATGCACTTGCATGTGCATATGGGTTTTTTGCATTTTCCTGCAGGAGGCCATTTTAAATCTGCCTCTGTCTGTGGCACATACATTTCAACCAAGGAAATAGGCGTCAGTACGTCCGTTAATATTTACAGTCTATGGTCGGAACAGAAAAGGGGACGTGAATAATGAAAACACTGTAATTCCTTCCAAACTATCACAAAGACATAAGGAAATAATTCTTAGCTTCAAGCACCAGGGGACATATTGCTTTTCTCAAGCACAGCCAGAAAAGTAGAGTGTAAAGAGCTCAGTCAGATGGGAGGAGCTTAGACTATAGCTGCTGCTCCGCCACATCAATACTAATAATAGATTTCATTTACAATCTATAATATAATACATCAAAAGGTGCCAGTTGTTTAATAGGTCTTCTGGGCATGTTCCATCATGATCCGGGCCTCTCAGATGGCCTGGGAAGGCCTCAGGATTCTCCTGGGTGAGCTGTGGGACGTGTGCATGAAGAGGGAACAAAGGAAACTTATTTTTTAAAACAGGATTGGACGTTGTGAAATTTTCATTTTATTTTCTCAAAACACTAAACAATAAAAAAATGAAAAGCATAAATGATATACTTGACACTTATACCTTGCTGCATTCTTTTTACTTTTTCAAACCAAATAATTGTTTCCCTCCTTCGACACATGGTTTCTCTGTCTGTATGCCACACTCTGTGCATTGGTGGCAAAGTTAGCAAATGTTTATACTTGACATTCATCTCGAGTATATTTCTTTTATTTCATTTAGTTTAGTCTCTGCTCTGGGACTGGAATGAAGTGCGGTCAGTTCTCAGGACATGCCGATGCCCACCAGCAGAGCCACCAGGAAGGCCAGGTTCCCCAGGAGGAAGAGCCCTGGTACCAGCGGACCACCCATCACCTGCTCATCATAGGGCACAATAACATACATTTCACGACGCAAATATATGTATGCTGTAAGTATATAATGGCCTTACCACTTTCAATCGATGTGTATCTGTAATGTGGAAAAAAGGAAAGACTTAGTAGCAATTAATAACAGTCACTGCTATACATTTATTAACTTTTAGCTTTTTACCATGTTGCAATTGACCCTTGATGGACAATGCTAACGCGTCAGCTCAATAACGATCAATAGGGAAGAGTTTCTACACAGAAGTCTCAGTCATGCATCCGTCACACACACACACAAACGGATAAAACCATAAGAGCAAGAGTCTGTGTGCCAGTAACGTCAGCCGAGGAAGCACCATCCAAGGAGCTATCTGCATCAGGAGAAGAGAGCCAGATACCCAGAGTTGGGAGAAACGGCCTCCAGAGTGGAACAGAACAGATACTATGCCGTGTGAAGAAAAAAGTGTGAATTCTCTGCCTGGTAGATTTGAAAATGCGCAGTGGCCGAGAACAAACAGAAACAATAATGGCGGCGGATTAACTAATGCTATGTGTGCTTCGAGCGCTACATGGAGGACAATTCTACTCCTTCGTCCAAATAAAACCACATGATTCTGTAGTTTCAGTTTCAATTTTGCTGCTACTGTTAAATGCAGAATGATGTTGGTTAGGGTGAATGTTGGTGCATTCTTTCATGTCTTTCCGAGGAGGATGTTGTTGAGGAAGTGGTTATACTGGTGGGGGTTGCGTGTGTCGTGTTGTTAAGTTCCACTGCTCCCTACTGGTCGAGTGCTAGAACTACATCGTTTTCTGTTGTTGTGTAGATGCTTAGCACTTTGAATACAAAGCCTGGTCGTGTTTGCAAATTGCTTTGCAGTGTCTCTGCTGCGTCTCCATCTAAACGGCCCCTCAAACAACAAAGCCTCACCCTGAGTGAGTTTCCAGGGTTTAGGGCTTAATAAAGCAATGGTTTTGCGCTCTCTTCAATCCTTGTGTTTAATTTGTGATATTGTCTTTATAAATCTGGATATGAGCCCAAACAACTGACCAATCAGAAGCCTTCTGGTGCTTAGTTTGGCTTTAGCCACGAGTAGTGCGAGTGGAGAGAAACTGGCGCTGCTCCTGAAAGGCTGAATAGTTGTTTCAAATACTGTACATCTGGTTTCACATTCCCAATGAAATAGCCTGTTCTATTTTTCTCTAATCGGCCTCATCCGCATTATAGCAAATACTATGGGTGACGTCAGCACTCGGTCAGTCCACTCATTTACAGTACTTTATTGTCCTCTGCATTTGACTCAATCTGCAACACCACTGGTGATATCAGATGAATCCTTCCCAAACCCATTTACCGTCATTGTTCTGGTTCCACCTCAGGTCCAAGTCGGAGAGGAGGAAGTACAGTGCCTCCCATCCCACGAAGCCTCCCATCACCTTCAGCAGCCATTGATTCTGGGAGCTGTCAATCAACCTGAGACCAGTGAAAATAGCTGACACTACGCAGAAAGGAAACGTTATCCAGACTTCAGAAAAACATAAAAACAAGACTTTTTCTGAGCTACTCTTACCAGCCAGGCCTTTTATGACCACAGCATTCAGAGCATGAGACCAGTTGAAGAGGAAGCGTCTGGAATGTGTTTTCAGAATGTTATTGATGAGAGATTTCAAAAGGTGAAGACACACTGTATTGTGGGCACTGGGGGGCAGTGTTTAGAACTTGACAGAGCTCAACAGTCCTTAATAGTAACTGTAACTATCTGGAAATGTGAATGGATATAATGTGATCCATAGACAACAAATACAAATTTTTTTTTTAAAGCTGACATCAAATATATCTAAGTTATTTCCTTCATAAATAACACATATTGTTTGTCTTTTTTGGAAGTAAAATGTTGTTACCAGATCAGAGAGCCGTGATGCCTTCATATAATGAGAACAATCTTTTGCATACTTGTAAGACAGAGCCCTGTGATCTTTGACACTTTGCGCTGAGTGAGAGTAGTTCTCATGTTTCTCACTTCTGTCTGAAAAAGCTCTATATCCAAATATATGAGGCCAAATGATAAAAGCAGACTGTTTTGCAGGCTGTGGTCTCTCCCCAGACCTCATTCGTACTCACCTCGGGTGCTGAGGTCCACAGCGCAGCACTGCCCCTAGTGGCTGGAGCAGGGACAGAATCATGAGCAGACAGCCCAGCACTGGATGCGCCCCCTACAGACACACAGCAGCATTACAGCCACAATCCACAGTTAATAGGCTCTATGCACGCACCACTTCCAGGTTTTAGCTACAACCCCACCTCACTTCCTGTTCTAACCCTGGAGTTCAGCAGTGGTTTACACAAGTTTCCCAAATAATGCTCAAACGGGAATTAAACTGTGAGGATACTAGGCATTTTTGGGACACAACAGGTCCACGTTCTGTAGCTAGCTTAGGTCCTAGATCATTAGCCTGTCCGTCCGGAGGAGCGGATCCCTTTCTCATATGGGTCTCCCTCCCTGTGGGTTTCCCTAGTTCTCCTCCAAGGTTTCTCACTTTTTCCCACTGGGTTTTTTAAGAGTTTTTCCTTGTCGATGCAGGAGGGTCTTGTTGGACAGTTAGTGTCCAACAGAAAGGATTGGTGATGATCAGGACACTTTAGCATTCTACAACATGTATGGACATTTTCTTCTGTGTGTGATTTATATTCTTCATGTGTTTTAACTGTTGATTCTCTGACCTGTGTTGGTGATTTCAATGGTTTTGTTAAGTCCTCTGAGATGACTTCTGTTGTGACCTAGGGCTATACAAGAATAAATTGTATTGTATTGTATTGTATTGTATTGTAACAGTGCTCTTTGATTGTGCTGTCATTGTGTTTTTATAAAGTTTAAAAATCGCTCTGAATGGCCACAGTCAAAGCTCTACCTCTGAGAGAAAGCACAGCATCACTTTTGGGTCAGTCTCACAGCTGAATGTATCAATCTAATTACTAAAAAACATCACTAAAACTCACCTAAATGCCATAGAATAGCATAGGCAGGAAGTGAACGGGCTGTTCTGCGTTAACAGGAAATGACGTCACGCCTCCCTGTGCATATAGCCCATACAAGGGACTACCAGAATTCTGAATCTACTAGAACTCCCAGAGCAGTTATTTTAATGGCTCTCATTCAAAGGAATCACCCAAAAAGTTTTAGTTATTTCACTGCTTTTATAACTGCTAAAACTGGTTAATATAAAAGAAATATGGCTAAACTAAATGCTAACTGATGCAAGTAAACACTGTGTCAATAGGTAAGCTGATATTGTTCTGAACCAGTCTTTAGGACCAGTCTAGGATAGAAATAATTTCATAAACATAAATACATAGATATACACTACATATAGAAACAGAAAAGGTCACAACACTTTAAAATGGAGAAATTACACTTCAAAAATGAAAAGCCGTCAAATTGACTGCTCTGGAAGGTGGTCTTTGGCATTTGACCAAATAAGTTGGTCTAAGAAACATTGAAATATAATGGCTAAAGGATTCTAAATAAACCTTGGTCATTATAGTGTAAGTGGGTATTTTAACTTGAGTACGGTACTTTTTTCCTGGTATCTGTACTGTACTTGAATAGTTTCCGGCAACTGTTTATTTTCACCCATCAATCACAAATATCTCTATTTTCTGTGTTTTACGGGAAATGCTAAATCAAATATATATACAGTAACCTAAGTATTTAGAATTATTTTTTTTGCCTTGTGGGAATATGCTGTTATAACTAGACTTTCTGTTGGGACAATGTATTATAAGCAAATCAGGTAACAACAAGCTGCCTTCATCCTATAAGAAAACATTTGATTGTTTACATACTGAGAAATGATTGGCTGAGCGTGGGCTGGTTCTATCTTTTTAACAAAAAAAAGCTGATCCACTGCAAACAAAATTAGGTAATAATTTCTGAAATCAAGTGGTTTTTACTTTAATTTGAGTACTTTCTGACTGTCATAAAACAAGATTCACCAACGGGACAAAGCCATTAAGCCTTATTTCAATAATATGAATATTTATAGAAGGTGTGTAATGTGAGCGGAGGAGCAGTGACTGACCCCGGACCAGGACCGGGCGTGCGAGAAGGCCAGGATGAAGGCGATGATGGTGGCTGCCACGGTAACACACATGATTGATACATGCACCTACACACATGCGCACACACACACACACACACACATTTTGTCACTTGAATGATAAAAATATTCCTGTAAAGTCGGTTGAATGGAGCAAATGCAGTGAGTAAAAACAGTCTGAGCTTCAGCCTGATGCTTACCACAAACCACAGCTCCTTCCCACACATTGTGCGACCTTTGCCCAGCTTTTTGTTGAACCTGGCAACCATCATGCCCAGGGAGCCCGCGCTCATCCAGGCCACCAGCATCAGCGCCCCTGTGGGAGGAGGACACATGACCCATGACCTTACTGATCTCTGAAGTGAATTGGGAAGATGAGTGGACCTGCCCCCTCGAGGAGGATACTGCAGCCCCAAGTGCACAGGAGGTCAGGAGCATCAGAGGTCAGGAGCATCAGAGGTCAGGAGCATCAGAGGTCAGGAGGCATCAGAGGTCAGGAGCATCAGGGTCAGGAGCATCAGAGGTCAGGAGCATCAGAGGTCAGGAGCATCAGGGTCAGGAGCATCAGGGTCAGGAGCATCAGAGGTCAGGAGCATCAGAGGTCAGGAGCATCAGAGGTCAGGAGCATCAGAGGTCAGGAGGTCAGCTGAGGTCAGGAGCATCAGAGGTCAGGGCATCAGAGGTCAGGAGCATCAGAGGTCAGGAGCATCAGAGGTCAGGAGCATCAGAGGTCAGGAGCATCAGAGGTCAGGAGCATCAGGGGTCAGGAGCATCAGGGGTCAGGAGCATCAGAGGTCAGGAGCATCAGGGGTCAGGAGCATCAGAGGTCAGGAGCATCAGGGGTCAGGAGCATCAGGGGTCAGGAGCATCAGGGGTCAGGAGCATCAGAGGTCAGGAGCATCAGAGGTCAGGAGCATCAGAGGTCAGGAGCATCAGAGGTCAGGAGCATCAGAGGTCAGGAGCATCAGAGGTCAGGAGCATCAGAGGTCAGGAGCATCAGAGGTCAGGAGCATCAGAGGTCAGGAGCATCAGAGGTCAGGAGCATCAGGGGTCAGGAGCATCAGGGGTCAGGAGCATCAGGGGTCAGGAGCATCAGGGGTCAGGAGCATCAGGGGTCAGGAGCATCAGAGGTCAGGAGCATCAGGGGTCAGGAGCATCAGGGTCAGGGGTCAGTAGGGGGTCAGGAATCAGGGGTCAGGAGCATCAGGGGTAGGAGCATCAGGGGTCAGGAGCATCAGGGTCAGGAGCATCAGGGTCAGGGCATCAGGGGTCAGGAGCATCAGGGTCAGAGGGCATCAGGGTCAGGAGCATCAGAGGTCAGGAGCATCAGGGGTCAGGAGCATCAGGGGTCAGGAGCATCAGGGGTCAGGAGCATCAGGGGTCAGGAGCATCAGGGGTCAGGAGCATCAGGGGTCAGGAGCATCAGAGGTCAGGAGCATCAGGGGTCAGGAGCATCAGGGGTCAGGAGCATCAGAGGTCACTTCAGTTTGAGTGAGTGTGAGGCCTGACCAGTCCACAGATCAGATGGAGCATATGCCCCACCTGGTGGCAGAGCTGTGTGTACTGCACATGACTCCTCGTCTGCCTGTTTGTGGATGAGATCTTTACTAAACCAATAATTCATGTTAAATGTTGGTATGGTATGGTATGTACTTTATTTGAACAGGGACAGTGTACAATTAAACACAAAGGAGAGATGCATGTACCAGGTTATAGCAAAGATGCTAACTTCCACCTGTAGTCCCTGGGCAGGCTGGTGTTATGTTCATTTAAACAGATTATAATGTAGATTGATACATGACTGTGTCTTATATTTACAGACTTTAAATAACAATTGATTGAATATGTTGAGGTTCCAACTTTGTTTTCTTATTAACACTTCTATAACATCATAACAGCAGTGTAAATAACTTTCAAGATTCATTTATGTTGTATTTATTATAATCCTAGTGTCTCACCGTGGGCCTTGATGATGAGTGGTCTGTATGTGCGGAGCTCCTGTCCTGGAGAAGACACGTCCACTGTGTCTGCACTCACGAAGGTCCCAGAGTGCATCTGGACCTGTCCTGGGACGGGGGACAAGGGGCACAATTATGGGATGTCTGTGCAGTGAGACACAGAACAGAGGCTTACGTGTGTCAGAAAATAGTCCCTTGTGCTGTTTTTTGAGGATATCTAAATAGTGTTGAACTTGCATTTTCAAATTAACTAAACAAATCTAGTAATACAACAAATGTTACTTTCCAAGCCCTTTTTGAGTGTTAATTTTCAATAAAATTGGGCATTTCAACTGTATGCTTGTATGCTTCATATAATTTTCCTGGACTATAACATGCAACATACCACTATTGCAACATGGATAAAATGGGAAAAAAAGACCAATTGGCAGAATATGGCTCATTGTGGATCAGTGTAGACGTTGGATATTCACAAATATGTCAAATGCATCACCATTGCTGCTGGGCCCGTGTGCGTACAGCAGGTAGTGTCTCTGGCTGCTCCTCTGGGTGCTGATGCTGTTGGTGGTACTGAATGAACAGCTGATCACTCCGGCCGCCAGAGACGTCCTGATGTCCCACACACTGCCCTGAAAGAACAGTCCTCTGTGACTTAAAGTGCTGTTGCAAATACTTCTACTAACTTTAAGAATTATGTATTTATTTGTTTGTGTGGTTGGGTGTGTTGGCTGCTGCTGGACACTTGACTTTTTCCTACAGGGATCAATAAAGATGATCTATAAATCCCTGAATGAACAGTCCTCTGTGAGTGTGTGGGACGTCCTGATGTCCCACACACTGCCCTGGGGAAAGAAGTCCTCTGTGTGCGGGTGCAGGGTTACAGGCTCACGTTCATAACATCATCCACCACTCAAGGTCAACAAGAGAAACTCATCAGGTCGGTATCATCGGGTTGATGTTCAGGACATAAGTAATATTACATTTGTGACAATTAAAGGAGAAACCAATTTGAAACTGTAGAGGATTTGGCATTTTAAAAAACTGCCTTGCGATTTATACACTTAAAAAAAAGATAAAATATTGCTTGAAATTGAGTAGTTTTTATTTTAAACAAGATTTGACAATGGGACAAGCCTTATTTCAAGAACTGTTGCTTTATTTTCTCATTCCCAGGGAGACATGTATTGTACTTAAAAAAAGAAAAAAAAGAATAAAGATCATTTTGTTTGTTCCATTGACAAATATTGTTTTAAAGGGGTCAAAATGTGCTCAAATGAAGCTACATTTAGACACATTTTAGCATTTTTTGACTAATCTTTCATCACTTCTGGCAGTGTAGTCTTTCTTCAGCCACCACTATACATTTTACACTAAACAAAATGCTACAGCAACTAGGACATACTACCGGGCACAGGTGTTAGAATCACGTTATGCCCTGTTTGAGGATTACCAGAGGAACAGTGTCTGGTGTGGTGGCTCCGCTGGAGAAGGCATGTTGTAGCTGCACCCGTCCACTGGCGTCCTCGACACAGATGTATATGTCATCGTTTCCCTGAGAAAAGAAAGAATTAGAGGAACTATAACACCTAAACTTCTCATTCATAGACGAGCAGGTATGTGCAGAGAGAAGACACCACAGAGCCATGCAAGAAGAGGTTTGGGGTGCTGGGGCAGTTAAAAATAATTGCAATAATAATAATCATGAGACAAAAGATGATAGTTTAAATAATATAAATGTCTATGTTTTATAATTTATTTTTTTCATGCGCCTTTGAAGACTTCAGATTCTATGACCCAGGCCTTATCTTCAACACGCTCATGACATCATACACCAGGCATGTCCAAACTCAGGCCCGGGGGCCAATTGTGACCCTAAATGCCATTTTATGTGGCCCTCTGCCCTGCTAACCCAAAGCAGTCTTTGAGATCATAAACACAAGTCCACTGTGTCATCCATCCAACTTCAGCTCAGCCAATATAGCTTCCGTTAATGGTGCTAATGTAGCTGGTAAGATGGTAAGAATGTGTCATTCAGCCAACTTCAGCTCTGTTATAGATCATTTTAAAGCTCTGAACAGCCCGATGCCAGTCAAGACAGTTTTTCAGTCTGTGATGTTGGCCCCTGGACTAGTCTTGTGAACTAAAGTGGCCCTTTTTCCAAAAAGTTTGGACACCCCTGTCATACATGTTTTGATATTTTCTCCAGGTCTAATACATGTGATACATTCTTTTCCTACCATGTTCCGGTCGTCTGAGAAGCCAAAGGCAATGTATCCGGGAGAGGGGCCAGAGAGCTGGTAGTGGACAGCGGAGGAACCAGGGGATAGCACCATGGCCGACATGAAGAAGCAGGCAGCAGGCTCCTGAGCTGGGTCACAGTCTGGGGGCTGTCTGAAGCACAACCTGGACGCTCCACAGCCCTCCACAGTAATGCCCTGAGGAGAGCACACGGGGAACCACATGACCCACACGGCCATGGACTCCTCTTGTTTTCTGCCAAATAAACTGAATCTGATCTTTTACGTTTGTGCAATTTGTCTGTTTTTTTCCATAATGATCCATGTGTAATGGTTGAACCCCAGTTTTTCTACACCCAAGCCTTTGGTCCTGGGCTTAAAAACTCTTTTTGTTTGGGGGCCGAAAAGAAAAAGTAGTTGTAGAAGTTGTTTTTTAGTTTTAAAAAGTAGTGAGTAGTAGCATTCCAACAGAACTCAGTACTCATATATCGCCCGCTCTGATTGTTCCAGTAGCCCACCAGGTTCCAGTCCTGCGCCCGGCTGAGCCTACGGTGAATTTAGTAGTTTGTATCTTGATTTGAATACATTTTTACATTTTACATTTTTACATGTGTAGGAGGCAGCAGGGCTAATGTCAGATACGTGCCTGTGGTGATGACGTGCGCTGACATGCTGCAATACCACCCCGGGCCGATGGGGGTGGACCCAGAAGAAGAATTAGCCAATGCTAACATATAGCATTGGCAGACCTCTCAAAAACGTCTTTACAGGATGGACCAAAAGTTGGCTCTTGGCCCAAAGCTCCGTTCCACATGTGTGTCAATGATGAGGGGGGTGAATTTTTTTGGTCCACTCTAGTTTACTTGCTGTGAATTTTTGAAGTCTCTCGTTCAAATTAATGGAGTTGCGCCGGCTGACGCATGCACAGATGCGTTTTTTCACAATTTTCTTGTGGGCGGGACCACACGCGGCCATTTTGAATAGCTCCAGTAGAGCACATTTTTTGGCCCATTAGTTAGAACGGCGGAGATAGACGTGACTCTGTCCGTTAATATATACAGTCTATGAGCATAACGCACACAAGTTTACGTTTTATATGAAATGATATATATACACTTGGAGATTACATTTAATTTCTGTCAAAGTGGCCGCATGTGTACAATTTGGAGATACGTGGAGATACAAACAAGGGTTATTAAGTGTTCACACAATTTAAAGGGAAGATAACAGCTTTTGTCCAAATGGAAAGTTGTTGTCCAGTGTCCTTTCACCAGGATCATTGTAGCGCACCCCTGGCTCTGTCCTCTGACCACCCACTGTTTTTGGTCATTTATGCATGAAACTCAGCAGCAGTCTAGCAGACAAGAAGGGCCACCTACTGGTGTCAGAGGGAATCAAAGCCAAAAAGCGATTTAAAAGAAGTTGACGTTTATGGCATGACCACAGTCTGTGGCAGAAAGTCTGAGGGTAACTCATTGGATACAAAATTCAATCATTTAAAAAGGCAGAAGAGGTCTCTGTCATTGATGTAATCATTTAATAACAAATAATTAATCAATGCATCCAAAAGTGTATCCAAGAGTAACGCAACAACACTGCAATGCCTCGTTAAAAAGCACCACTCAAAAAACAACTCATAATGAAAGAGAAGTATTTATTAACACAGAGAGACAGATGGAGTCAATCAGGTTTCTACAAAATTTCAGACAGATGTCAGTGTATACGATTATTGATCAAACTCAGATTCACTTTCCATTTGGTCAAAACACAACAACTTTTCAAAATTGGAAACTCCTGGTTCTTCACTGGACGGAGGCTTTAAGAAGGCCAGGAGCAGAGCAGGACCAGAGCCATGCACTGAAACGCACAGGTGCACATATGAGACTGCAGGTAACACACACACACACACAAACAAACACACACACAGACAAACACAGCACTGCAACTGAATGTCATCATCTCAGACAGTGGCCGTGTATCTGAAGATGCTCCACAAACAAACATGACTTATTATTGAAGTAAGTAATCTTTATTTATATAGCGCTTTATAGAGCACAGACCAGAGTCACAAAGCACTTTACAGTTGTGGGCATTTGTCTCCCACTCCACACAGAGAGAACGAGATCGCCAGTACAGGAGGCGCATGCCAGACCTATTGTACATGTTTTTAGTGGTAGGGGAAACCAGAGCACCCGGAGAAAACCTACACAGACATGGGGAGAACATGCAAACTCCACTCAGAAAGGATATGAACCCAGGACCTTCTTGCCGAGAGTGCTATCCACTGAACCACCGTGCCGCCCTTCATAGAGACAAGGGATGTAAAAAACTATGAATTTTCATGACCAACCACAGAGCCTCCGCATAGTTTAAAATAGTCCACGTTCTTTCAAATAACAGCCATTTCGAGCTGCAAACTTTTCATAAGTGCAGATGCATTCTACTGGATCAGAGCCGAGACAGTGGCGCCAAAACCTGCAACAGCTTCGGCACCTTTGCGCACAGAGAACTGCTTTTTTAATCTTCCCATTCTGCTGTGCTGCAGGTTAAAGCTTTTCAGCAGCAAACAACGGCTCGTCCACATGGTCAGAGCAGCGAGTGACCATGAGGTCTCCGCTAAAGTTTAAATACAAGTGATGTGTGTGGAGCTGATCCCGAGGACCATAAACACAAACATGTTCCATGTGGTTTGACGGAAGCCGCGTATTTGCGAGGATCCTTTGGGCTCCGTGACGCAGACGAGCGCGACAGACCGGTATGTGTGTGTGTATGTGTATGCTCCAATGTAGTTCTAGCCCGCTCAAGTGTACAACTTTGGCGGACTAGTTACGGAGGGGAGAGACCTTCGAGAGTATGGATAATGTGTGTGGATGTTACGTATGAATGGAACAGGGAAAAGGTGCGCGAGTGTAAAATGGCACTTGTGCGTGTGCGTGTGCGTGCGTGCGTGTGCGTGCGTGCGTGTGTGTGCGCGACGCGTGCGGCATGAAAGTCAGCGCGGAGTTTAGTAATACTGTACATTGGCGAGACGGACCCGCTCCTTCACACCGTGCGAATAGTGTTTAAAATAGCATTATTAAGAGATCTCCCCGCTCCCCCTTTTCTTTTTTTAACCGACAGCTATGACCGGTTAACGCTGTGACGGTCAACCACCGGTTAAACGGTCAACCACCGGTTAAACGGTCACCGATTTACATCCCTAATAGAGACAGATCATGCTAAATCAAATCTTTCTCTCTTACAATCCATCGCATCTGGTATTTTCTGACTGGTTATGCCCATGAAATTGGCAACTAGAGGCAGAAATCAAGGCCTTCTCGTATGTGAAAATGATAATTGTATAATTGTGTGTTCTGGCTGGTCAGGCAAAGACAGAGCTGACCAAAGATCCTCTCATTTACTCTTTTAAGACCATCAAAATGTATTCAAATTAAGATACAAATTAATACATTTATTGTAGCACACACATATTTCTCAACTGTCTAATAGAGGAGGTGTGGTCAGGGCAGACTAACCAGAGGAGGTGTGGTCAGAGGAGACTCACCAGAGGAGCTGTGGTCAGAGGAGACTCACCAGAGGAGGTGTGGTCAGAGGAGACTCACCAGAGGAGCTGTGGTCAGAGGAGACTCACCAGAGGAGCTGTGGTCAGAGGAGACTCACCAGAGGAGGTGTGGTCAGGGCAGACTCACCAGAGGAGCTGTGGTCAGAGGAGACTCACCAGAGGAGCAGTGGTCAGAGGAGACTCACCAGAGGAGCTGTGGTCAGAGGAGACTCACCAGAGGAGCTGTGGTCAGAGGAGACTCACCAGAGGAGCTGTGGTCAGAGGAGACTCACCAGAGGAGCTGTGGTCATCATGGAGGAGACTGCAGATGATGGGACAGTAGTGTTTGCAGGTTCGAGAGAAGAGGTTCCTCCTGTGCTGTTGGAGCCAGAGCTGAACCGGACCCTGGGACTGGCCACTGCCACCCAGTACACGGTGATGTTCTGGACAATAGTAGCACTGGGCATAGATGTGTTTCAGAGATCAGCCGCAGAACAGGTCAGAGAGCAGAGGTAAAGAGGTATAGAGGAGACGTACTAGAAGTGAACGTCTTGGTCAGCGGCAGGTCTCCACGTCACCTGGACAGAGCTCTTCTCGCTGGAGGAGGAGTGGGACAGCGCTGAGTTCTGGAACATACAGCAAACGCTAAAAGACTTGATTTTCCTTTCTTACTTTTTATTTTAAGCTCATTGCCAGGGTGAACAGTGCTTTATACAGTCAGAAGTTTAATTTCAGACGGTGAAAAACACAGATGCCTTTGTAGAATGTGTATGTTTAAAACTGTACAACTGTAAGTGTCAGGCTGACTAAAAGGCATTCACAGATAGTTTTCGGGGGCGAAAGCGGCTCAGTTGGTAGAGTATTGGCCTTTGAACCTGAATGTTGTAGGTTTGAGCCCACCTTGAGACACTGACTCCCAATGATGTCTGCTGATGTTGGGTCCTTGGGCAGGACACTTAAAGCTGCACTAACTGACTTTATTTTCGTATTCATTACAAAAATGCTATCCATGTCCGTGTAGGGCAATGGGATATACGTCCTTTTGAAGAAAAAGTAGCGCAGATTTGGGCTGGCCTGACATTATATTTTAGATCGAGTTTTGATAAAACAAGGAAGAGAATGTGTTTCGGGTCGCAGATTGTGACCAATCACAGCAGACCACTAGCCCCCACTTTTGTGAGAAATCTCCAGGTCTCTGTTAGCACAGACAGCTGAGTTAGCACAACAAGCCGAGGAGCTAACCTGAAGCTTCCTCGTCTTCGTCACCGGTTACTGCTTACACAGCGAGACAGCCATCCAAAAGAAAGTCCCGTTCCTCCTCACTTCCCGGTTCTATCGTTCTATGGTCACGCCATCCACGTGCAAATCCATATCCATGTGTTATCCATACTGGGAGACGCTAGCTCCGTCAACAACAGTGGGTGTGTGTGGGGGGCGACAGCTTCGTGGGTGCGGGGAGGGGGGGAGAAAGAGCGGCTTCAAAATCCCAAAGTCAGTAAGTGCAGCTTTAACCCCACTTTGCCAGCCAGCTCTGACTGCCGCCCCCAACCCAGAAATGAATTAAGGGGATGGATGAGGCTCTTCAACTTTTTGGAGGTATTAACCATGTTACAACATTGTTCTCAGGTCTCACTGGCACAAACATATAACTCTACACTTTCTGTATGAAATCTATTCTCGTGTGGTCTTGAAAACTCAGAAGTCCCATCTTCCCATTTGGAAAAATGGGAACACTGAGATTCAAATTGGAAACTTGGGCTGAAACTCGAGCTGGGTCAATGGAACTGTTCTTGCTTTTAAGTGAAGTTATACTTTAATGTCCTCGTAGGGAAATATCCTCCGCATTTGACCCAACCTGAATGCCACAAGACCTACAGATAATACTCAAAGAGGAGTACAAGTTTTCTGCCTGACTGCAGCTAATAACAAACGTTGTAACCCCTGTTTAGATTTTCTATTATCTATAATAATCTATTATGAATAAATGTATTTATCAATTGCACTGAAAACATTTTGCTTGTCTAACTATTCTACTCAAATTATGAAAATGTGATTCATTTAAGCAATTTTAGAAGTTCAAGCTACCAGTACAATAAAGTATCTATTGTATCTACTGTATCTATCAATCTAATCCTAACCCTCTGTCTAGTACAGTACAAGAACACTTCTTTAGAGTAAATGTCCAGGATCCATCCATCCATCCATTTTCTTCCGCTTTATTCGTTGCCGGGTCGCGGGGGCAGCAGTCTAAGCAGAGACGCCCAGACTTCCCTATCCACACACACCTCCTCCAGCTCGTCCGGGGGGACCCCAAGGCGTTCCCAGGCCAGCTGAGAGACATAGTCTCTCCAGCGTGTCCTGGGTCTTCCCCGGGGCCTCCTCCCGGTGGGACGTGCCCGGAACACCTCCCCAGGGAGGCGTCCAGGAGGCATCCGGAACAGATGCCCGAGCCACCTCAACTGGTTCCTCTCGACGTGGAGAAGCAGCGGCTCTACTCCGAGCTCCTCCCGTGTGACTGAGCTCCTCACCCTATCTCTAAGGGAGCGCCCAGCCACTCTGCGGAGGAAGCTCATTTCGACCGCTTGTATCCGCGATCTCGTTCTTTCGGTCATTACCCAAAGCTCATGACCATAGGTGAGGGAGGGAACGAAGATTGACCGGTGAATCGAGAGCTTTGCCTTTCGGCTCAGCTCCCTCTTTACCACAACGGTCCGATACAGCGACTGCATCACTGCGCACGCTGCACCAATCCGCCTGTCAATCTCACACTCCATCCTTCCCTCACTCGTGAACAAGACCCTGAGATACTTGAACTCCTCCACTTGAGGAAGGACCTCTCCACCCACCTGAAGAGGGCAAGGCACCTTTTTCCGGTCGAGCACCCTGGCCTCGGATTTGGAGGTGCTGATTCTCATCCCAGCCGCTTCACACTCGGCTGCAAACCGTCCCAGTGCATGCTGCAGGTCCTGGTTCGTTGGAGCCAGCAGGACGACATCATCCGCAAACAGCAGAGATGAAATCCTGTGGTCTCCGAACCGGACCCCCTCCGACCCCTGGCTGCGCCTAGAAATTCTGTCCATAAATACAGTGAACAGAACCGGTGACAAAGGGCAGCCCTGTCGGAGGCCAACATGCACCGGGAACAGGTCTGACTTACTGCCGGCAATGCGATTGCCGGCAATAAATGTCCAGGATTCCCTTTAAAAAGAATTTCTTTATCTCAAAGGGCTTCCTGGTTAAATAAAGGGTAAAAAAACAAAATAGCCCTCGCCCTCCGATTACAGCCTTTGTTTAGGCTGTATCTAATTTCTGTAATTTCTGCAGATTCAAACACACTCTGCTCCAACCAGCTATTGTTTTGTTAATTGCTTGTTTTTCTCTGAGGTATCAGGTGTACTCTCTTCACACTGTGTGTTCTAACATTGTGGTCTGGGGCAAATATATCAGAATGTACTAAAAATGAACATGGTTTGTAGAGTTTTTGTGTTGTTAAAATGGTTGCAGGGGTGACCTAAAAGCAGCTCAGTTAGCTTAGATGGTGAGCGCGTGTGAACTGCATTTTTAAGGATTTCAGGATCATTCCATGCACCATTACATTGGATCATTGAGTTTTATTGTTTTGAGAAATTGTCCTGTGCTCAGTAGTCTTAGTTTTGAGCTGTACATAACATATTTGACATAGCATCTTATTCCACACGGGTTCCTTGCTTTGCTCCCTGTGACTTTCTTTGAACTCTGACTTTCTATTTATCACTCGTCCATAAAGGCTATATTTGTATTGTGTATATGAATGTACAGATTCACCCAGGTGAGCTGTGAATGTCTGTCGCGATGAGCCCCAGAGTAACCATGTGTCACAACACAATTATAGATAACCCAAAGTGCAGAGTGCAAATAAAGTCCATCCATCCATTTTCTACCTCTTAATCCATTTCTGGGTCGGGGGGAGGCAGTCAGAAATGCCACCCAAGTCACATAGCACCAGCCCCTCACTGATCCTCCTGCAGGTGGTGAGTCCACAGGAGGATGGCTGTTCTGTCAGTGAAGGTACAACCTTGATCTTTCAGTGGGGGCTTCAGGCAAAGTCGGGTTAAGTGTCTTGCCCAAAGACACAATGACAGCAGATCTCAGCGGGAGTCAGTGGAGAAGGTCTAGCAGTGGGCTCGAACCCACGACCTCCAGGCCCAAAGGCCAATGCTCTACCAACTAAGCCACTGTCACGCCTACTGCAAAAAAAGTGATTTAATAAAATATAAAACTTAAACACTCCCAGTCAAAAAGTATTGATTATGACAAATCCAGCAGGAGCCAAAGAGCTGCAGTGTGGAGCCTGTGTCTAAATGTGGGGGTGTAGTGAGAGTGACTGACCGGAGACCCCCCACAGCTGAGTCTCTGAGTCCCAGACGGGGCAGAGAGGAAGGAGCCCGCCACAGACTCACTGCCAAGCACCCTCGCCTGCAGAAGGAAGCCCTCGAAGTGGCTGGAGGAGGGGGCGAGCAGGTTCACTGGTACACACGCACACACATAAACACATGCACACAAACATACATACGGACAGACATATGTGCATACACATACACACACACACACGCACACACATTAGAGCAAGCATGTCCACGTGCCAATCGCAGTTCTGTTATTTATGTGGCTCAAGCCATTGGGATAATAAACACAATTTCACAGTATGAATTGAGTCATTTAGTCTTGGCTAGACTACATTTCAAGAACTGTAAGAACTGACAATTTTGTATCTTTCTAAACTAGAAAATTTTGCTTGTTCCATTGGCAAATCTTGCAAAATGTGCTCAAATTTAGATACATTGTCAATTTATTATTTTATTTTCCATCACGTTTTCAGTGAACAAAGGCATTTCTTGTATCTAATCAAAGAAAGATAGTCAGCCATTTTTTCCAAATTTGAGACACATTTTGACTTATTTTTATAACTTTTTGCGGTGAAGTATTCTCACCTGTGACGTCCTCCCCCGCGCTGTAGTCCACTCGGTCCGTGCTCAGCGTGAAGGGGGGAGGTGTGGTCTGGGGGCTGCTTCGGTGACGGGGCTGCATGTCCGTACAGCTGACCTCCACCCTGCCATTACTGTACCCCCCCACGCCCAGCACACAGGCCAGCACCGTGCCGAGCAGAGGCAGCAGGGAACTCTCCATGATCCCACAGTGTCCCGGACACATTCTGTCACATTCACACAACAGAGAGAGCACCGCCTTCGCCCGGGACACCCCACAATGTGGATGTGCACAATTGAGGGCTTTGTTGGGGCGTAACCCAATACTTGTGCTGACAAATTGTTTTCAGAAATGTAATGTAAAAGCTATTTTGACCAGAATCTTCCACACGATGGGCAGGTCTTAGGGGTTTGGAATCTTTGGACCCACTTATTTGATCTTGTTTAACTTGAAGAAAAGCGGTCTGTAGTTCTCCTGGTTTCTTATAAAAGAGATTATGAATTCAGAGGATGAGATTCAACAGAGATGTCCGTGAGAGGGTGAGTTTGTGCTGATCATTCCAGATAGTAGCGTGGATGAAGCTTTGCAGGTCTGTTCTTGATAAGGAACAATGCTGGAGCACAAATAAACAAGTAAAGGTTTATCCAGCCATAAATGTCAGTGTGTTGAGGCTCTCTTTCTGCACAGGTGCGAGCAGGAGGGTGGGGGTTGGAGGGTGAGAGCTGGAGGGCGGGGGCAGGGAGGCTGAAGGTGCTCAGGTGTCATGTTACTGCTATGACTTTGCACAAAAATTAGAGACAAAAGGTATTCTTCCAGTTTGCACAAAACATGAAGATCTAGACGGGCTTCAATGACAAAAAATACAATACACACTACAATGTATTCTTGTATAGCCCTAGGTCACAACAGAAGTCATCTCAGAGGACTTAACAAAACCATTGAAATCACACAGGTCAGAGAATCAACAGTTAAAACACATGAAGAATATAAAGCACACACAGAAGAAAATGTCCATACATGTTGTAGAATGCTAAAGTGTCCTGATCATCACCAATCCTTTCTGTTGGACACTAACTGTCCAACAAGACCCTCCTGCATCGACAAGGAACAACTCTTAAAAAACCCAGTGGGAAAAAGTGAGAAACCTTGGGGAGAACTAGGGAAACCCACAGGGAGGGAGACCCATATGAGAAAGGGATCCGCTCCTCCGGACGGACAGGCTAATGATCTAGGACCTAAGCTAGCTACAGAACGTGGACCAGTGGCCGCTGAACGTGGACAGGTCCGGTGCAGGACTGAAGCACTCCCAGGCGGGTCGGGCGGGGCAGTCCGCAGGTGTAGATGGAGGAGGCCAGGCTCAGAGATCCCGTCATCGTACCATGAAACAGACAATGGGACAACGGGTGAATAGCAATGAACAAACTACAGTCAAAATCCTAAAAATGCTAAACAGATAAAGTAGGAAGGAGGAGAGGATAGTGCTCAAGTTACCATACTCTGCCACTCTCCATGTTCAGAATTTCCTGAACATGGAGAGTGGCACCGCCATAATGGCGACGTGAGAGGAGACGTCTGGCACCACTCTCCTTCCAATGATTTTATGAAATCACCTACCGACTGAACGCAATTCGTCAAGCTTTAAATCATGTCCAAACAATCTAAGCGTGGAATCAAAGGCCAAGATGCCTCTGAGGGAAACTCTTTTCTGAGTACTACTCCTATCACCGGCAGTGCCAATGCTAATGCTACCTCTGAAGCTACCCCCTCTGTTTCAATGACTGAAGCTCTGCTAAAGAGTATTTCAGCGGCAGTGGCAGAAGAGGGAAAACGCATCCTATTGTCCGTGAATGAATCCTTTGGGAAACTCGAGGCCAAGGTGGATAACATGATGAAGCGTATCGATGATGTCGCTGTAACCACCGCGGCACTTGCTACGAGACAAGCGGAGGCTGAAACGCGTATTTCACACTTGGAGAATGGCATAGCTCCGATTAAAAAGCATCTAGATTCACTGTTGATCGCTAATAAAGAGCTGAGAGACAAAGTAATTGAACTGGAATGTCGTCAAAGGCGCAAAAACATTCGGATACTAAATCTGAAAGAGTCCACTGAGGGAAATGACCCGACTGTGTTTTTTGAGGCGTTCATTCCTAAACTACTGCAGCTACCTGTTACAACTATACCCATTGACCGTGCCCATCGGGGCTTTGGAATACCTGAGGACGGACGCCCGCGCGCTGTGGTCTTGAAACTTCAACGCTCCAGAGATGTGGCGATGGTAATGTCAGCGGTGAAGCGCCAGGGGAATCCCCAGCATGAGGGCCGTACTTTGCGGCTCGTACCAGACACTCCACCTGAAGTCCGGGCTGCTAGACGGGCACTCTCGCCTCTCAGCAAGAAGGTCCTGGGTTCGAATCCCGGTCGGACCAGGGCCTTTCTGAGTGGAGTTTGCATGTTCTCCCCGTGTCTGCGTAGGTTTCCTCCGGGTACTCCGGTTTCCCCTACCACTAAAAATATGTCCAATAGTTCTGGCATGTGCCTCCTGTACTGGCCCCGCTCCCATCTCTGTGTGGAGTGAGAGACAAATGCCCAAAAATTAACAATTGTAAACCGCTTTGAGACTCAGATCTGCAGTGAAAAGGCGGTATATAAATAAAAACTTACTTACTTACTTACTTACTTACTTACATTATGATGAACTTGTTTCGTTACTTGCCAGTACAGGCATTAACTTTGATATAATTGGGTGCTGTGAAACCTGGATGAATGAACAATCATTTGAAGATATGTATAAATTAGATGGTTACTCTGGTCATTTTAGAAACAGACTGGGTAAAATTGGAGGAGGGGTATGCATATATGTAAGTAATCAATATTCTGTAAAGGAACGAAATGATATCATGGTAGAGGATGGTTGCTCTGATTCTTTATTTCTAGAAGTAAAAACAATAAAAGGCTCTATAATTATTGGAGTAGTATATCGACCACCTGATTCCAATTATGAAACATTTAGAGACCACTTTGATAACATGTTACACTACATAAATATGATGAAGAAAAACTGTATTATCATGGGCGACTTTAACATAGACCTATCTAAAGAAGATTTAATAGGAACTGATTTCCAAAATACCCTCTGCTCCTCATCATTCTATCCCACTATTGATAAATACACCAGAGTTACAGAGAGAAGCAAGACCACTATAGACAATATAATAACAAACATCCAAAACACTGGATGCAAGTCAGGTGTAATATATTCTGATATCTCTGATCATTTTCCTGTTGCTCTGTTCACTAACTGGATCAATAGAGTACCAGATTCATGTTCAGAGAGGAAGATAAAAGTTCTAAATAGCAAAACCCTCGTTAATCTCTCCCTACACCTCAAAAACAAAACCTGGGATGAATTTTATAACATTTCAAACCCCAACAAGGCCTATAATTCCTTAATCAATGAAATTAATGATTCCATCAATGTAACCATTCCAGAGAAATCTTTAAAACATAGTAAAAGAGGGCATCCATGGATCACAAATGGAATCTTAAAGTCAATCCGGCAAAAAAATAAACTCTATAAGGAATATAAAAGAAATCCAAATTGCTCTAATAAAGATCGATATACAAAATACAAGAACAAATTAACAAGTTTAATACGAGTCAGTAAAGCTAATTATTTTGCAAAAAGACTTAAATCAATCTCAGGGGATCAGAAGGGGTCTTGGAAGGTGCTGAATGAGGTGCTCGGACGCAACAAAAAAGCACCAGTGCTCCCTGACGCCGGAGCATCAACTGAGTTTAAAAGTAATACCAAGAATGACTCTTTGCCCAATGCTTTTAATGCGTTTTTTTCATCAGTTGGAAGAGAGCTGTCCCAACAAATCTGCCCACCAGGGGGTGTAAATTATAAGGATTTTTTGACAAACAATTACTCTAGCTCCTGCTACCTCAGACCTACCTGCAAAATGGAAGTAACCAATATAATAAATAAAATGAAATGTTCATATACAGCTGGTGCTGATGGCATTTGCAGCAAAATCTTGAAAGCCATTGTGAATGAAATAGCTGAACCAGTGACTCATATAATTAATCTATCTTTACAACAAGGCATTGTCCCTGAACAAACTAAGGTGGCGAAAATAATACCTATATATAAGTCAGGGGACAAAAATGACATACACAACTACAGACCCATATCTATTCTGCCCACCCTGTCCAAAATTTTGGAACGAGTAGTTTATGTTAGATTACTAGATTATTTAAACAAACACAACATACTGGATCCTTCACAATATGGCTTCAGGAAAAGCAGCAGCACGTATATGGCCATATTAGATCTAGTTGAAAAAATCAACAATGCTCTTGAGGGTAGAGAAATTGGTGTTGGGGTTTTTCTCGACCTTTCCAAAGCATTTGACTCGATTGACTTTCAAGTCTTACTTGGTAAACTCTCTCACTATGGCGTCCGGGGTGTAGCTCTCCAGTGGTTTAGGGACTATGTCTATGGTAGACAACAGTACGTGAACATAGATGGGTCTGACTCTCAACTGGAAAACATAACATTTGGTGTTCCCCAGGGATCTATACTAGGGCCCCTATTATTTATTATCTACATTAATGATTTTGAAAATTCTTGTGATATTCATCGAATACTTTTTGCAGATGACACAAATTTGTTTATGTCGCATAAACGCATCGATTACCTTGAAAACTCCCTAAATGAGCAACTCATCAAAGTAAATAACTGGTTCAGATGCAATAAATTGTCACTTAATCTCTACAAGACTTCTTATATGATCTTTCACTCAAATAGTCATTTGTACCACGACCCAAATATTAATATAACCATTGATAGTAAAACCATTAATAAAGTTGAAGTTATAAAATTCTTAGGAATCCATATAGATCAATTTACAAATTTTAAAAAGCATCTTGATGAGCTTGTTAAAAAATTGTCAAAAATTGTAGGTTTATTGTTTAAAGTGAGACAGTTTCTTCCCTTAGAAGCTTTACTGTCCTTGTATAGATCTCTGTTCGAGCCTCATTTGAATTACTGTAATATCATATGGAATAATACCTACCCCACGTACATGTCTAAACTTCAAATATTACAAAAGAAAGCCATAAGAGCACTTTCTTGGTCCTTGGGTCATGCTCCCACAGATGTTCTCTTCCATAGATACGGTCTATTGAAGTTGCCTGAAGTTAATCTCTACCATAATGCG